ATTCTTGACCTCTCTCTCTTCTTCTTCTTTTATTTTCCTTCTTTCTTGAGCTGTTAAATGATATGAAGTTACGGCGACAACAAATAGCAATGCAACAATATAACGAACTAGGGCAAGGAAGAGAAGTGCACTTTTCATATGGTTCTCGCAGCTGAAAAGAGATGAAAAAGGTGCGACGTATTTTATTTTTCGAGCTCACTCAACTATATCTCCATCATAGGATTAACCCCTTTGGCTAAACTGAATTGTCGACAGGCAGCCCTTCTTGGAGGAACTCTACACCGAGGGCCGTGCTTCCAGCTGGAAATCTTTTCGACTGTCTTGGAACAAGTATGGTGTGCATTGCCTTGATCGTTTCCGTCGAGCTCCCTCACCTTGGACAGCACCCACATTCTTCGTAGCGACCTCGAGTACATCTGCTCCATCTTACTAAAGCTGACAGACATCAAGCACGTTGTCATACAAAAAAAGCTTAAGCTATGCGATTGATGTTTCAATCTTACGCCTCCTCAATTATCTCTACCGAGACTATCTCTCTTTGTATGTATGAAAGAAACACGATGTACCCATCCCATCCTCATTTCATTTCTTACTAGCTTTTATGAAGACTGAGTGTACATTTTATCTGGTAGCCCCATGCAATAATGCACATGCTCTTTTGCTGCTGTTACTATTTTCCCACATGAAAAGACGACAAAAACAGTATCGTCGATACCTAGCGCAATATATCACCGTCAATCATTTATATCCAGCTTGAACGTTCCGCTGTGAACACCTCTGAAACCTCTTAGCTCTTCCTACTTGCAAGCAAATACAAATAGAGTACCAGCCGATCACTTTTATTGTTGTATATTGGAGGTCGTAAGTCCTTGTGGAGCTTGTTACTGATGCTGCTGTTATTGTTGTTGTTGCGTCGATAACAAAGCAGCAAAGGGTGTAACGCATGGCGGTCAAGGTGCTTTTGTTGTCGTTGCGGTGGTGATGTGTTAAGACCGCCTGTATGTTTGTTGGAGGCTGTGTTCTCCATGTTAACTTGTAATTGCGTGTTTGTTGATGGTGGCGATGGTGCTGGTCTGTACTTCTATTGTTTCCTACTCATGGTTCCATGCGCTATTATTCTTCTGTCTTTGCTGATCCTGGCATGGGCCAACGTTGTTGTGATTCATATCCTTTTGGATCGAAGACGGAAACTTTAAGGGAATGAGCAAGCGCACAACAGTGGAAGAGGGGAAGAAAAAGGAGAAGGAGGGGAGAAAGATCAAGAAAAATGGGTCGCAGCTTATGTTGTGACGGAGGGTCAATAATCCATGACAGTATGGAAGAGAGAGAGGGAGCAGTGCAGGAAGAAAAAGAAAAGAGAAGGAAAAAGACAAAGAACCCAGCGGTGGCAGTTGAGAATAATATCTCTCGATGGATAAAGGAACGCCACCAATCAGTAGAAACTTTCTTCATTTCAGCCTGTGATCGATCTGATCCATCAGTTGGAATACCGTTGCTCTTCTCACCTTACTCACCCTTCAGAAGCACTTTTCTTCTGAATTAACAATCATTCACTCTACATAATAGTCAGCGCAAACTTGATGACTTTCTAATCGATGGTATTTATCTTCTCTCTCATTACAAAAGCAGAGCTGCAGCACCGCTTTCTTTCTCTTTCCTTTTTCATCTAAAGCCTGGCATTGACAATTCGCCGCATGCGAAACATTGAAAACCCTGAAATATGAAGACAGGACAGACAGGAAACAGAAACTTGAAAAAGGATCGCAACTTTCAAGGGTCCATCTCATCTCTCTCGCGTGGCACAAAAAATTTTCACCTTTTTTTTTTTTATTGCAGCTGCACTGTAGTATACAAGTGAAAAACATTAACAAGGAGCAAAAAAGTGATGGTTAATGGTACCATGGATGACAAACAACCAACCTGGATACCCCAGGTGACCAAAAGAGCAAAAGGGAAGCAGAGAAGCAAGCTTTATGATCTACGCAGGGGTCGAACCTGCAATCTCCTGATTCGTAGTCAGACGCCTTTCCATTGGGCCAGCAGACCATCACTGATGATGGGTTTAACATTGTTCGGGGTCGGGTCGTGCGAAGCACCCCTCTCTATCTAGCCTCCAGGAAGCTCTATCTACTAGGCAGCACAGCTCATATTGAATAAATAAGGGGGGTCCCGTTGCCAGGATCAAGGTATAAAACAAAAATGGATGCACTGCGTCATAAACAGAGGCCACCTGCAGGCAAAAGGGTCAACACATCGATCCGACTCCTGCAACGTTGGTTGATAAAATTTTTAAAACTTTGGTTTTTCTGGCCGACAGGAATGTCGATCAGAATAGAAAAAGGTCGCACAGGTTGTCAGCACGAGGGTTCAGCAAGTTCTGACGGGGCAGAGTGTCCAGGTCGTCTTATCCAACACCACACATAGGAGGCCTTTCACGTCCAAGTTATCATATGGTGTTTGTTACATCTCTGTAGATCTCGACAATATCCATAGCGACTATGGGATGAGAATGTATATATGATACCAAGCATATAAGACAACCATTGTAACATTTTTTGTTTAACTATCCTACTAAACACCAACCTATTCTCCAAACAACAAAGTCTTCTTATTTTTCGCACACCACACTCTTGAATATGTCCATCTACTATTAACCTGTAACCCTCACTGCAAGATTCGCCAGAGTAGTTCTTGTATGTCATCATCTAAAGCACTTGTACTCTCAACTGTATCTTTGGGGCGAAATACAGGGGAGAGATTACATTTTAAAAAAACATGTGCTGTCTATTGCTATTTTATTCTGTGTTCTGTTGCCCACTATGAAGAGATATGTCAGTTATGGAAGTAAACACTCCGTTCCTTGGGCTTTGGATATTTTTTATATGCCTTTTTATATCCTCTGCACATGAAGGGGCCGCTACCGAAAAAAATATAAAAATATATTTGTATTCTCAACTATGTGCTTGCTATATGATAGATACCATCCTACATGCTGTTGTGTATGCAGTTAAGTATAAGCCTTTTTAAAAAATTGTTATTGTTGGTTAACGTCATGACAATCCAATACATAAATATTATTATGGATCTAACAAAACACTTCCAACAACTGCTTGATGACCATTGGACTTTCCTCAACGCTGGATGGCCAACAATTACACCACGTAATAATCATCGTACTGTAAGCAAGGAAATTGGGTATATGCCAGAAATAAAAGAAACCCTAAATCGACGCCTTGGTCCTATTCCAGTGTACTTCTTTCTTGTTGACATCTGGCCAAAGGTTAAGTATCCTGGTCCATACAAAGAAGTGGAGAAAGGTCTTTTAATGCTCTATCATCTTGTCAAAGGACTGTCTATGGAAGCAATGGAACCACACATGCCAAAAAGTAGTTTTCATGCAATGCACTCTGTGTTTTATAAGAAAGAATATACTTTGCACAACAAGTACATCACCAACTGTATTGCAACAATGTTCTCCACAATTAAAATACGCCTATTGTCTGCAAAGGAAAAGAATCCTCCATTATTTAAGCATGTTACATTGCATCTTGATGGTCATGATACAAGAGCAACATACAAAGGTGAGAGCAGTGCTGATATGTACTCTTACAAGCTGAAAAAGTCAGGGTTACGCACACAGGTAGCAATGGATTGTAATGGCATGGCCTTATTTGTCTCCAAATCTGCATCTTGCAAGAACAATGCTGATGGAACAATGCTGCTAACGATGAAGTTGGACAAGAGAGTGCATGAGATGGATTGCATTGCTCTCGATGGAGGGTATCCACAGTTCTTAAGGAGGCTTATAGATGAGTCTGATACTCTTAAAGTCCAAAATTTCGCTCATCCATACCGTAAACAGAAGAACAAGGAACTTACACAGGAAGAAGCGTTATACAATACCACCTTTGGTAGTTTCCGCTCGCAGATGGAATCTCTGTTTGCAGACCTTGGTTCCACATTTGAGAAACACAACAACCGTACTCCTGTGTTGGTGGATAAGAAACAAACATATAATTTGCAGTTGAAGTTATCTTTGTTACTCTTAAACATGAAAAAGATGGTTGCTTTGTTGAAGATTTCTGCAGAACCAATTCATACAGCTTGGCTTCGCGAAGGATTCGAGTATCCGACGACAGAGAACGACGTTGAGCAACCAATGGGATATGTTGATGTTGGTGCGCTAGTGGAGGATGGAAATACAATGGCACAACTCCAGAACAAATTTCTTGGTATTAATCTTCATGGTGATGTTGATGTTAATGTTGATGAGGACACACCAATGGATCAAGCAGTAATAATGCAACCCGGTCTTTCCATTGAGCTTGGAGGTACGAAGCGACAAATGGATGTTAATGGTAATCTGTAGACTTATTGCAGGTTTTTAAAAGAATAGACATACATGGCCTATTTAGTCAGCTTTAAGATACGGTATTAACTGCCAAGACGCTAATATGCACCGGTATCTATTATTAAAAGCCATGGTATTATTGTAGTAGATCGGATGCTATTCTATGCTATTCTACAGCATTCCTTTTTATTTAACAAAGAGGATAAACACATGTACAAACCTACGTCATAAAATAATACTACATTCTTAACCATTTTTAAACCCCGTCTTTAATGCCAAGCAGTCTTAATAAGCAAGATCTACGTCATACGAGGAACACTACATTATTAACCACTTAGATGCCTTTTTAAAACTCTTTTGTTACTAAGCGCCAAGCAGTGCTAATAAGCAAGCGCTATTAATGTCCATTGTGGCAGTGTTCCTGAATTAGTATAAATAAAGGAGTCCACTTCCCTCTTGCTTAATCTTTATCTAGTAACCAACCAACAATTATCCATATCTATACAACCATCCATACCTATACAACCATCTTTTATTGCAATTCTTTATATCAGTGTACTAAGCAGCTGCAATCTACCACACATAAACTGAAAACTCATTCACACCCACCATACCACAAGTACAATCCATATTATTCATATCCAAAAACATGAAGTACGTTCAGCTTACAATCGAGCTCATCACCAAGGCCTTTGAGACATTCTCCTCTAAGAAGGGAGTGGAGTTTAACAAGAAAGATGCAAATAAGATCTTTAAGGCGCTTGATGAGGATGAGGAAGTAGAGAGATACTACTTTTGTGGAGAAAAGTGCACCAAGTCCAAGCGCAAATGCATGAAGGAAGTTGATGATGAAGGCATGCATTGTTATGTCCACGATCCTGCGCGCAAGTGTCAAGGCACAACTATTAAGGGTGCTAATTGTGGTAGTGTAGCCAAACTTGGTCAAACATACTGTGGACGTCATCAAGATCAAGATAGAGGTTATATAAAACGTAGTAACAACAACGCACCTGTCGACAAGCGTACTAAGTCTTCCAAGGCTTTAAAGAAGACACATACTTCTAAGTTTGTGTCTTCCGATGACGATATGACTTCCGAGGATGAAGAACCAAAGAAGCGAAAGAGAAACAAGCAGGAGTCATCGGATGAAGAGCCGTCCGATGATGATGATGAAGAAGATATAATTGCCGTCTCCTTTCCGTTGAGTCCAAAGGTAGTTGACATAACGTCCAAGAAAAATGTACCACTCGCTAATACATGTATATGGACGCGTTATGCAACTAATCCAGCTTTCCTGTATGCAAAAAGCTTTACTGTAAATGGCAAGTACATTATTAGGCTAAAGGAAAAGAATCTCTACATTGCATTGTGTCCACCTAAGCTCATGGGCAAGAATCTCCCTGCGCCAGAAATATCTGAGAAAGAGGCACGCATATTGGCCAAGATGGGTCTTCAAGAGGCAACTTCAGCAGATGTAGAAAAAATAGAAGAGTCTTCTGCTGATGAGAATTCTGACGATGATACAGATGATGGTGATACGTCTGATAATGCTGACTCTGACGATGATTCCTCTAAAGATAAAGACTCTGATGATGGCAAGTCCAATAACAGACCTGATGTAGAATCTGGAGATGATACCTCTAAGGATAACCCTGATGAAAAACTATCTCATAAAAAGCCATCTAAGGATGATGAGAAGAAGACTTCTCGAAAGAAAAGGCATTCAGAGATGCCCAAAAATGCAGAGCCATCTTCTAATGTAGATGTTTCTAAGGATGAAAAAGATGAACACACATTTGCACTGGCCACAACGGTGCGTAACATTAGATCAGAGAAAGACATACCACTTGCAAAGGATGGAGGATGGATGGTTCATCCTAATAACGACATGCTTGAGTATGCAACTAACTTTACGATGAAGGCTAAGTACATTGTCAAGCTATGTGGAAAGAATACATACGTTGGCCTGTTTACGCTTGATCATCTGCGTGGCGGTGGTGATGTTCCAGAGATGGATATCTTGGAACGCTCCATGCTTAGCAAGATGAAACTTCAAGAAATGTCTGATGAAGAGAGAAAGATGCTTTTCAACGAGGAGGTCGAAGTAGAAGAGGAACTACCAGTGGAAGGACCGACAGATATATCCAAGATGAAATGGAAAAGGTTTCACAAGCAGCAATTGGAGTATTCCAAGAATGTACTTGTAAATGGAAAGCACATTCTCAAGATCCGCAAGCAAAACATTGTAGTTGGCTTGGTGACTGATGACCACATTAGTGCAGAGAATGTCGACTATGATAATCTTAACCAAAAGGAAAAAGAAAAGATCTTCGCTATGGGCTTTAAGCCACAATGGTCTAAGGATAGGTCGACAGAGAAAGGTGAACCGGTAGAAAAAATAGATGATGAGGTGCAAGAGTCGAATATTAAGGAAACTTTAGATGAACTTGTAGAAAAAGTAGATGATGAGGTGCAAGAGTCGGATGTTAAGAAAACTCTAGAAGATGGTGGACCTATGGAAAGCGAAAATGTGAATGCCTCAAGTGTTTACACTACAAAAGACCATCATGATTTTCTGAAGGCAATGGGAGAAGTATATAGCAAAATAACAGCTATCGAAGAAGAACTCCGCGAGGAATACGTTTCGGCAGATGGTAATGCAGAAGAAAAAGAACTAATTTTTCACCTAGGTTTGTTGGAGAAAGATTATTCCAACTACGAAACATGGCACATGGATAAGTTTGGTTCCCGCGAACCACATTCCGATATATTATGTAAGTTTGCAAAAGAAGGATCTAACAACAGAAAAACCATAGTGCAAAGTGTATTAGATAGTATTCAAGCCAAAGAGAAAAGTACGATGGAAGAAAAGAAGCCTCTTGAAGTAACATTTGAGACCGCAGAAGAGTAGATCAAGAATTTTAAAAACTGTAGATATACCACTTGCACAAATAAAGCTTTTATATATGGAATACACATGTAATATTATCCTCGTCCCTTCCAATGAGATTCACCAGATATATTACCCATCTTTTTAAAAACTTCCACCATCCTTTGCACAATTTACAATATTTCTTTCTTGATCACAGTGGTGTTTATCCACAATCTACTTATATTTAACATTACGAAAATTACAATAACTATATCTAATATGTTCTACAATGCATGCACTCTTTATGACATTTATTTTTTCACCATTGGCATATTTACCAACGATCTGTATAGGAGGCCGCATATCAACAAATATTATAACAATCGTAACTTCCTACAAAGTATGTTACATCAAACATTATAAAAACCACGATAACTTCATCTGAGACGTTCCACAATGCATGCACCCTCACCATTATTGCATTACCCATATTTTTTTAAAACATTCACCTAGGAGGCCTTTCACGTCCAAGTTATCATATGGTGTTTGTTACATCTCTGTAGATCTCGACAATATCCATAGCGACTATGGGATGAGAATGTATATATGATACCAAGCATATAAGACAACCATTGTAACATTTTTTGTTTAACTATCCTACTAAACACCAACCTATTCTCCAAACAACAAAGTCTTCTTATTTTTCGCACACCACACTCTTGAATATGTCCATCTACTATTAACCTGTAACCCTCACTGCAAGATTCGCCAGAGTAGTTCTTGTATGTCATCATCTAAAGCACTTGTACTCTCAACTGTATCTTTGGGGCGAAATACAGGGGAGAGATTACATTTTAAAAAAACATGTGCTGTCTATTGCTATTTTATTCTGTGTTCTGTTGCCCACTATGAAGAGATATGTCAGTTATGGAAGTAAACACTCCGTTCCTTGGGCTTTGGATATTTTTTATATGCCTTTTTATATCCTCTGCACATGAAGGGGCCGCATAGGGAGGAGGGCATCCCTAGTGGATCCGTAAAGAGGAGGAGGATGACTTCACGGTTGGACAAGACACACTCTCCATGGTCTGGCTCCCCTGCTGTTCCTTTTGCACCGATTTCCCCCTTTGACCCCCTACTCGTCTCTCAATCCCCCTCTTCCTCCATCCCAGAGCTCTTCATATACCGTTGTTTTGAGAACCAAGAAAGACACACCGAACCTGCACCGTTATCAGGGCTCCTCGAACGAAAAGGGGGAGCAAAAAGTATATAAAGAGAGTTGAGAAAAGAAAAGAGAATTGAAAATTAAAAAGTAGAAGAAGGAAGAAATAGTGAAAAAAAGGAAAAGAGAGCAGAAAGAGACATAGAAGAATGGAGTCTTATTCGGACGATAAGACTCTTGTAACAAAGTAACAAGCACTGACGCAGTGCATTTGGGCGAAATTGGAAGGAAAAAGGAAAAATGAGCACGGACACACACCCTCTCCCTCCTTTTGCATCCTTGATCCATTTTGGAACAGGGACTGCAAACGTTAAATAATAATAAAAGTTAAAAAGACACACACACACCATCTTTCTTTTCTCTTTTCACGCTTTTCTTCACCCTCTTTTCTTCATTCATCCCTCACCCCACCTCCAAAAAATCGGAAATACGATGAAACAACGCAGGAAAACTCGGAGAGTAACAAAACACAAAAAAACAGAAAAAAAAAAATTGAGCTGTGCTGCGACCTCAGGTTTGGAACCAGAGGTCCCCCATCGAGACCCCGTCCCGGGTCATCTCGATGAATGGCGGGTGGTGCCATATCTTGATCGCGGCTCCGACCGGGTCGTACCCATCGCTGTCGCCTCCGGCTTGGACTCGGGGCTGGGGGCGTTGCGCCGCTCGCAGTTTCTTTTGGTGGGCTCGGCTCAGCTCGGCCTTGACTCGAGCTTTGAAGGCGTGCACAATCTTCCACCGCAACTCCTCAGCCTCCAGGATCTCTCCGTCCCCCAGCGCACAGTATGTGCGCCATATAGTGAACATGACGGTAGAGTGGAGGTGAATGACGATAGGAGGGAGGTGGGGAATGGCAGGCCAACACATGGTGTCTTGCAGAAGAGAGGAAGGGAGAAGGAGATTGGGGAATATCTCACGGATCCACTTGTGCATCCGTGTCCATTCCTCCTGCACTATGACACAGTCATAGAACGCATGACGGCGTGATTCGAGTGGGGCGACCAGCGATGGGGGTATCGGCGGACATCGACGACAATGGGGCTCGACAGGTCTAGGCAAATCAGCAAAAAGGGCTTTAACACCATTAGTAAAAATTACACGATGGGACAACATAAACATAAACTCTTTTTCCTTGGGTTGGCGATGCTTGGAGTGCATTCGCTCCCATGTCGTGTGCCATTCTTCGTCAGACAGAGTGACGGTAGGGATGTTGGAGTTGTAATGATCGTCTGTCCATCGCATGTGGATGGAGATGGGCGGTCGCAAGTAGATCTTGCGGTTTGTGGCCTCGTTGGTCCAAACAGCAAGATACTTTTCGTCCAGAAAGCGGCGTGCGGTTTGGACTTTGTACATGCGCACAGGAGTCTTGCCGGCAACCACGATTTCGTTCACCGCCCGGTTGGTGGTTTCATCAATGACGATCGCTCGCTTGGGTTCCAAGGAGGAATAGGCCTCGATCAACGGTAGCACCTCCTGGATGGGGGTGTCGTCGACAGGGTCTCGCCATCGGGGTAGTCTGAGGTAGGTTTTGGTCTGCCCTGGAGTGGTAAAGTCGTAGGCTTCTTGTGCGGCCAGGATAAAGAGGTCGTGCCATTTGGGTTCTGACACGGCCATGCGAGCCATGAACTTGGCTTTGAGCGCAATGACCTGGTGTTGGACATGGATGAGGCCATATCCACCTTCCGACTTTGGCCGTTGGAACCACGCGAGGTTCACTCTGGCCTGACCAGAGTTCCAGAGCAGACGCTTGCAGATTTTATCTATTTGTCCATAGAAGGAGGTAGAAAAATCGTAAAAAGGGGCAACATGCCATATTTTGGATAGGAGGTATGTGTTGAGAACGGTTATCTTTCCAGTGAACGACAGACGTCTTGTAAACATCATCTACGCGCTCCGCCGGAGGTGGAGCAGGATATCCTTCTCAATCACCGCAATGTCGCGACCACCAGGCTGAATGACAACTCCAAGATGGGTAAATGGAGCCTCAAAGTCTTTCATCACATAGCCGGGGATGGCCATCAACCGGGAAGATGCCTCCGTGAGAGGGATGATCTCTGTCTTTTGGACATTGACCTTGGCTCCAGAGGCTTGTTCGTGTAGATCAATAGCTTTTAGAGCCACCCTCTTGTCTCGGGGTCCCATTCCGAGCGTAGTATCGTCCGCAAAGGCAGACACTCGAAAGGCAGAGGGACCCTGCACACAACCGACGGCATGGCTATTGTAATATAATAAAAAAGGTTCAAGGACAAAATTGAACAAGATTGGTACCAGGGGATCACCCTGACGCAATCCACGAAAGACATTATATCTCTCGGATTGTTTGCCTCTCAGTATAATCGTGGCAAAGAGGTTGGTATAGCATGCTTTGATCCACCCCCGAAGGCGCGGACCAAATCCAAACCGATCCAGCACTCTGTGGAGGTATGGCCACTCCACCCGGTCATATGCTTTTTCTTGATCAAGAGAAAGAAGAGCACCATGACCCCTATCCCCCTTGTGTAAAGCCGACGCAACCAGGTCCAATGTCAACACGTTGTCGTGGCCCTGGCGCCCTGGAATGAACCCTGTCTGCCACCCGCCTATCAGGTGGTCGGCGACGGGGTTGATCCTGTTCGTTAGCACCTTTGTGAATATTTTGTAGTCACATTGTGTCAACGAAATGGGCCGATAGTTCTTAATCTCGTCTGCATCACCCTTCTTGTACAGTAAAGTAGTTAAAGAGTGACGATGTGACTTGGGAAGGACACCCTCAGTGGCAGTGATCGCGTTGAACACCTCGAGTAGAAGCGGGGCCACTTCCTTGGAAAAGTGCTTGTAAAACTCGTATGGTATACCGTCCGAGCCAGGGGAGGATCGATATGCCATCGATCTAATCGCAGATGTGATCTCCACAAGCGTCAAGTCCGAGTCCAGCCTAGTCTTTGCTTCCGCCGGCACCTGTGTTCGAATCTCAGTCAACAGTGTTTCCTGAGCATCCGCACTAGTGTCCTCTGATGAGTAGAGCCGCTCGTAAAAGTTACGTGCGATAGAAGCAATGACTTTGGGATCCTCAGAAACATGACCATCGTCATCCCGGAGAGACTCTATTTGTTTGCGGCGTTGAGAAGAGATTAGTCGCTTCGTGAAGAAGGGCGAGGCTTTCTCGCCCTCCTCCAAGTATTTCACTTTGGACATTAAAGCCACATGATCCATACGACGTGCCTGATACTCCACCGCCTCTTGTTGTTTTTTTGTTTTTTCTCGCAGGGCTCCCATGTCGCTTGGGTCGCGCTCCAAGGCCTTGTCGCATTGCAAAATGCCGTTGGTAATGTCGTGTTGTTGTTGGCGATTAGCCTGTCTTTTCTTTTTTGCAAAAGAGAGACCTAGTCGCAAAAATTCTTTTTTAGCAAACTCCCAAAACGCACTTGGTGTCGACCACTTTTGAGGGTTGTCTTGTCGCGTTTGTAACAGGGTCACCAAATTAGAACGGATCTGTTGTTGAAAAATAGGATCAGGGAGGATCCGTACATCTATTGATGGCAGAGCGTGATTGCGTTCTGTGCGTGAAGAGTTAATAGTAACCGATACCATACGGTGATCGCTCACTTTTCCTTCACATGTCTCCACTTTGTAGCGGGACGTCCGTTTGTGCATATGAGTAGAAACAAAGATGTAGTCGATACGTGTAAGGGTCATTGCTCCCCCTCGATCATGTACCAGTGTAAACCAAAGGCGATCAGGATCGTCAACTGGAATATGTTCATCCTCTGTCGGGTCGTAGTTACGAACCGCCGTGTCGCTCAGTTCCAAGTGATGCCTTTCCATTGGGCCAGCAGACCGAATGCGTTCTCTTTTCCTAGGCTGGAGAGCCCGGCAGCCGGGTCTCCAACCTTTGCTCAGCCAATCGGAATCGATTTTTTTTTTTTTTTTTTTTTTTCGTACACAATTTTATTTCTCTAACAAACAGCATAGAGAAGTTATTTGGAAGTAAAAGGGAACTACAGACCAAACTCTTCAGTGCACCATCCACCAGTCGCAGTCCGGTCCAGAACCTGGCTCTGCGCAACAATTGTCGCTGCTCTTCACAGCTTAAACGGAAGAAAATAAAACTAGATACGAATGAAGGGGATTCTTCCCATCCTCTCCATCATTGACAACCTCCTCCTTCCTAACAAACTCTCCAACAACCGCTCGTCAGCAGCGCGTGGGTCCTTGGTCGCTCCAGGGCACCTTCCTTCACAATGTGTGGCTAGCGAAGCGCCACACGGACAGAAACCATCGTGCGTAATATAACCGTATCCTTGACTCCAGTCACCTCGGGGGCCTGTGTACTTGGATGTCTTGTCCTTGGCAGAGATGCCCTGGCTTTGTTCCCACGCGATCGTCGCGGAGCACCGAGGTTTCCAGATCAGCTCCGGGCCTGCGCCTCCAGGTAGCCAACAAACTTGTGAAGGACTGTCTTGGCGATGGACATTGGGGTCCGGAAGACCGCGGACCATTCAGTCAACATGCTCAAGGGGGTGATGCCGCGGAGGAGATCCGACACATTCCACATCGGTTTCTCGTCTCGATCGAGAGCTGGACTACCGCTGTGCACGGCTCGAGCTCCACCGATGGAGGAAAATCCTCGTACATGATCTGCATCCGAAGGGGGCCACCAGTGTATGGGTACTGGCCTCGGTACCTGACGACCTCTGTCCACCGCGCGTTTGTATTCCCGCTTCCTGGCTGCGTTGTAGCTGTTTGTCGCCTGCACACCCCACTCATTAATCTTGCCCATGGCCTCCTTCCAGATCTCAGTGGTGGTCTCAGCTGCCGAAGGGCATTTCCAGACGTGATCGTTATCCTCCTTCTCGAGCTCGCATCGTCGGCACACGCATGTTGGGTACAGGTTGGGCTTGCGAGCCTGCATGGAGTTCAGAGTGGGCAGCATTCCATGCAGCTTTTTGATGTGATGTGTTCTTTGATGGGAGTCCTTGCTGTTGCTGTAAAAGGTGAAGACTGCGTGCCTGTCGTGGACATAAGCCAAGGTCGAGTTCCATTCCACGTCCTCGATGTCAGGGATCGCCCTCTTGACCCGCCTCTGTGACGTCCAGGCCTGATGGTGACGGATTGTCGATTGTTGTTTGAGGAGCTGACGTAGATCGATTTCAACAATCCCGCCGTAACAATGTGCAAAGGTCGTGATATCCGTCTGTTGAGTGAGATCCACCATCCAGGGCACTGAACCACTCTGTGCTGCCACCTTCGCCGCCTGATCCGCAAGTTCGTTTCCGTGGATGTTGCTGTGACCTTTGATCCACACCACCTCAACCCCGCCTGGCCGAGATTCCACAACCTGACAAAGCACCGCCCAGATACCCGCATATGTACTCCTGAATCGCTTCCTCGGTAAGGTGTCCCGACGATTCTTCACCAGGCGACTATACTGATCCACCACTGACTGATTGTCCAGCTTGACCACAATGTCCTGTTCCGGTGGTGCTGACAGGACTGCGGCTAATAAGCCCATGAGCTCGGCCTTAGCCGAGGATGCGTGACCGTCCGTTCGTCCTTGTACTGTCAGAGGGTTGTCCTGAGTGAGATCCACCACTCCAAAGGCCTGGGATACTTCTAGCGTTCCCGAGTTCAGAAGAGATCCGTCAGAGTACAGGACGCGAGGGGTGGAGTTGTCGACGTGTGTGTCCTGAACTACGCGCATGGACGCCGCCTCTACTGGAGACAGGCAAAAGGGGCCGATCTGTGTGGTCGGGGGTCCTGGTACAGGCGGTGGTTGAACTTGATGGCGTTCTTGCAAAGGAAAGCTAGCATCTGTGTCAAAGGCTGGTTTGTATCGTGGTTTCGTTTCCTTGAGGCTGGATAGGATCTCTTTTAGGCGAGCGACGACCAAGCGGTGTTGTTGACGGAGTGCTTCCTTGTCCTTTTTCTGCTGCAGTCTCCTGGCTTGGTGTTGTTGACGGAGTGCTTCCTTTTCCTCTTTCTGCTGCAGTCTCCTGGCTTGGTGTTGTTGATGGAGTGCCTCTGTTTCTTTCTGCTGTTGCAGTTTCCTGGCTTGGGAGGATTCCAGCTGTTGCACCCTCAATCGATAGTCCTCTGCTTTCCTGGTCAGCCTGATCTCCAAATCCGAGCGAAGAGAGACAAGGCGATGAGCACGGTATTCGTTGACGGCCTCGGTGGCCCGGCGACGTATCCCAAGGGCGACGGTCTTGCGACGACTAGAAATTGACTTGATGCGGGCGGCTGCGTTGTCGGCCTGAGTATTGGTCATCAAAAGAATGGCAGCCAGTTCTTGTGGTTTCCTGGCAAGTTGACTCCGGTATCGGCTTCTGAGTCCATCATACTTTGTGTTGTCTGCCGACTGTTTTTTCCTGGTGTCGCTGTTGATGCGAAGGATCTCGGCATCGTATTCGGCCGCGGGACGGAGGAGACGCTCTCTGCAAGCGTCGTCCAGTGTGTCGACTGCTCGCTCAAAGACAAGATCGGTTGTATCAGGCGGGAGAGGTGAGGGGGTGGTGAGAGTTGCTGGAGTGGGGGTGGTGAGAGTTGCTGGAGTGGGGGAGAATGTTGGAGTAGGGGGACATGTTGGAGTGTTAGGAGTGTTGGGTGGTGGAGTACCTGTCAGAGAAGGGCCGGGACTCAAAACTGGAGTTGGAACAGTGACAGGCGAAAGAGCCGGCGATGAGACGGGACTCGAGACTGGAGCAGGAACGACGACCTGCGAAAGGACTGGAGACGATAATAGCGAAGGAGGAGTGGATGAGAGTAAAGGAGAAGGTGACTGAGGAGAAGGTGACTGAGGAAAGATTGACTGGGGGAGAGAGAGGAGAGAAGGAAGAGAAGAGAGAGAAGAGAGAGAAGAGAGAGGAGAGAGAGGAGAGAGAGAAGAGAGAGAAGGATCAAAGAGAATAGAAGAGATTGGCGCAGAGAAAAGATCAAGAGGGTTGAAATTGGAGAACGAAGAGAGGGGAAGCAAAGAAAGAGGGGCAAGGGAAAAAGAAGAAGTAGAAAGAAGAGGAGGAAATATAGGAGGAGAAGAAGATATAAAGAGGGAAGACGATTGATTGACAATAAAAGAAGAAACGTCAAAAATAAGAGAGGTATCGGAAGAGAAAGGTACACCCAAGTGGGGCACAGACGACAAAAGAGAAGATAACAAAGGATTGGAAGAGAAAGAAGAAGAAGAGGAAGAAGAAGAGGAGGAAAAAGTAACAAGTGGCTCACAAGGCAAGGCAGGACAAACATCCGACTCTGCGGCAGCGGGAAAGGAAAAAGAAGAGGAAGAGGACGCGTAAAAGGAATCATAAAAGGACAGAGAAGAAAGAAAAGAAGATGAAGAAGAACCAGAGCATGACCCTTGCAGGCAACACTCCTTACCCCACGCCCTCTTATCGTTAACAAAACCTGCCTTGCCAATAACAAACCCATTCCCACGCTCATCTATGCGTTCAATTGCGCGTGTCGTTTTTGTCTTGGTCGATAAAAAAATTTCTTGTCCTTTTTTCTTTTTGTCCCTCAAGGATGTGTCCGGGTATAATAACCCCCTGTTATCGCGCTGGACCTTTTTTCTTTTTGTGTTTTCTTTATACACACCCTCAAGTCTCACCTCATCACCTCCATGGCTTTTCTTACCGCGACCCTCGCCAACATCAGCACCACCACCACCTTCAGCAAAAACTGATGGAGCTGCAGTCGCCAAAGGTTGGAGGCATACCTGTATGGGGTCGACAGACGTACCAAGGTCTAGTACTGTCGTTGCGGTGGTTCTGTTAAACGCAAAGGCACGAGCTGGAGAAGAGATCCACCATCCAGGGCGAGGAGCTGCGTTTTCTTGATAGAAACCGAGATTTTGAGTCGTATTTGTACTGGACCTTGATGGGTAAAATGAGTGATACAAATACGACTCAAAATCTCGGTTTCTTGTGGGGGCCTCGAGCAACGTCTGCAGGAGATACCACGCAGTCTCAACTAGACTGGCAAAGAAGTGGAGGAAGAGGAAGAGGAAGAGGAAGTGATCTCAACTAGATCACGCTCAGGGACGACAGGGGAATGAATGCGGATCTTCGGCGCAAAAAGGGGACAACGGGTTCGAGGTTCTCAACCTAGAATGGTATGATTAACAGTGGGGGGAAGATACTGTTCAATCATCCATTCCAGGTGTCCTTTTATACTATCTGACTAAGGTCGCTAAACTACTACTTGTGGGGTCACTGAATGAAAGAGAATAAGATGAAGACGTAAAAAAAGAGATGGCCCGGGGGAGCTACTACTAACTGGTGTAAGAGTTAACAACTTGATGAACAACGAAAGGAAGTAGGAAGGGGCCATCAACAACAAAGAAAGGGCCTTTGACAAAGAGGGTCTTTGTCAAAGGGATGAACAACATAAAAGACAAGAAGAGGAAATAATAAAAGTGACTCGGGGCGATGGCTCCTTGTGTCACTGGGTGTTGAGAGCGAGCGGGGCGACGATAGTTGTCATCAACAAAGGGGAAAGGTGTAAACGAAAGTGTAAAAGAGGTAGGAGTCGCGTTTGCGGGTAAAAGGGAAAACGCAAACAAAGAGAGCAAAAAAGAAGGGAAAGGAAGGAAAGTAGTGGGAAAGAAGAAAAAAGGGAAAGTGGTGAATATAGGGGTGGCAATTCACGACACTCCCCAACTTAAATTGGAGCCGTCCCGGCGACTAAGCTAGTGCGGTGCATTCGTGGAGGCAGTAGGCGGGGACGCTCGGAGAAGACGACTGTTGAGGGGGGAGCTGCATCATTTGCAGCTGCTGGTTACGACGGAAGCGGCGAGTGGGAGGAACTCTTGTCAGTTCTTCTCTGTAAACTCGTGCTGCGTCAGCGGCGGATCCCATCATGGGCGCTTGATAGTCGGGACCGCGGCGGATGTGATACTCTTCGGTGGCGCGCTGCTGCGTGCGCATGTCGGCTACGCGACGGCTTTCGGTATCCGAGAGGAAATCGTCAGGCAGCCCATCATCATCGTTGTCGCGGGCGGCCTCCATAGTGTGTTTGGTCCTGGCAAACCACACTTTTCGCTGAGCCTCATCGCTAGGGGCTGTTGCGATCTTCAGACGGTCTTGGTGCACCAAATCCTCCTTGGGCGTACCATCTCCCCAACGGAGCTGATAGGTGGACAGTGGCGTAACGCGAACCACTTCTAGGGGACCATACCAGTGGGGTTGCAGCTTCTTGCGACCATAATTCTTGACGAAGACGAAATCACCGACTGCGAACTTCGCATCCTCGACGACGTGCGACTCTGCGTGTGCTTTGACCATGGATGACGCTGCATCTTGCTGCGTCTGAAGGTGGGCTTCTCGGAGTTCGTCAATCTCCTTAAACGTCTTTCTGCGATGTTCCAAAAAATCGCTCGGATCGGAGAAATCAAACAGAAAGGGACGGACGGGGTCTTGAGGGATACGCGGTTCAATACCGTATACCAACTTGAAGGGGGAGAGCTGAGTGCGCTGTGAGATGTGCACACGACAAGCAAAGAGGGACTGGTGCAGGTACTGGTCCCAGCGGACGCGATGAGTACCGACATACTTGTTGAGCATATGTCCGATAACACCATTAAGGCGCTCGCATTTGCCATTGGATCGGGGGTGGTAGGCGGAGGTAGCCATGTGCTTGATGTTCAGCTTCTGGAGATAGCGCTGCAGAACGTCAGACATAAAGTTGGCGCCTCGGTCGCTAACAATCTCGGAGGGACAACCAAACTGAAGGAAGATTTCCTCATACAGGAAAATGGCGACTGCTTCGGCAGTGGCATCGGGAAGGGCGCGAGCAATTGGCCAGTTGGTTGCGTAGTCGATGGCAGTGACGATCCATCGATTGCCTTGCTTGGTGAGCGGCATGCGTCCTATGAAATCGATTCCCCATCGTTCAAAAGGGCGCGCCGGAGCCAAGGGGTGGAGAGGAGCCACAGATCGGCTTCCAGGCTTCACGAGCTGGCAGGGTTGACATTCTCGAGTCAACATCTTGATATCGGAGCGGAGGGTTGGCCACCACATACGCGTCTTGGCCAAGTTGTAGGTGCCAGACTGTCCAAGATGACCCAGATCGGCGTGCAACTCTGAAAGGCGATCCAAGCGCTCGACATAGGGCACGAAGGGAACTGAGGCTTCTTCAACTAAGCGGAACAATTCACCTTCTTCGATGACGAAAAGAAGAGCTTGATGACGTACAAGCTTCTTGATGGCAGGGTCGGTGTCAGGAGGAAAAGTGCCTGACAATAAAAATTCAGGAACAAGGAGAGGCCAGTCCCAGGTGTCGATGTGTCGAACTTGGTGGACATTGTTGATCTCGAGACGGGATAAGGCATCGGCGGCGACATTGGTTTTGCCGGGCTTGTACTGGATGGAGAGGTTATAAGGGGCCAGGAACTCGACCCATCGAGTTAATCTCTGGCTGAGATGAGGCTGAGAAAAGATGAACCTCAGGCTGGCGTGATCCGTAAAGACGACGTTCTCGGGTGCTCCCAGCACATACGATCGCCAGGCTCTACAGGCATGTACGATCGCCAACATCTCTCTCTCGTGGACCGGATAGTTTCGTTCAGCAGCTTTAAGCTTGCGGGACTCGTAGGCGACTGGGTGTCTCTTGCCGTTTACTTCTTGATACAGCACTCCACCGGTTGCGTCGTCAGATGCATCAGTCTCCATGATGTATGGCTTATCTGGATCTCCGCAAAGTAAGGTCGGGGGGGTCGTCAATACGAGACGGACTCCATCGAAGGCGGCTTGCTCGACTGGGCCCCACGAGGCAAGCGGTCGAGTCTTAAACTTGTTGTGGTCGGGTCCATCTTTTAATAGCTTGAAGAGGGGACCGGCGACTTGGACCAAGTGATACACGAAGCGGCGGTAGTAGTTGATGAAGCCAATAAACGATCTCAGCTGCTGGACGTTCTTGGGTATCGGCCAGTTGTCGAGGGCCTTGGTCTTGGCAGGGTCGACTTGAATGCCTTGACTGGATATAACATGACCAACAAAGGTAATGGAGGAAGTGCCGAACTCGCACTTGCTCCTCTTGGCGTGCAGCTTATGCTGTCGAAGGAGGTCGAGGGCAATACGGATGTGCTCGAGGTGGTCTTCAAAAGTCTTGGAGAAGACGAGAATGTCATCGAGAAATACGACGATGTACTTGTCCAGGTGATCGCGGAAGATGTCGTTCATGAGGCCTTGAAAAGAGGCCGGGGCGTTGGTTAAACCAAAGGACATGACGCGGTACTCGAAATGGCCATATCGAGTGGAGAAAGCTGTCTTGGGGATGTCAGGTTCGGCGATCCGGAGCTGATGGTAACCTTGCTGTAGATCCATCTTGCTGAAATATTTGGCGCCTTGAAAACGATCAAAAAACTCGTCTAGAAGGGGTAGCGGGTACTTGTTCTTGGTGGTGATAGCGTTAAGCCCTCGGTAGTCAATGCACAGTCTTAGAGAACCGTCCTTCTTCTTGACAAATAATACCGGGGCGGCCCAGGGTGACGTGGACGGCTGTATATATCCAAGCTCGAGCAGTTCATCCAACTGCTCTCGCAGAACGCGGAGTTCCAGCGGCGACATCTTGTAGGCCTTCTTGGCCACCGGCGCTGCGTCTCCAGTAGGGATCTCGTGGTCAAAACCAGGACGTGGACTGGGGAGATCGGTCAAAGGTGCAAACACGTCGTTGGCATACTCTTCGACCAGGGCATCAACTTGTTGCCGTTGCTCAACGGTCAGGGGAGCGATAGGGTCCTCAACTTGGACGGGCTCGGATTGAGTGTCTGGTACTGCCGTTTGCATTACCCAAACCACTCCTGCGTCGATCGTGTCTTTCGCCTCGACGGTCTTGATAAACTTCTGCACATCATCGTGCACGGTGCCTAAGCGGGGCTCTTCCAGCTCGGCGAGTAGTTGTGGCGAAGGCTTCGACATAGCCTTGACCTCAAAGTCCTGACCTTCGTAGGCCCAGGATAAAGTGTATTGCTCCCAGTCCATGTGGGGCTTAAACTTGGCCATCCATGGAATACCGAGGAAGAAATCGCGCGCCAACTTGCGGACGATGGTAGCTCGGATGGAATGGGCCATAGTTCCAACGGTAATTCGGACGACAACTTGTCCGAGGGCACTGCTGTCTTTGCTCTCCCCGAGCGCAAGACGTAGCGGCAGTGGTTGGCTGACCCGCTCCTCGCTTTCAACAGCGGTGGGGTCCAGCAGACGAATTCTTTTAAGTGCCTCCTCTGAGACGACATTAACGTTCGCGCCATTATCTACAAGGGCTTCGAACTGAGTTCCGGCAGCATTAAGCGGAACAACGACAAGGGGGAAGGCGTGAGGGTCAAACTCGTGAGCCTCGACGACGGTCATGTGGGCGGCGGTTGGTTGGCGGCCATTGTGGTGACGACGGTAGTTCTGGGGTACCGACGAGTGAGATGAACCTCTCATAGGGCAGTCGGCTCTGTAGTGACCGGCTTGTCCGCACTCGTGGCAGATTGTTGGCCTCTTGCAATCAGCGGCCTTGTGATCGCCACGGCAATTGAAGCAGGAGATAGTGTCAACCTCCCTAGGGGTGGGACCAGAGTCGCGACGGCCAGCGTTGCTGTCGCGGCGGAAGCTCACTTGCGGGGGGCCGTTTGGTCTCGAAAACGGGTGCACAGCACTCTGCCGGCGGTTGGTAAAGAAACCAGTATTGGTGTTGCCTGAGATTGAGTTGCGGGGGGCGGGGGCAAAAGGAGCAGGGTTGTTTCTTGGTGCTCGGTTAGGGTTGTACGTGGGCGCAATCATGGGAGGATTGGGACGGCCTCTCTGGCGCGTCAAGGACGACTGGGTTGTGATGCCCATCTGTTGAGCCATCTGCGATTTAATTTCGCAAGCGGTTTTAACGTCATCCCACGTCTTGACTTGTCTCTCGATCAGGTAACGCGACAGGAAAAGAGGACCTTGTGACTTAAACTGGTGTATCTTCTCACCATCAGTCAGCTTGGAGGCGATGGGGGCAGCAGCGAACTCGTAACGCTGAAAGTACGAATTCGGTGTATCGTTCCTATCCCAGACGACGGCTGCAAGGTTGTTGCGATGTGTAGACTCCAGCTCGTCAGTGCCAAACTGGCGACTGAAGGCGGCCTTGAACTCGGTCCAGGTGAGTTCAGGGTGGGCCTCGTCCAAGTTCTGTCCCCAGACTTGGGCAACACCTCGGAGCTTGAGGATAGATGCTGTCGGCCAGTCAGTGTCGGGCAACTTACACAGCTTGGCAGTCATCTCGATCTGCTTTAGCCATGTCTTGGCCGTGTAAGGGTCGTTCTGACTGAAGTCGAACGTCTCGGTATCGGACGGGAGGGTGGTCCTTCGAAGAGAGCTGGCCACTGGGATAACTTCATCGACCATGGTGGGAAAACGTAACGGGTAGAGAAGGGAAAAGAAAAAATGAGAGGGAGGGAAAAAAGGTAAAATAAAGTTGATCCGGAGGAATAGGGTTTTTCGTGATTTAGGAGAGGTAAAAAAAATGAATAGAGGGTGTAGGCTTGTAGTAAGAGCAAAAGAAAAAAAAGAAAGAGAGCAAAGCTAAAGTAAAATAAAGTATGGATGTGGGGCTAATAATTGTGGAGAGCGGGAAAGAAAGAGAAACGTAGTGGAATGAAGGTGCCTTTGCTACCAATTTGTGGGGGCCTCGAGCAACGTCTGCAGGAGATACCACGCAGTCTCAACTAGACTGGCAAAGAAGTGGAGGAAGAGGAAGAGGAAGAGGAAGTGATCTCAACTAGATCACGCTCAGGGACGACAGGGGAATGAATGCGGATCTTCGGCGCAAAAAGGGGACAACGGGTTCGAGGTTCTCAACCTAGAATGGTATGATTAACAGTGGGGGGAAGATACTGTTCAATCATCCATTCCAGGTGTCCTTTTATACTATCTGACTAAGGTCGCTAAACTACTACTTGTGGGGTCACTGAATGAAAGAGAATAAGATGAAGACGTAAAAAAAGAGATGGCCCGGGGGAGCTACTACTAACTGGTGTAAGAGTTAACAACTTGATGAACAACGAAAGGAAGTAGGAAGGGGCCATCAACAACAAAGAAAGGGCCTTTGACAAAGAGGGTCTTTGTCAAAGGGATGAACAACATAAAAGACAAGAAGAGGAAATAATAAAAGTGACTCGGGGCGATGGCTCCTTGTGTCACTGGGTGTTGAGAGCGAGCGGGGCGACGATAGTTGTCATCAACAAAGGGGAAAGGTGTAAACGAAAGTGTAAAAGAGGTAGGAGTCGCGTTTGCGGGTAAAAGGGAAAACGCAAACAAAGAGAGCAAAAAAGAAGGGAAAGGAAGGAAAGTAGTGGGAAAGAAGAAAAAAGGGAAAGTGGTGAATATAGGGGTGGCAATTCACGACATTCTATCAAGAAAAAGCAGCTCCTCAATCGATTCCGATTGGCTGAGCAAAGGTTGGAGACCCGGCTGCCGGGCTCTCCAGCCTAGGAAAAGAGAACGCATTCGGTCTGCTGGCCCAATGGAAAGGCGTCTGACTACGAATCAGGAGATTGCAGGTTCGACCCCTGCGTAGATCATAAAGCTTGCTTCTCTGCTTCCCTTTTGCTCTTTTGGTCACCTGGGGTATCCAGGTTGGTTGTTTGTCATCCATGGTACCATTAACCATCACTTTTTTGCTCCTTGTTTATGTTTTCACTTGTATACTACAGTGCAGCTGCAATAAAAAAAAAAAGGGTGAAATTTTTTTGTGCCACGCGAGAGAGATGAGATGGACCCTTGAAAGTTGCGATCCATTACATATTCACGAAGTGAGAGGTGGGATTCAGGTTCTAGTTGTATTTGCGAGGCAGATTGTTGCAAGGGGAGGTGGGTGCGACAACAAGGTATCTGAATTGAGTGTGGGGAAGAAAGACAAAACAATTTGTTCTTCTTGAAAGGAGAAAAAAAATTGTGTTTCGGTTCCATCCCTCTATTTTTTTATTTTTTGACCGTTGAGGGTTGACAAAGCATGCAATTGCAATGAGGTCGTCCTCCTTGTTTCCCTCGCCTTGCGCCTTGTTCTTTCTTCCTCTTTTACTTTCTTCCTCACATTTCATTCTTCTTTCGTCATCACTCCCCATTCTCTATTCTCTTGCTCCTCATCATTCACTTATTCACTCACACTAGCATTTTCCCATCGTCCCTTTTTTCCTATTGCGTGAGACTGCTGTTGTAGCTGCTTCGCCCACATTCATCCTAGTCGACCTACACCTTTCTTGTGAGTGTGCTCTCAACTCGATTGCTCACTAGGATTGTCACCTCCTATTATATTTCCTTTTCTAATCCCCATTGCTATTCACCCTCGCATATCTAACCTGTCGAACCCATCATCACAAGTAGCACGGTCATTCACATCACCGCCTCTACCGCCACTCCAGCTACCATCCCACCGTCACCCATACCATTAAGAGCATCAATCACGCTCAGTATGACTGAAGCACGGGTGATCAAGCGTCGCTCCCTCGGCCTCGGCCTCACCTTCCTTGCCACCCTCATCCTCAACACTGTCATTGCCACTACACCCTTCTTAATCACATCAACACATGCCGGATCCTTTGAGATCCCCGTCAGCAAACCCGCCATCGAGCTTGACCCCATTTCCTTTCCACTCGATACCCCCGCCAAGGCCCCTCTTAGCAAGAACCGCCACAAGCTTATCTCGTCAAAGTACCTCGGCAATTCCGTCATCACCAATGCCAAGAACCTCGGCTATTCTGGCACCATCATTCTCGGCAACAACCCGCCACAGTCCTTCGAGGTCGTCTTTGACACGGGCAGTGACATGATCGTCATCACCTCTAACGAGTGTCAAGGTACTCACTGCGACGAAATGGACCATTACACTTGCTCCTCATGCGCAAAGACCCCATACTCCTACAACATCTCCTACGGCGATGGCACCTGGGGCAGCGGACCCATTGTCGCTGATACTGTCTCGATCGGTGGCCTCATCATCCATGATCAGCAGATCCTAGACATCACCCAGAGTGGACTCGACCTATCCTCCTATGGCCCCGGGATCTCAGGTCTCGTCGGACTGATGCCCAATTCGCCCGTCTTGAACGCCGTACCACCACTCGGGACCATCTCCAAAAACAAACTCCTCGACATGAACGTGTTTTCGGTCTATCTCGCCCGAAGCCTCAAGGAGAACCAAGGTGGCTCTTTTTTATTTGGAGGTATCGACTCGACAAAGTTTGTTGGACCCTTGAACTATGTGCCGGTCTCGACAGCTTCAGGAGTCCGAGAAGGAATGTGGTACGTTGATGCCGACAATGCCTATGCAGGAGACACGCCCGTTAATGGCTACACAGAATCGCCATGGCTGTTCGACACTGGCACGTCCTTTATCGCCGTCCCGACATCTTTTGCCGCTGCATTCCATGCTAGCATACCTGGATCCGCCTACTCTACAACGGATGGGATCTATATCATCCCTTGCCAGGGTACCACAAGCTTTGGTGTTTCTTTTAACGGGATCAAGTACGAGGTGCCTTATTCCGACTATGTGGCGGCTGCTGGTGGAGGTTCGTCGCTCTGTGTCTCGCTGGTTATGCCTCTCAGGAACTATGAGATGTATATTCTTGGCGACCCATTCCTTCGGCAAGTCTACTCGGTCTATGATTTCACTCCAGGCGCCAGTCGGATCGGAATCGGCCAGGTCAACGTGAAGAATGCTTCTCTCGGAAACGAAGGACTATCAGGAGAGCCAGTGCCAGGAGGAGCGGTCATCACACCTAAAAACCCTAGCTCAGGACGGCGAGGATACAGGACAGAGTCAATGTCAAAACTATTCAGTCTAGTAATGGTCTCGACCGTGGTGGCGTTATATGTTGCATTCCTCGGATAAGATGGAGACAATCCATCTCTGAACAAACAAAAAATATGGCCGTTGCGCAGGGAGCAACTAGACGGTATGTTCAATTGGACAAGGAAGCATATGCAAAGGACAAAAGGAAGCGGGAAGAAAAAGAGTGATCGAGGAGCGGGACAGAATTACCCTAACTCTGGACATACTTTTGGTTTTCTTTTTCGATCCATGTAGCTATCATTCACAACTCTTCTCGTCTTCTTACACCAAAGCCCATTCCATATTTTTGCGCCGCATGGCAGTTCCCTGTTTTTGTGTTTTTTTCTTGTCCTACACAACACCCATAGTTTATATTAAAAGAACCATAACCCACCAAAAATCCACTCCAATGATTACTTCATCACACGACAAAAAACAACTCCAATGTCTATTTTGGTTTTGTGTGTTCTTGGTTTGTTATGTCGGACACTGCATCCAACAACAACACCAACAAGAAACTGAAGCACCTCTTTCTTTATTTTCCTGCTTGTAAGTTCGGTAACAGACAGCATTATTATTATCCACAGGCTCTAGAGCAGTTGAAGAGGAGCAAAACCCCATCGACAGGAAGAGATCAAGAAGAACACCTTGTTTGTCCCCCCCTCGTCGTAAAAGACAAAACCTATTTTTGAGCACAGGAAAGCATTGCATCTCACGAAAAGGAGGAAGAGAGAACGAAGGGACATTACATGCCCGTCTTTGGTGGTGTCCTGTCTACTCCGTCTTCTTGGCTCATATATTTTTCTCTCTCTTTATTTTCATTGTTTGTTTTCCAGGCCGTTGTTTGTATTAGCTGTCTCCTTGCACTCCATAGCGTTGAAAAGGAGGTGAAAAAGGAGGTAGAAAGGGAGAATTGCGGAAGTGAATGAGAGAGAGATAAATAGAAATAGAGATGGGCAAGGGAAGATAAAACGAGAGTGAGATGCGTGAAGAGAGCGAGGGAAAGAGATTGTGGGGAGAGATAAAGAAAGAAAGAGAGAGAGAGGGATGGGCATCCAGGGTCAATTGAGGGTCAGGTACAACATGCCTCAGTGCACCACCTATCTATGTTCTTATGTAAGGGTGAACTAGTACTTCCTTCCCTCCTTCCCTTCCGTCCTTCGCCCCTCCAACAGACAAAGAGCGGAGAAGAGGGTTTGGTTTTGAGCTGCCCCGTTTCGACCTTGCAATCTTGTCTTGCCTTGCGTTGCGGACAAACGCAGACAAGTGGAGATATAAAAAGCAAAGCCCTTCCCCACCTCACTTTCGTTCTCTTTTTCGATCTGTATCTTATCCTGTCGCTCAACACACCGCACCCCAAATCTCGCATTACTCACTCCTCCTCCCGACTACCACTGATACCTCCGCCACTCTTCTCTTCTCGTCCCCGTCCACTCGCTTGGCCACGCCTTCTCCCTCTTGCCCTCTCGGCTTTCAGCGTGTCGGCGACGTGATCTATCTTCAGCGAAGACAAGAAAAAAAAGGTACGACGCCTACCTATGCCAGTTGCCCCTCGTAGGAGGGCAACGTGTTGTCATTGCGACGACTTCTTACGATCGAACACTATTCTGCACTATCACGCAGACGCACATACCCTCTTTTTGTTGGTGAGCCTATGAATCTGGCTCGTGTGGTGTCATGTCAGCAGTGATTGGGAGATCGTATTTTCCCATCCACCTTGAGCAAAGCCTTTCTTTATTCCTTTGTCTCTTCTTTCGCCCTTCTTCCGTTGACGGACAGAGTCGGCGATCCTGCGAACGACGATAGCAACAACAATTCATCGGCATATCCCTCGCACACATGTTGGCGCATTAGCACCTACACAACCCCACAAACCTATACTGTACACATGCGCAACAAACTTATATACAGACATATACACACCCTTGGACATACCCATCCTATTTTTTTTCGGGATTCCCATCTTTCGGCCATTTCTGTATGCTGTATCTAGAGCGAAGCTATCCGCGTTTTTTTACTGTACATTTCGCCATCCTACTCGTTATGAGCTTACCCATGGTCTTCTTCCTTGGTGCATAATTGAGGGGACATAAAAGAGGAGAGTGGGAATGAGAAAGAGGATGAGGAGGGTGAACGTTAAAAAAACAAGGGGTCTATTTTTCTGTCTTCTCTCTCTCTCTCTCTTCGTTTCTCACTTTTTCAATTGATCCGGTCGGCATTATGCTGCGTTGCTTCTTACAGTTCCCGAATCATCATGCGATTTGAGATAGCCTTCCAATGGCGAACAATTATGATGATGTTCTCAGTTTTTTTTTTCACCCCTTCCGTTGCGATGCAGTAGCAAGTCTTGTTGCAATACAATAGACAAAAAGGAAAGGAAAAGGAGAGACATGGAGGGGAAGATGGGGCAGACAGACCGACAGACAATAGGCATGATCGCAGGGGTGAATAGCTAGCGATACCCAAGTCCAAATACCATAATACCATTGGGTGGGGGATCTAGATATGCAAAGGCTAAGCGAAGCAAGCGAGCATGCGTTATTGCTACATGATCTGTGTATTTCTTCCGCCTTATCTTACCTTTGCTTCTTTCTTTCTCGTTAATTTTTTTTTCTACACACACATATACATATAAACACGTCCATCACCTCCGCGGGACCATTTTTATTCTCGCCCTCTTTCCAATCGCCATCCACACGTTTTTTTGTGCTTGTCTTGCATGGCACACAACAACAACAAACATAGTAACTGACGCCTTAGTTCTCCCCCCACCTCCCCCCGATTCCCGACACATTTGCGCACGCAAACACAGCTTGTCTCTTGTCCACCTCCCTTCTCCCTACCTCTATTTCTTTGCCACCCTCAAGCCCTTTCGCCTCACTCAGTAAGAACAAAAAACAACTCGTCCGAAGATGGATCCTTCAAAACTCTCAACCCCATGACGTTTTTTCTCTTTGTTCAAACGCTGTGGCATGCATGGGTCTGTGTTTCCCAAGAAAATAACAAGAGCATAAAAAAAAAAAAAAGCCGACTTACAAAGCCAGCATGCCGCCACTTCTCGACGACAACGACATCAATCGTTTTTCTACGCAATCAAACAAAACAAAGCAAAGCAAAACAAACGGCCTCCTGGACAAAAGAAATAATTGAAAGAGCGAAAAGTCCAAAACAATGAAAGGGTCGACAGTTTTTCAAGGGGCCGGTGCCATTTTGTTAATATTTCTGATCAAGGGGCAAAAATGCTGATGGCGAGAGTGTGATGGTATCCATGCTTTGTTATTGTTATTGTTGTTGTTGCTGTTGCTGTTGTTGCTGTTGGTTTCTGAACAACACGTTGGCATCAGCAGCTAGTTCAGACAGGCAAGGTGGAAGATATGAAGGCAGAAGGATGAGGGAGTGCAGGTTGTAAGCCAGTCAGGTCTAGATTGTCTTTCACTGCAAACAACAAGCGACTACGATGAGGTTTTGATTTGCCATCGACCTAGCAATGGAAGGGGGGTGAGATGGACGGGAGGATTGACGGTGTGTTTGTGTGTTTTGTGTTATGTGGACGGGAGACAAAAAAACGACGATGAAGACAACACCGTCAACAACAACAACAACAACAACAAAGAAAACAAAAAAGAGGGTATGTGCGCTTGTCTATTTTTGTAACCAGGCGTTCATTCATTCAACTTCAACAACAATGACAAAAGGAAGGGAAGGACAACATCATAGGGGAAGCAATCCCGTACCACCCACCATAACATTCCGCAACAACTCGTCTCTAAACCACCCCTTTTTTGTAATTCAGCAACCTGTATGTTGAGTTCTCTTTAAGCAGGCAATCCTGCTCATCTCTCATGCTCTCCCTCGTTTGTGTTTGCTCAGTGTGCTCTAATCCTTTTTCACGAAATATATAAACCCATCCCTATCTTCCTCCCATATACACCGCTCTTACCCTGTCTGTCCCCCTTCTCGCCACTCGTTTCTACACCACACCCTCCAAACCACAAATCGTTACACATTTCCTCTCCTGGAAATTCACACACATCCCTTCTTTCCCTTTCCTGCCTCAGAGTATGGCTGTTACTACCACTTAGGAGTGAGCCCTTTCATCCTTCCTTTTCTTTCTTTCTTTTTTGATCCCTGCAGACAGACCCTCTATAGAAAAAACTAACCATTATATCCTCACTCACTCCCTGAAAATAAATAGCGCAATCCTTGCTGCAGATATCGTGTTTTCTTTGCAGAAAACAGACGAAGACAAGGTAAGAAGATGAACAGATGAACAGATGAACACAAGAAGAAAGGGTGAGACTGATAGTCCACTATTTGTACCCTTTTGTCTCTACTTCCTCCTCCTCCCCCCCCCCCTCCCCCTCCTCCCCTTCCTCCCCTTCCTCTCAAATCCTATGCAGTCGCGCACCTTTCCGTCATCAATTGATCACCGGCTTTTCTGCTACGACTACTGCGCCTATCATCAAACTTTCACCCCATTTCGCGCCATTCAAGGGCGAAAACAAGAAGAGTACATTATTGAGCGCAGCCTAAAGATGAGCTAAGGATGCAAGTGCCATTTTGAACTCTTTTCAATTGACGATGATGACATGGTGTTCATAACCATCGCTGGGCTCCCGGTGTACGTCCTCGTTATCGCTTCCGATCGTACCTTCCTTCCCTCCTTCTCTACCCCGATTCATTTTCCTGTGTGCGACTGAGAGCAATTGTTGCTACGGACATTTTATGGACATCATTGACCACCTTTTTTGAGCCCCCCTTGCCCCCTTACTCCACATGGGCTACGTCTTTGTCGCACCAAAATGCTCACCCTCCCTTTTGCTTACGAGGAAGGTTGACGAAAGCAGTTCATCGTTTGTCAATTGGGGGGAGGGGGTTGGAAATGACAAGAGGTCGGCTTAGCTTGCTTGCAATATCGAGCAAGCAGAGGGAAAGAGTAACCCATATATGCAGTTCTCATACAAATGCGGGAGGGGGTCAAGGCGTGTTTCTTGTCGTTGTAACCAACTTCAAACCCATTACTTCTTCCTCGTCTTCCACGCCCTTGCTTGCCACTTACTTGATTGATCTTTATGATTTATCATACCATACCGTAGCATGAAAATAAGCAGGGCGCAATTCTCTCGTCCAGTTCAATCCTCCTTAGTGTCGTTATTATTATTTTTATCATCATTACCCCAACGCAATCTTCCCTTACTACTTGTAACTGTCCATCACAAATAGCATCGCCGCATACCTTCCTTTCCGCTCGCCCTCTTTTTTCATAATCCCCATCGATTCTTTCCTTTACTTCTTTCTTTCCTCTGTCGACTCTAAGCATTGAACATCCATTTAACCATCTCTTCTTCTCTCTTTCTTTCTGTTTTTTTTCCTTCCTCACTTTCAGCCTTTATTCCGAAACTTGCTGCTCATACGTTATCATCTCCTCGACCCTTCGATCCACATCTTCCTCCGTCACGTCCTTTTCCTGCTCTCCTTTTACCAACGCCCTATCCCACACACACATACAACATGCCTTCCTTCCTCAAAAGACTTTCCTCCTTTGCCGGAACAACAAAGCCATCATCATCGGCTAGCCAATCACCCAAGGAGAAGAAGACGCCCAAGTCATCTCGCCAGCAAGAAAAGTCAACACAACCATACGGCAACCAGCCCATATATCCTCAAATCAAAGATCCACGGGAACCAACGACGCGTTCACAGAGTGAGGGTTCGTCAAGCAATTCCTCCACGCCGTCCTCGACATCAGCTACACCGACCATCTCATCAGCGTCCTCCCTCTCCCTCAGCCTGCCAGACTCTCCTGCCTCCTTCGCCTCCTGTGGTGGGCCATCATCATCTGCACCGCATCAACAAAACTCCGAGGCGTTACAAAAAAAGCTCTCTCACCTCAAGGACGGCAACCAGGAGGAGGGAACTACAGCAACAACTCAGCAACAACAACAACATCCATCCTCCTCTTCCTCCTCCTCCTCACAATCAACCAACATGCCATCTGTCCAAGAGCGCGCCTCCCGTTCCACTTCATCCACCCAAAAGATGAAGCGCTTGTCCATTAACTCGCTTTCGGTTCTCTTTCGCCCTCAATCAAGATCGATGCCAATGCTTCAGGACCCAATTTCCGGCTTTGTTACCGATCCGCACCAAATGAAGCACTACCATTCCACGGTCCTCTCACCAACATCGACAACCCACCCTACCCCAAGCAGTAGCAACAGCCAGCGCGCTAGTATAGACAATGTCAATGGGAGTGCAAAGCGGATGTCCGTCGCGAGCACTGTGAAGGGCAAGAAGAGCAGACCCATGTCGTTGTCGACCATGCTCTTGCAGAGCGACCAACAGACCAGCAGTCCTCAGCCCCGACTGCCTCACCAGCTCAAGGCTACTCGCTGGGCTAACAGAGGTGGCATTGGCGCCAACGAGATGATGGTTGGATTGGAAACGACTGGTATCTTTGGTAAGGAGTTGATGCACTGTTTCCCTTCGCATTCTTGGATTCTTGGTGGCAAAGCAGCGAAATGTCATCTAATCCTTGTCTGACACACTCCCTATGATAATGTAGTCCCCTCCAATGACCGTCGGCTCCGTGCAGAGTTCGTGTACCGCTCAGTCATCCAGTGTGCTGATGAAATTCGCCAGCGAGGTAAATGTTTCCCTGTACACCAACAACATACGCCACTGTTCTGTGACAAACAAGAGAGCACATGACTCGAGTTGATCCGCATACTTTAATTTTTCGTGTTACATGCCGCCAAGTATGCGAAGGGTATCAATTGCACAGCACAGCACATCAATATCTGATATGAAAACATCTGTTGTTGATCGATAGGCCTTGTACACGCGAACATCTTTGCGAACCCTTCGCCCAAGAAGGTGATCACCGCGATGATCGCGTTGATGATCGACCAGGAGCGCTGCGACTTCTATCCGATGCAGTGTCTCAGGATTGACACGGTCGTGAGTCTGATGCTGAACCTGATGTCCCAGATGTCGAATCCCATCATTCCCTACGTCGTTATGGAGCACTACTTCCATCAGTCCGGACACACCACCCGCTCCTCCCCCGCCAACCCCGTTAATCTGCCCTCTCCCTCAGACTCGCAAGCAGAACGCGCCTTCTACTTTACCGTCGGAGACAGTCTCCCCGTCATCCCCGCCTTGCCGCTGAAAGGCGCCTCCATGGTGTCCTCGCATGCAGGCTACCTCTGGGCTCGCGACTACTTTGATCTTCACACCTTCCTCGCTGTCCTCCCTGCCATCAACCGTGCCATCCTCTTGGAGGTGCTGCATCTCTGCCAAGAACTCATGGAGTACCAGATCCAGAACCGTTTGACCATCAGCCGTTTGGTCCAGCAAATCGCGCCCGCACTCTTCTCGACTGTCTTTGACCAAAAGATCTTGGAAACCATGGCTGGAGGTTCAAGGAGATGCTCTCTCTACGGCGACAGCATAAGCCCCCAGGACGGCAGTCGCGCAGAGAATCATCTTTTCACGGTCATCTTGGTCCGATTCCTCCATATTTCGTCCAGTGGTTCTCCTACAGCGGACCCATGTCTGAACGCCTACAGGTCCGTTGCTGTTTCTGATGAAGGATCATCGTGTTCGATGCAGGATGTTGAACTCCATGGACGCTATCCATCACAGGCCTCGTCGTCAAGCGGTATGAGTGGAAGCGACTACGAGCACCAAAACCTCGCGTTCCGCAAGAGCCAGCAGTGGCATCATCAAGAGCAGCAAGGTTACTACAACCAGATGGAGCGGTCCTTCCAAGAGATGGAGATCCTGCAGCGCCCCCCGCAGCACTTCGGATACCACCCTGCCCAGCAAGACCAGCACACAGTGCAGAAGCTCAATCAGTCATCATCGTCGAGTGTCAATGTTAGCGACTTTGGGATCTCTCAGAAGGTCCATGAACCCCTGCGGTTTCCTTCTCAGGACACCAACACTAGTCTGAATGTCGGCGGCGACTTTGCGCGGCATGAAACCACACTCGAGAACAGCCACTGTGACCATATCTGGCGCGGTCATGGTTGTCGAGACGAACAAGGCAATACCATTATGTAAACATACAGCATTTTTTTCTCACGCCTTAATTGTAGACATTTTTTCTTTTTGCATGTCAAAAGAGGCTTCTTTCATCCACACACACCCCTTTTAAAACAACCATTATTAAATATCATCAGCATGTCCACCAGAACAAAATTACATAGAAAAGGGCCATGGAGAGCGAGGAAGTGAGTAGAAATAAAAGTGTAGAGTGTACCTTCTTGATCCCTTAGCTTTCTCATACTTTCTTTCCTCTTCTTTCAAAAAAAAAGAGAGAGAAGGGAGTCACCTTTTTTCTCCTTCATCTTACTCTCATCCTTCTCTTCTTTCTCTCGTGTCAATATTTCTCTCTCTCATCGAAAAGGGTTCAAAGAAAGGGCTGAGGAGGGTTCAAGATGGTCCAGATCTGATTTTCGCAAAGCATTCCTCATCGAATTCACTATTGTTTTTGTCTTGCATCATCCTTCTTTGCTTCGGCCACTCCGCGCTGTCCATTCCCTTCTGCTTTCTCTAATTATCACACTTTGTGTTTTCCTCTTTTCATTCATCATCCAACATCCTCTTCATACGTTCCACTATCCTGGGATCACCTCTCACACTTCATTTCCTCAGGTATCCTACTAACTCTCCACCATTTAGTAGATATCAAAATGAGGTTGTGTGTGAGAACATTCGCAGCCGCTGGGCTGGTTCTCGTATCACGTCTCGCCATCCTCCAATCCAACTCCTCGCTACCGTCGTCAATGCACTAGATATTGGTATTCAGGATATTAACCTACTACGGTCACAGCAACGAGAAGCACAGCAACAAGCCTTCCAACAAGTACGATTTGACGACCTGGCAATGGCTCAGGGTCAAGATGTCTTCTCTGCATCCTGGAACCATGGGAAGAAGGAGTATCGACACTCAGCCCGATAGTACCTGTGGGGCTCTCACGTTTGTCGATATCTGCGACGATACCGTCAACAGTCTCCAAAAGGCGGCCATGGGAGTTGTCGGCCAGGCCAAGAGCATTGTTGAGTCTGCTGATGTTTGGGGTGACTTTCTCAAGCCCTACATGGACGACGCGGAAAGATATGCCAATATCCCCTTTAATTCAATCGAAGTCGCCAAATACACGGCGGTGATAACCTCGGCCCTGGCGATCTTGCCGAGCATCATCAAGAAGCACGCCGATGCTCTTGTCACGATGACTGGGCTTCTCGCTTGTTGCTCACCCTCGGCTCATCTGCCCTGGATCTTGTTGTCGAACCAGCGCAGCAGGTTGGCCAGTGCAGAGGAGTCCCCAAACTGTCTCGGCATCAAGGTATAGTTATGAAGAATGTCATCCTTGGACTGTGCGACAGCCCCCCTACGGCGATGACGCGCCTTGCAGGAGGATACATCACCGAAATCGAAAACCACGGAGACAAGTTGATCGATGGCGGCTTCAGGGGAGACAAGTCGTCTGCCTAGGCGCTGAAGGGTTGCGTTGGCGGTATTATCGGCACTGTTAGCGCCTTCCATCTTACTAGTGTTACGAGCGGCATTAAGGTCCCGATAGATATCCTCAACGACCTGTTGGACTCTGTCTATGAATGCTAGCTAGCGTCTTTTGAATACATGCAATGCCATTTTTTGATATCTTTGTTGCTTGGGCTTGGCCATCACTGAAATACGCCACCAAAATGTTGACTTTGTGACGGTCATTTGGAATGTTGTTTACATTTCGCGCTCTCTTTTTTTCTTTTTTTTGTCCTTCTTACCTTGCCCACCCTTGTCCTCATTGTTCGTGCAGCAGACCTCCTTTGTTCATCGACATTCCCCACTCTCCCCCTCTTTCTCGCTCTGCTTCGCTTGAAGCACAATCACTTTTCTCGCACACGCACTACATTCACACGAACACACTTCGCCTCTCTACATAATACCAGGGTGGATAAAAAATGGCTACAGTCGTACAAGCAACGCCCACCAACCTGCTGGACTCGTTGATCCGCCGGTATCTCAAGGACGACCTCACTGTCCGTGACTACGTGCCCTTTGTTCTCGAGACCATCACCCACCACCGTCTCTTGCACGACCGTAACGACCACCCTGACCCCACCACCGGACAGCAGTCGACCCAACATCGTATTTGGACCCAGCGTCTTCGTGCTCTCCTCGAGTCTCAGCAGCCCGGGGCCCGGTTCGCAGGGGTCTGCTTTGTTCGCATTACCGCCCAGCAGAGCGCATCCATGTTCACGGATCACGTCAGGTCTTGGGTCACTCTCCTCGTTGGCATGCTCACGGTATGTTATTTAATTTTATTTTTATATTTTTATATTTTTATATTTTTATATTTTTATATTTTTATATTTTTATATTTTTTTATTTTTTGCCGACAACTCGAGATGGATCATGTTTTGTCGTTCTACTACAACTTGGTGCGTGCCTGGTACTTACCCTTACATTGACTTATTCCATGGGTATATAGAAACACGAGAGTACAGCAAACTTGGAGGCGATTATCAACACATTGTCAGAGCTGTTTGCAAAGACGGCCAAGAGACTTGATCTGAAAAGTGATGTCACATCCAAGTACCTGCCTGACTTCCACAACCACATCTTGAACCACAAGGACAAGAAGGAGCTCCTTGTAAGTTCCTCGTTATTCCATGTCAAATAATGGGAGAATTTCGAATGCTATTCTCAGAGCATTTTTTTAACTTCTTTCAAACTATCTTTGCACACTAGCCTACAATCTACAAGGCGCTCACGCAATCCGTGACATTGTTCCCTACAACTTTCCGTTTGGCAGTTGACAGGACTGAGGCTTTGTGCGTTGCTTACATGGATGGACGGTTCGACATGGAGCCCGAGGTGATCAAGGCAGCTGCGACCTGTTTCGCCGCACTGCACGCTGCAGGAGGCAAAAACCCCAACCATCCCACAGAGAGAATCACGCCCTCAGAGCAATGGCGTAACAACGTTCAGGAAGTCATCAAGGCCATCCACAGATGTTTGAACGAGTTGCTCACCACCGTTGACGAAGGTACTTGCTTGATTTTTTGGTCACACCTGGTTCGTTCAGTCGATAGTTAAAATGTGTGACTAATTTACTCGCAATGTTTTTTTTTTTTCGCGACGAGTAGACAAGGCGGATCAAACAGAGATGACTGGCAGGAACAAGTACTTGACAGGCATGCCCGCACCTGCTAAGGATGCGGTGGAGAGATACCCTCAGCTGTTTGCACGATTTGCCAGTCTGTCCAAGGTCTTGATCGCGTGTTTGACATGCCCCACCAAGGATGCCGTGCATTTGCCTCTCAACAGCCTTGTCGCCCTCTTGACTCGCGTCTACAACACCAACGCCAAGACGCCCATGTCGGATGCTCGTGGAATTGACCAGCAGGAGTACTTTATTTTGATCGCTGGCATCTCTTCAGTTCATCTGACTGCCAACGAGGTCTTGAAGACTTTGCTGGCAACTGCGCAGGATCATCTGATCCGCCACATGTCCCACCTTGCCTCGATCGCCATCAAATCGATCCGTCATTCGTCTGGATCCAGCAGCATTCTTCGCAGCTCGACCTACTCTGTGATCGAGTCCTTTATTCAGGCGTTCGGGATCCCCTTTGTTAACATGGTCCAGGTGCCCCTGATGGCTGCCCTTCTGGAGGACTTGCGCATGCCCTCTGCCCGCGTGGTCAACCCCCTCGAGATTGGTGCTGGAGGAGCCAACCCCAACAGTCGTGCCAACAACCATACCAACACCACTAAGCACAAGGGAGGCGCTGGAAAGAACCGTCGAGGCGGTAATACCAACTACGCCAACCTTTCTGCCCTGAACCCACTGGAGGAGATTGTCGGCGCCCAGGTGTTCACTGCCGCGCTGGACATCTTGTCCCTGGTTCTCACAACTTCGGGACCTAACCTGTCCCCTCATGCCCGTGCCGCTGCCGACACCTTGGTCGTCAGCCACCTGTTGAACAGCCAGCACCATGCCAACCCCATCGAGCAGTCCGAGACACCCTTCTATACGACCATGGTTCGCGCTCAGCTCTACAAGGCCCTGACAGCTTCAGTCTCATCCCCTGGTGAGACCCAGTCGAGCTTGGTCCCACTTAGTGTGGGAATCTTCAAGGCTGGTCTGAGTGATCCTGAGAAGTTTGTGAGAGACAACTGTACGACAGCCTTGACGATCTGTGACTTGGTGATGCACAGCCGCATGCCCCCCATGCAGCGCGCTCGTACCATTGCCAAGCCCTTGGCCAAGGGCGAGAAGCCTGTCCAGGAGGCTGGTACGACTCTCTTTGGAAATTTTGAGGTTGCTGAGGCCAAGTCTTCTGCCAAAGTTGCCGCTGATGAAGATGAGGAGGAAGAGGAGAGTGAAGATGAAAAAGAAGAGGAAAACGAGGAGGAGGAAGAGGAAGAGGAGGGTGAAGACGTAGAGATGGAGCAGCTCAAAGAGGTGGACACCCCCTCTATTACGGCCTCCATGACAGCTTTCAAGGCTGCTGGAGCTGCTGCTAAGCCTGCCGCTACCACAACTACTACTGCCACCAGCAGCAGTACTGTCTCGGCACACAAGGAGGAAGGTGCTAAGATCAGCTCAAACAGCATAGAGGCGACCAAGACAGTGTCGTCGACATCTGCGACGGCCGCTATCACAGACGACGTGTCGTCGACAAAGACTACAACGACAACCAGCACAACGACAACTCTTTTGGCCAAGACCTCTTCCGTCTCTGCATCGACACCGGCGCCAGCACCTGTTGCGGCCGTGACAGCAGCAGTGGCAGACGATCTTGACGATGATGAGATCCCAGACATCAATATGGATGACGATGATGACGACGAAGATATGGATAGCGACTAGAGTATCAACTACACCTTTTTTTCTGCATTTCCGTTCATACCTCTCCTTTCATTCATCCGCATCTTATATTAAAAACCCTATGCACGTTCCAATCCATCATCATATCCTCCTTCCCCTGCCAATTTTTCTCTTACCTCTTCATTCCTCTCTAATCTTATTTGTACCTCGTAAATTGCTTTCATTTTTCTTCATCTCACATGAACATGCAGACCAATATTGTGCGGCACTACTTCTTCAAAAACATGAGGAACGTAGTTGCCTTTACCAGACGTGTGTATTCGAACTGTGAAGGGAGTGATTGAGTGAGTGTGTGGAAGGAGGGGTGGAGGTACTGCATAAGCACAGAGATCAAAGCAAGATCGGGGGAGAAAGAATGGTTTCTGGAAGGGCGTCTATGAGTGAAAGAAGTTACTTTTCTATTTTGTTAGTCCAAAGGCGGCCATTTTTTTATCTTTTGTTCGCAGGATGATCTTTGTTCTAGTTTTTATTCAATTCAAGGTCAAGACAGAGGGGGTATGGTGCCTGGAAAGGGTCAAACTTCCAGTGGAACACTCCTGTGCAACATGTCAGATATCTGTCTTTCGCGTGTCAGAACACCATTTCTTTTTGCGTATCACTTTGCCTTTCAAGTACGTAGTTTTCTACTTTCCTGTGGCATTTCACTGGATTCAAGGAGGAGCTCAAGGAAAAAACAGAACAATCCAAGGACACACATACGTACACACCCGGAGATGTTTCTCTTACCTTCAATGTCAAGCATGTCTATCTGTACCTTGGAAAATGGATCACCCTCCGCTTCCGTCCACAGCACTCTATATACCATATGCATCAACCCATCCCCACCTCGGCGCTTCCCCCCTTCCCTGCGAGGCGGCTGGGTTCTTCATAAACAAATATACTCAAGAAAACACATATTGTGCTCAATTCACAGGGGTGATCTTTCGGGTTTCTTACTTTTATTGTTGTTTTTTTTTGTTTTGCTAAGAACGCTTACCAACGCCACTACCGCCGCCAGCAGCAGCAGCGGCGAGGTTCCGCTTCCTGTTAGCCGCAATTGCTGACGCGTGAGCGTGTGCGGCCGCCGCAAGTGCCGACGACGATTTTTTGAGAGGGTTGCTGTAGCCGCTGTTGTTGTTGTTGTTGTTGGTAGTAGTGGAGGAGGAGGACATCATTTGTGTTTGTGAGCGGTTCAGAATCGAGGTGGGGTTGTTGATACTTGAGGAGAAGTGTCTGCTGCTGCTGCTGCTGTTGTTGTTGGCGTTGGAGGTAGAAGAGGATAAGGATTTTGGGTTGCCTTGATGAGTGGTGTTGATGTTGGTGTTGTTGGTAAAAGTGTTCTGGGGACGTGTTGCTTCTTCCATGGCCAAGTGGTAGGCCGCTCTTCGTTCCTGATGTTCCCTGTCACGTGCCTCTTCCTAAATAGTTCGATATCAAGTTATGCGTTATCTTGTTAGAGAAAGTATACAGGAGAATGTGATAGACAAGAAATAAGCAAACAAAAGAGAAAAGGAGGAAGGATATCCGTACCATGGTCTGACCCTCCCATGCAGGATCCTGCAGCAGCTTCTGGGTATGCTCTGTCTGGGACAGGACACGGATCCACATATCCAGTAATGTATTCGTCTCATCCGCCGTCTTGTAAAATGTCTGTGTTGTTGTGTTGTGAATGTAGGGTTTAGGAGAATGTTAGAAGATCCGCAACTTGAAATCATTCCTGTCGCAGTAATGATGATGGGATATCGATAAGGACAATTCCTTCTTGTTTTGTTTTTTTCTTCATTTGGCGGGGCGCACCTTGAGTTTGTCCCTAGCTTCGGTCATACTGGTATCAATCGCATCAAACGCCCGGACCAACCGCCGAGTCTCTTCCAGCTCTGTCAGGATCGACCCCTGTGAATACGATGACGATGATGGTACCACTCCTCCACCTCCTGCTCCTGCTCCCGTTCCCGTTCCTGCACCCCCCGCGCCTACTGATGTCGACATAGCTGCCCTCTGCTGTTGCTGCTGCTGCTGTTGTTTCTGTTGTTGTTGCTGTTGTTGTTGTTGTTGTTGTTGTTGTTGTTGTTGTTGTTCCTGCTGCTCGGAGGCATAGACCTCTGGAGGATCAACGTTATACCGCGCCCGCTTGACACGACTTGGTGTGCGCATCCCCAAAGGAAGTCCTGCAGCAGTAGAAGAAGGGGCGTTGGCGTGTTCTGAGGAAGATAGGGAGAAGTTATTGTTGCTTGTAGTAGTGGGTGCAGAGGCTCCATTGCTGGAGGTCTGGTATTTCAGGTAGCTCATCGTTTTTTTTTTTTTTCTCTCTCCTCCTTTTGATGTTTGTTTTTGATTTGTTGGCGTGGATGACGAGTGTGGTGGGGATGACTCTCGGAAGAGAGGGGGTGGGGTTGTTGTTGTAAAGTAAACGATGTTGGTTGTGGGGCCTTGGGAAGATGATGTTTGGTCCTGTGTGCGTCTGGTCCTTCCTGCTGTCCTTGAGGCGTCCTTGTGTGTTTGGCGATTGAAAAAGAAGTAAAAAAAAAAGATCGAGTAGGTGGTGATGGGCAAAATAGCGAAAGGGTGTCTGGTGTCTGTGTGGCTTTGCGACGCGTTCATTATTCTTTGCCACGAAAAAGATAAAAAAAAAAAATCAATCACACATATCATTCATATTCAGGAACCATCATCACTTTGACGCATTAATGACGACTTGTTTGTTATGAAAATGCAAAAAAAATGTATGTATTACTTTTGTGAACGAAAAAAGGAAATGATATCAATGGTGGGGATGGTAGTGGGTTAAGGAAGGTGAAGAAAAACGAGAAAAGAAAGAGAATGAAAAACAAAAACCTAAGAACGACGGCCGGGCTTGCCAGACTTGCGCTTCTCGGCCTTGCTCTTGTTGGTCAAGGAAAGACCCTCCTTGCCTCCCTTGCGCAGCGACGTCAATGGGACATATGCATAGGGGTCGACACGGCCCTTCTTCTTAACATCTCCTCCTGCCTTCTTGGCCTTGAAGTCCTGACCCATCAACTTGACAGGGCGCTGGTCCTTGAGTCCCTTTGACCGGATAGGTCCTGGACCACCGGCCTGCTCCATCTCGGTATCGTCGTCCTTGCCAACACCGCGCTTGTTGGTCTTGTTGAACTTGATCCTGCCGCCCTGGCCACGTGTGAATCCGTCTACAGACTTCAATGACTCGAGGTAGTTGTTCTCGGCTTGATCCAGCTCCATAGTCTCCTCATCCACCTCCTCATCATCATCGCCGCCCTCGTTCTCGTCGTCGCTATCGTTAATGACAAGCTTGCCATCGGACGAGGTCTTGAAGCCCGACGACAAGTCCTTGAGCTTGCGAGGCGTCTGTGTGCTGGGGTGCGAGGCTGTGACACGCGAGACAACGGTCCGGTCGAGGAAATCCAATGGGGTATCGCCATCCTCCTTGATCCAGGCATCAGCACCCTGCTTCTTCTTGTTGGACTTCTTCTGAGTGCCCTTGCCCTCGTTGGCTCCCTCATCATCCTCGTCATCGTCACTGAGATCACTCTCACTGCCGTAAAGAGCATCCTCGTATGCGCTTCCAAAGTTGGTCTGCATGTAGAGGGGCTTGTTCGACTTCTTGGAGGTATCCTCCTCACCCTCTTCGTCATCTTCACCATCCATATCCATGCCAGAAGAGCCGTTCTTCTTGTTACGCTTGGCACGCTCACGGCGTTTCTTGATGTTGATCAACAGCTTCTTGTCGGCCTCGGGAACAAAGACAACGACATCATCGTATCCAAACCGACGAACAAGACGCTCGAGAATGTGACGGACCTTGACCTTGAAGTGACCCTTGTGCTCGTGCGACCAGCGAATCATACCGCTGACAATATCCTTCAAGTGGCCGCGGACAACATCGACATCCAGACTGACGGTAGTGACCTTGATGAAACCAAGAGCAGACTTGACAATCTCGCGGTTCGAAGAGTTGACGAACAAGTGCATGGTGCCAATCATCTCCGAGACCATTGAGGGCTCCAAATCCTTGTGGAACTCAAACAAGAGTCTCGACAACGATGTGATGGCGGCAGAGACCATGTGAGGGGTAGTACCAGCCAAACCGGCCGTCACCATGGTGAAGTACTCGCTGATCGTGGCAGGGGTCTCGACAGCCTCGCCCTCCATATCACCAACGCGCTCGGTCGAAATTACACCGCCGGCCTTCATCTTGTGACCCATGGCGACCAAAAGGGCATAGGCGACATCACGGGTCTTCTCGTTGACCTCCTTGGTGGCGACAACAACCTCGGACAAAATCGAGGGGACAAAGTACAAGTCGGTGGGCTCCAAGAGCGTGATCACCTGACCGATCAACGACAGACGAGCACGCTTGGCCGTGGCGGTGGCAGCAGCGGTGGTATCCAAGATGTTGCGCATGAGCTCCTCCAAGTTGGCCTTCAACACAATACGACCAGTCTCAGTCTCGGCCATCGAGTTGACAATCTTGTAGGCCTTCTTCTGGAGAGCGGCATCGGCATCGTTGGCGAAAAGGGAGACGACGATCGAGTACAAGTTGGCCATGCTCTGTCCATCAACGTAGGGGACCATGATATCGGCAAGATCCATCAAGTTGTGCGAGGCGGGGGGAGCATCGCCCTGCTGGACGGGGGGCTGGACGGTGGTCAAGGCAGTGTTGAGCTGGACCAAAACAGCCGAGAAGGTCTCCTGCAAGTCCTTGGGGGTCGAAATGCTGAGGTACATACGCATGACCTCCAGAAGGTATCCGCGGAACTGAGGCAAAGTGGCCTGGAAGATGTTAAAGAACACCATGAGGTAAGGGCGGGAGTATTGCTGAAGGATCTCAATGTTACGGGCAGCCTCCTCCTTGGTGACCAAGAACTTGCGCTCCAAAACCTCGTCGCTCTCTGTGCTGGCAACGATGGCCTGGTTGCGAGTGACCAAGCTGGTCAAGGCCTGACAGAGGACAGGGCGGAGATCAGGAACGGAGTAGAGGACGTTACTGACGCGCTCAGCGACCTCCTTGGTGAATGCCAACTCCATATCGACGGGCAAATCGCAGAAACCGCTAACAAGGCTCCAGACCTGACCGATCAAAGTCTCGTAGACCTTCTTCATCATTCCATTCTCGCGGCACTCCTGAGCCTTTTGGTTGAGACGGTCGGCCAAGGGGATCAAAGTAGTGGCAAAGTACTCGAACTCGGTGTTGGTGATAGAGCTCTTGAGCAAGGGCAAGAGCCAGGCACGACCACGCTTGCGCTCCTCGGGGTTGTCGATGTTTAGGGGAAGAGTGTCCAAGAAGATGCGAGGTCCAACAGTGCTGATGGCGGTGGACAGAACGACGTCCAAATGGGCCTTCTGGGTGAAGGCGGGAGTGAAACGGAGCTCATCGATGATGGGGAGGAATGAGACCAACAAGGGGTTGGCGGCGTGGTTGAGGCGCTCGAAAAGAGTCTTCAGAATTTCCAAAACGCCCAACCAAGAGCTCTGGTAACGAATGTCGAATCCTCCCTTGATGGTGGCCGAGATGGTTTCAATTACGTTTCGCTTCTTCTTGCTGTCGGGCTGCTGTCCACGGTTGCGCTTCAACTCCTGAACGGCAAGGTCGATCATCTCGTCGGTGATGCAGTGGGTGATCAACTGCTTGAGGCAGTCGACGGTCGAGTTGTGAACAGAAACAGGGTTGGACGAGTCCAAGTTGGGAAAGATGACCTTGAAGAGCTGAACGAGAGGGACGATAGCCTCCTGGGGGATCTGAGCACCCTGGCCAGCAGCCTTCAAAATATCCTGAAGTCTAGCAGACTCGACGAAACCGGCACGAACAACATCCAACCAGAGGGGCATCAATGTGGCGTCGTTGGCGTTGGGCTTGAGTTCCAAGACTGCACTCATAACCTGGGTGACCTTGGCGAGTCTGGAAACAATCTGGTCCATGTTCTCTGCTGCCTCCTCCTGAAGGACAACCTTGGGGGCATCTGCCGACTCCTTTGGTGAAAGCAACGACTCAAAGACTTGGAAAGCCGAAGATGTGAGATATGGGTTGTTGAGTTTGGGAAGGTGAAGGAGAATGTCGCAGAGAGGGAGGAATTGCTAATTTCAAATAGAAAATACGATCGATAGTCCAGGGTTAGCATCTTGTGGGTCTTATTCAGCATACTTTTTTCTCGCTCTCCAGGGAGTATAGAAACCCGGATTATATACCTCGACGGGCCAGGCCTTTCCGACCATCTTGACGAGTTGAAGGGTATGCAAGATCATCTGGGTGGCGTTTTCCTTATCCTTGGCTCCGGCAGCACCGACTACTCCGTTACCAGACTCTTTGAGGATCTGCAATGTGGTCTGGACAACAACCTTCATTCCTGGGTGGACAATCATCATCAGAGGTGGGTGAGTGACAATGTTCCTGACGGCCTCCTGAGCACGCTTCCTGGGCTTGGGGCGAGAGTCGAGTGAAAGAATAAGAAGAGTCTGGAGTGCCTTCAAGGTTGTGGTCTGGTTCCATGTGGCAGAGTCCTGTGCGATCAAAAGGTGCTCCAAGCAGGTAACCAGGGAGCGCATCGAGGGTGCTGAGGGTGCTGGCTGGAGAGCGAGAATAGTTGTGAAGACGCTCAAAGTGGGGGTGTATTGAGAACGAAGAACGCTGACGGGGACACTATTGATCAGGGAATAGCAAGACTATTAGTATTACATTCGTGTGGGTGTGTAGTCAATACTGTTAGAGCTGAAAAGTTGTCCTGACAAGCAGGTCTTACCTAGGGAAGACAATGGCGAGAAGGTTGAGAATGGCGGCGCGCATCTCCTCGACTTCAGGCTCGTCCTTCTGCTGATCCAAAAGCGACATCTACAAGTTTACAAAAGAAGCGGTGGGTGCGTCAATGACAATGTCCTGGGCCTGACTGATATACATGTGCACACTGTTCTGGCTGGTTCCTTTGCTGGAATGCTGGCTGTGACGACAAGTTGCAGTTTTATCATTACCAGCGTAGCGAAGTAGGCGGTTGGTGTGATCTCGGCTCCTTGCTCTTTCAAGGTCTATTCAGAAGAAGTAATAACAAGTAGACGGACATCAGGTTAACTCCTTGCTTTCTGTTGCACATTGCGGAGGACTGACAATCGCCGTTGTCTCCTGGAGTCAACGTTGAGCAAACCGCTCGATGCGAAAGTGCAAACTATTACCTCTTCAACAGCGAGCAGCGTAGTAGCATGCATTTGCTGGTTGGCGAGCTTGGACGACAGCTGCGTCCTATGTAATGTTCAAATCAGCACAGACATGAACGTAGTAGAGAAGGAAGGGTATCGCATAGAAAGTCAGTCAAAAGTGCTGACTCTAGTCTGCATAGTTTTTTGCTCCGTTTGTTAAGAGTAAGTTGGTGCTGCATGGGAGAAAGAGGCGGTGGGGTGAAGTACGAGTGTATGAATGGGGATTTCTGCAGGAAGAATAAGAGTGTCGACTTGCCTAATCTTGGCAAAATGCTCATCCATCGTGCCGTTGTGTGTGAGAGGTGAGGACAAAGGAGTGTGATGGACAAAAGCAACAACTCATGAAGAAAAAAGAAAAAAAATAATTTGTTTATTCAACAAAGGCAGTCCCATCACTCGTCGCAGTCACTTTAATGTTAATGTATTAGGGTATCTGGACCACTAGAACAAGTCGGCAAAGACCTCTCGTATCACATCCTCATCGACACCGAGAAGCCTCAGCTCCTCCCATCCTATCCGAGCTCGCTCCCGCAGGTTCTTGCGGTTAGCATAAATAATCTTGTCCACCTGCTGCTGCTGCGCCCAATGTACCTGTTCTTGCGGCGTAAGCTCCATCGCCATCGAGGCGCGTCCAGACGTTCCTTGCATAGCAACGCTTCGGGGGGGTCCCCCTACACCCCCTCCACGAGAACGACCTGTCCGAGAGGCCGGCGGTGAGAAAATGTCAACGGTGACCTTGATCAGGCTGTGGTTCCGTCGGATCCCTTCCATAATAGGGTTGCGCGTCCAAGGAGCCGCAGAAGAGGTGGGCAATCCTGTATCATCATTAGCACCGGTAACGACTCGCGTCCTCGTTCGAGGGCTCATGCTGGGGTGCTGTGATTGTTGTGGCTGTCCAGGGCTCGTGGTGTCGTTTGGACTGTAATGAGGGCTGGATGGAACGCTGAACTTGGACTTTAGGGCGTCGCCAATTTTTTGAGACATCGACTGGCCATGGCCTGCTGACGCGAATCGTCCCAATCGTTGGCGATGTTGCTGCTCCTCCTGCTGGTGTAATAAATGAAAGTTCCTGTACATGTTTTCGTTCTGCTGATGCTGTTGTTGTTGTTGTTGTTGTTGTTCCTGGCGTTCCTGATTGCTCTGCTCCGTCGCGCTGCCACCAACACCACCACCGCCGCCCAGAAGGGACTCATCCGTTCCTCCCATCCAGAAAATGAGCAGCGATCGATTGAACGACAAGGCCTGGCCCATCAACTGGACATCCTCGGGCTGACCACGAGACCGTATAATGTAGATCGAGTGAAGCGACTGGTTCAGAAGTAGCCCCTTTGCCACAGATCCAAAAGGCGCACCCAGGACCGTCAGGGACCGCATCCGCTTGTTCATCTCCATCAGGTTGACCAAGGAAGACCCAAAGAGATCGACATCTAACGGGAGAGCGAGATTGCTCTTGCCAATGGCAAAGTCCTGAACACTGGAGTTGTCGCACATTGCCTCCACAATCCAGCACATACCCTGGGACGTCATTGATGTGGGCTCCAGAAGTGTCAGAGACGAGATCATGACCCATGGTTGAATCAGAGCCTGCGCCAACAGCCACGCCGTACTGTCTCCAATCTGTGTGCTCTTGAAGTCCAGCTGCCGCAAGTTGGCAAAGAATCCATGCGGCAATGGGAGGACTGTCCTGGGTGGGTGTAAATCAAGCTGCACGGGGGTTCCATCAGCAAGGGAACCGAGGGGGCTATCAAAGACTCCTGAGCGACTCGATGGCATGACGGGCGTAGAGTCTGATCTGACCAACAGAGCCAATGGCCGATCGGGTCCTGGCTCCTCAACTCTCTTGCGATTCCTGTTCTCGGTTCCCAAAGGTCCTCCGCCTCGGTTCTCGTACAACGTATCGCGGCCGCCAAAGGTGGTGCCCCGCTTCAAGAGGTTGGCCACATCCATAAGCGACTGCGATCCAGAGTTGACATGACGATGCCACGACAGCTCCGACAAGATAGACATCCTCTCTGAACCGTTAGGGAGCAAGATTTCCTTCAACAAGTCATGAGCGGCCTCATCCTCTAGGCCACCACAATGGCCCAGATCCAAGCTCTTCAGCCGCGAGGAGACCCCAGCACGACATAACCCGTCTGACAATACCGTGAATCCATCGATGCTGATTGGGCAGCCATGCAAGTCCAGTTCTTCCAGCTGGCAGAGTCCTGATTCCCGTCCTAGAGGACCACTATCACTTGTGAACTCCTGGAAACGTGAAAATGACCGTGTGAGCGCCTGAGCCGATAGGTCGCCGAATCCTGTACACGAGAGTCGAAGAGTCCTCATCTCAGCACTGGCGACACGATCCAGAATGGCAGCACATTCCTCATCCTCGAGCCCCTTGCTTCCGGAAAGGTTCAGGTACACAAAGTAGAGCCGGGACTTGACATGGGCCAACGCTCGGAATCCCTTGGCGGAGCACTCGTTGTCCTCGATATCCAGATAGACCAAGCATCCAGCTGACTGAATCTTCTCCTTGATGACCTTGGCCTTGAGCCCGGTCGTCATCAACATTGGGTCCTGTGCCCTGATGCGAATAGGGCGGTGGCCCGCAGTAAGGGCAGCGATATCGAGTCGATGCTGCATCATGAGCTGGTCTTGCAGTGTACTGGTGATCGAAATGCCGTCCATGCTCTTGCTGAGGGCGGCCGCCGCCATGTCTCCGAATCCCGTCCGCGCCATCTTTAGACTTGCAAGCCGTGGCCCGATAGCTCGGATAACCCTGGCTGCACCAATGTCGCTGAGCTGCTCGTTCTTCGACAGATCCAGATGGCAGATGTGGCTGTTGAAGAGTCCCTGGGCCAGAATGATGGCCGCGCCCTCATTCATCTCGCTGTTGGACAGATCCAGTGTGACAAGTGAGGTCGTCGCACGAGCTCCAGTCATGATTGCCTGCATATGAAGACCGGTCGCAGGAAACGCCGGCAGGATCAGCTCTTCCAAGGTCGAGCAGGACTTGATGAGCTGGCTGAAGGATTCGCGGTCCCTGGCGTCGATTGTCATTCCTGGTCCTAGTTCGAGTCGTCTGAGGGATGTTGCCTTGACAGCCTTGGAAGACAGTCGGGAAAACATGGAGGGGAACCTCTGCAGCTCGAGTGACCGAAGTTGTCCGTGGCTGAGGAGGTGGAGGATTGGGTCGTACTTTTTGTGAACGTTCATGTAGTTGGAGTGTCCTGCGAACGAACATCCGTCCAGAGAGAGAACCGTGACGGTCGAACTAGCAAAGGCCTTGGCGAGTCTCCAGAGATCCTTCTTGCCAAACTTCCAGCCAAGCTTGAGGTGGACCTCGACCAGGGACGGGGCGACTTTGTTGGTAATCCAGGAACAAAAAGTCCGGGTGTTGGCTCTTGAGACCAGCGTCATTGAGACAGATCCAGTTTGTTTGTCGAAATGACCTCGGCGGGTCACGATCCAGTGTTCAAAATCGTCAATGTTTTTTTCTAGAAACGTCCACCGGTAGTGATAGACGCACACCCAGCTGACTTGACCCCTCACATTGCTGATGCGATACAAGTTGCCGAGTTGTCCTGACTGGACTCGCTTGGTGACGGTGGAGAGACCCAGGAACGAATAAAGTTGGTGCAAGTCGGACAGGCTGGTGATTCCTTGTATGTGTTGGTCTTCCAGAGAGGATGCGGGCGACGATTTGTTATCGTCGGCTTTTGTGTCCATCTCAACTCCGGAGGGGGTGTCGCCGTTACTGGTATTGTTGGTAAAGTTGGACGACTCCTGGTGGTCCGCCATTCGGAGTTGCTCGAGATAGGCAATCATGCCATCAACCTTTTGCTCCACCTGGTGGGCGATCGCATCCGGCAAATCGGCGGCTTTGAGAGCCGAAATCCTGTTCACTCGCTTCAACAGTGCTTCCTTGGCATCCGTGAACTGGGGGTCGTCCTTGGAGTGTTTTGGCGGGGCTGACTTGGACGAGCTTGGGGGGCTTTCGTCCGATGGGTCGTAGCCGTGCCGGAGAAAGATGAGAAGCATCATGACCAACGTCCCGTAACGCCTGAAAAACTCGACTTCTCTTCCAGGTTCGATCTCATATCCAGGGTGCTTGGCAATGTGCAGGTGATTCAGCCCACTGCCAAGCGGTAGCGTGAAACTGGCGCTACACTCGCACAAGAAGTAAAGGCGGTAGCGACGTCTTGGTGGCTCCTGATCTATCGCTGTCCCTGTCCCTGTCCCTGCCCCCGTTCCTGCACCTGTTGCTGGTGCTTCTGACGTATTGGTGTTGCTGTTGACGAGAGGATCGGTGGCCTCGTCTGGTAGTACAACAAAGAATCGAGGGGTGGTATATTCGTGAATCAAGAACCGCTGACGGAGAAGTGATAGCACTTTAGCCCGGACGACATCGACTCGTGCTGCGTCATGGTGGATGGTGGTGGTTACTGGCTTCCATGATCCTTGAGAGGCAGTGGCCTTCTGAGAGATTGGAGGGGATGATATAACAAGATCGTCTACTGTATTTTGCATACGGTCGAGTGGTGAGCTGTCAATGGGTTGAATATGCTGGTGACCATGATGCGGATGGTGACGAGGCTGGTGGTGGTGGACGCTCCGCTGAGCAGTGGATGGTTTGTGTAGATGTCCACCCAGCTGCCTCAGCTCAAACTGGTCTTGCTTGGGGTCTGCTATGACACCTAATGTGGTCCTAGTGGAGGAGGACAAAGTCATTTTGGAGAAAAATGGGTCGTTTAGGGAGTTTGTCAAGTCTCACTGACACAATTTTGCAAAGAGAAAAAGGAAAACGCTAGTGGTCTTGTGGACTAGTTTTGCCGGTCTTGCTTTTTTTTACCTTGAAGGAGAGAGACCAGAGCGCTGGCTTGTGGTGTATTTCAAGGATTCGTGGGTGTTTGTGAAGGGGAGGGTACGGTTGAAAAGATGTTGGAGGGCCATATCCAACAAGGAATATGTGATGATGGGAAAAAAAAAAAGAAGAGAACAAACGGATCCTTGTGGCTGTGTCTTAAAGGGCGGAAGGAAGGAAGGGTAGTCGGAGTGGGGAGAAAGAGAAGAAGAGTGTTGGTGATGGTACGAGAATAATAAGCAAGGGCGCTAGTCGAGCCGGGCTGCGGGTTCTGGACGTCTAAAGGTTTGTGTGATACAAAATAAAATGGATAAGTTTGAAAGACGGAATTGAGAGAATGGAACGAAGGGAAAAGCGAGAGAGAAGTAGCCGGCGCAAGGAAAGTGTGTCTCGATTGCTGTTGTCCAGTAGGAGAGTCCGGTGTCAAGGAAAAACGATAATTGCATTGCAGCAAAGACCGGGCTCAATTGCTTCTTCTTTCTTTCACTTGTGAAAGAATGCGAATATGAAAATAGCCATGGACGTATTTGTATTTACCTCTTGAGAGTGTACAGTAGAGTACAAGGAGTTCGAATGAAGATAGAGAGGGAGAGTCGGACAGCAAGGACAGGATAGGACAAGAAGGCAATGGAATCGAAAACAGAAGTGTAAAGAGAAGAGGGTAAAAGTGTGTCCGAAGTCGAAAGGGTAGCTGCAGCTGTGTTTTTACTGTTCTCTTCAACCCTCAACTGAGACTAGGGAGTGGAGTGTATGTGTTTGTGTATGTGAAAGTATATGTGTTGGCCGGTGTGTGTGGGGCGTGGTGTCAAGGTCTGGCCGCACTCCAGACGGACAGGGGTGATGGCAAAGAGCAAATCATGAACAAAGAAAAGAAAATAAGTGATGATGAGCACTGGTTTCGAGGGAAACAATGAACGGAATAAACAAAGAGCACAGGGAAAGGAGAAGAGAAAAGGAGAGAGGGGGCAAGAGAAGTGAGAGACAGAACCAACCAACGTAGGGACACCTTGGGAGTGTTCAGAAGGTTACCTCCCAGACACTGGAGATCGCAGCCCCTTAATACCTTCATATTGGACACGAGCTGAGCCACTCGAGAATCAAAAATGTTCGCATTATTGCGCCCTTTCATGCTCTTTGTTCTTTGTTCTTTGTTCTTTGTTCTTGACTTTTTTTTTTTTTCTTTTCATTTGTTTATTGGCTCTTAAATACATGGAAGCAGCTACTCAAAAGGTGGGTATTGTTTGTCATCTTTTTTTGGGGGGGTTTACTCGAACAAGCAAACTGGGTTATACATAAAGGGGAGTAGTACAGAAGGGAAGGAAGGAGGGAGGCTATGATACATCGGAGAAAAGGGAAGGGTAACCAGTGGTGGACAATTGACCATGCAAACGTCTCGGTCTCGTTAGGTCTTTCAGCCTTTCGGTTCAGGACAAAAAATAACAGGGTTTACTGTGCAATCTTGTTGGCCTGGCCTTGAGATCCTTGACTGGCAGCAGCAGTAGCAACGTTTCCAGAGATGGACTCCTTGACAGCAGCAGAGTTGCTACCAGACGTAGCGGGGGTGATGAAGGAGTTGGGCGAGAGCGACTCGACCAATTGTTGCAGAACAATAGGGTGGTGCTCGGGGTTGAAGGTCGCACGCGAGGAGCTGGCCTTGGCCGAGGATACAATTTGGAGCGACGTGAAGTGGCGCGTGGGGGTGGGGGCCTGGCGGAGGACGTTCAAGATCGACGACATGATAACAGCTTGAGTTGGGATTGGGATTGGGATTGAGTAGTTGACGGAGTTTGAAGAAACGCTTGAAGGGAAGGGATGACGCCAATTGACGCTTGTAGATAAGATTCTTTTTGGAGGAGGAAGGTAGCTTGTGGAGAAGCACAGGAAGACGGACGGACGGACGGACGGACCGAGGATGTATGGAGGGAAGGAGAGGCTGGGCTGGACCTGCGAGATAACGGGACCCTGGAGACTGATAAGGTTGTTTGTTGGAAAAGGAGCGTGCAGTTCTGGGATGGGATAGGCCTGTATGCTTCGGTGGTTTTGCAAATAACGGATAGCTTTCACGCTATGGAAGGAGGAAAATGGGAATGGGTGTGGGGTAGGCGAGTGCTGTGTGTAAAGGAAGAAAAAAAGAGAGAAAGGAGTTGAAAAGTGGAAGAGAATAATGGAAAGATAAGGATGTCGAAGGGACGACGGAGGAAGGAGGTAAACATACGTATACACACACGACAAACACGACACGATTGATGAGACGTCAACACACTGGGTACATACACCAGATGGAACCCTTTGATATTTGCCTTCCTGTCTGCAAACACATGCCAGCAAAGCAAGAGTGAGAAGAGTGAGCCGTGTTCTAGAGGCGTGTAGTGTGAGTAGAACACAAAGTTATGCACCTATCGTAACTTTTCGGAGGGAATTCCACAGCAGGATTCATGAAAACAACAGACACGGCCTCAAGTCCAGCGAGAGATAGAAAACGAGAAGAAGGGGCTAAAGGTGTGTTTAAGGTGACAAGGGGGCGTGATCAGGGGGGAGAAGGAAACAATGTTGATGTAGGGAGAGCGATGGGAGTAGGGACGGGAGTAGGACACAAAAGATAAGCCGAGTGGGTGGACAACAACAACAAAAACAACAACTCGTCTCATCTCCTCATCCTCATCCTGCGGCTGCACAGGCAAACCATGGGAATCGAGAACACATAAATAGGGAAATAAAAGAATGTAAAAGAAAGGGGAAAACTGCGCTTGCCTCAAGTCCCAGAGAGTGACGATGACGAAGAACTCCTGCTTTTTTTCCTTAGCAAAGAGCTTTGTGAGTATGAGCTACATGGACTGGAAAGGGGGAGTGAGGGTTGTTCACAGAGGGACATGTGCGAGGAAACAAATGGAATAAAGAGAACATGCTGCTCGCGTCAAGGAACGTCAATCAAAGTCACTTTACAGACGTTGGTAGGGCGCATCGTGTGTCCTTTTCTTTCCTACTCTGGCAGGGTGCTAGAGTAACACAATCGTTGATACCGTGGGATGAATGACCTTGTGAGCAGAGACACATCTGAAATTACATGTACAGCGAGAACACAGAAGCCTCAAGCACGAAATCTCAAACCCCATGCCTACCTCCCTGGTTATCGGTGTACATGCTACCGCTCAACATCGTACCATTCTCCCAGGCAAGCAAGCAACAGGTGTCAGGTCTGTTTAGGAACGAGGAGAGGTGTGCGACAACCATAGGCCATAATTGCAAAGTGGACTCCTCGGGGAAAGAGCGTCAATGTTATTTTCTGTGTGATCAGGTGGCATTTTCCGAAGAAGAGGAACACACGTTCGCCATGGCTAGGAATTTGACTCGCTCGTTCAGGATCATGATCGACAATAGTAAGGTTGTTTCCCGCTGTCTGGCGTCTTTGATTTTCCGTACAGACAGGGATCATCATCATCATCATCTCCATCTCGATCGTCATAGACAATAACAGAAACATAGGCTCAATACATGCATCGAGAAGGCAACCTGTTTGCTATGAGGCTGTGAAAATATTTGGTCGCCACAAAGGAAGACGAACCATTCGATTTTTGTAGTGGAGAGCAAAAAAAAGGCGATGATTGGAAATGGGCGAATGGGAACTCTGCCATGGTAACATATATATCCACCATGAATGATCACGCTGGCTGTGATGGTGCAAGAGAGCGAAATAAGAGATAAAATAAATAGAAAAAGCGAGAGCATGGGAGGGCCAGATGACCATTGGGACATCACACGTTACACCCAATCTATCGAGTGTACAGGAATCTTGTTTTTTTCCCTGGCAGAGACATACACGGAAGGGAGAGAGAGCCCTGAGGATGTGCAACGTACAACTTATTTACAGGGTATTTTTTTTTTATTGTTGATCACTAGGTCGTCCTTGGGCATCGGGAAAGGAAGGTGAGAATGATTGATCATTCTCCGCGATTATTATTGTTAGCTTTGTCTTCCTTTCCGTTGGATCGAAAAAAGGATCCCTAGGATCGAAACAAGGAGGAGGGTGTGTCTGTCTGGACACATGGCACTCATATCAATCAATCAATCACGATCACTATTCTGTAGCTATTGCTCTACACTGCCCCACCACAATGGTCCGTTACATCACACTCCTGCTGTTGCAAGCCGTCAGGTACAGTACACAGGTCTCAGAGAAAGAAAACATGATGACACGCGGAAAGGGGGTATGTACATGCGATTAAAAGAGATATACGTTGCTGCCGATGATGGTGGTGATTGGTGATTATGGATACTGAAGATACAGTCATGTGATGGCTGCCCCTGATTGGATAGAAAACACACTTGGTGCCTGAATATCAGGAAATCAGTGGCTGTTTCCTGGGACAGGGAATGCCCATGATTGGTTCCTTGTCGATCTCTTGTCAACCTTTTTTAACAAAAATAGGTTCCGATAGACATTCCTCCCTCTCTTGTTCATCCGACCTTCTTGTTGATGACTGAAGGAAGAGAGAAAGCAGAGCTTGACTGATGACCCTGACTTTTTTTTTTTGTTTTCTTTCACGGGCACCTTTTATTTTAGACGTATGTTTTATCACGACCCCTCTGTCCGTCTACACCATACAATGTACACATTGGTCTCATTTTATCGCAGTCTGTCGGCAATAATAGAAGGAGAGAGGAATTGATCCGGAAAAGAGAGGCTGTCGAATAGGAGAGTGAGGGTTCATCACCATCATTGCATGTTAGGAACCTCGAGAGCGAGATAGGGGAAAGGAGATGATACATGACGACAGTGATGACCGATCCAGGACGACGAGGGGCGAAATGGCAATGAAGGATCCTGTAGATAGCTCAACTAAAACACAAACACGAATGCTCATTTCCCCCCTTTTTTTTAAATCTATTCACAGAGCAGAAGGAGAGACGAATGGGTTTTCTTCAATGACCCACACACACTCTCTCTATGTCGATATCCTCCAATGATCTGTATTCGTTTGATATTTGAAGGAATGGTTGGATGATACGAAAGGTACAAACCAAGGACAGAGTGAAGGTATTGGGCGTTGTGGGGAGTAGGAGGTGAAGTAAGGGGGTTCATAATACACTTGGCTTGGTTGGCTGTCATTATTCTGCCGTCGTCGACTATTGCTCCTCCTCTCTTGAACCACGACAACAAATAAACATACACACGGCTCGACTGACTGATCTTATATTAGCAATCGGCAAAAAGAGCTTGCTACCTATTTCGCATGCATGCAAATTGGTCACACTCACGCCTCATGCTATCGTTTGTTGACTTTATCGGAAAAAAAAAAGAGTTGTGGACGAAAGGAAATGAAAGAAAAAAGATCCATGAAAACGGTTGGCTGCCGGCTCAGAGGACCTCGGACTTGACACTTCTGGGACTTCACCTAAGCAATAGCGTGGGGTGATAGCATGTGCTTTTCTCTATGGTTGTTCAAGCAAGGTTACTCATGACGCATGACTTTTTGTTTGATTGTTATTTTTCTGTGTTTGTGTGTGTGCTCTTTCCAGTCCTGTCTATTTTCTTTGGATATTTTTTGTTGTTGATTGACAAAGAGATCCAAATAAGAGACTCGTGGAGCACGAGAGTGCAATAGCAGTGTGTCAACAAAAAATATAAGAGCACTCGGCAATAGGCAAAGCAATAAGAAAATAGGTGGCACAAACGTCCCTACCCTCTTCTCGCTTCCTGTCTTTCCGGTCCTCCGAGCCCTGCCTTGCCTTGCCTCGGAGGGAGGAGGGAACGATCATCTCTACACGACACCCGTACGGACTCGCATGCAAATTGCATGTTGTGTGTGTTCCATACGAAAACGAAAATTAAAAAAAAAGAGGGTTCCTATCCTTTCCATTTTCAGTGCGTACCGCACCTCACCCTCTTGCTTGTCCCTGTTCCTCCTAGCGTCCCTATCCCTGGCGATAGAAGGACAAGTTGCATGGGGGGGGGAGATGGGTCGAGTGGATGATTTTTGATGGCGCTAGTGGGTAAGATGCGGATGGACGTAATGATACGGAGAGAGAAGGAAGGGTGTCATTTTTGTTCAAAACGGTCACAGTCCTGTCCCGTCCAGTCCGGCTATTGGTTTTCTTTCATTTGTGATAAGGGCCTATGACGCTTGAATCCAAAAGGGCAATGATGGGCCAAGCAAATTCATAAAGAAGGAAAAAAAAAAGGATGATAAAAAGACGGACACACGCATTCACACTTGCTATTATTGTTACGACATGGGAAGCGAAGAAAGATAGCAGAGATAGATAGGTAGATATAGAAGAAATAGCTATCTCTTCGAGACTTCTTGCGTTGTGCCTGGGTCAAGTGGATCTCTTCAATTAGCCAAAGCGATAAGCCGACTGGATCGCGCGCACATCCATTGTTTATGGTTCTTGTGTTCTTTGATCCCCCTTTCTCTTTTCATACGATTTTTATAGGGGGGTGGCAAGTAAGCAACAGTGTTCCAATCCCTAGATCCAAAGATCGTGAGAGAGATAAAAGAAAGAGAGGAAATGACAACGAACCGAGTAGGCCAGGTTAGCCTTTTGTTGTTGTTGTTGTTGTTGTTGTTGTTGTTGTTGTTGTTGTTGTTGTTGTTGCTGTTGTTTTGCCCACAAGGACAACGAAGAAAGAAAGACAGGAAAGAAACAGAGAGGGGAGTCAAGGCATTGGGCAAAGACAGGCAACGGGCAACGGCCTCTAGGCGGAATAGCCAAAGCTAAAACCCACACACGAGATATGAATGGATAGGCAGGACACACGACATCACACATCACAGACAACAACGGCCGAGAGAGTCGTCACAGGAGACCGTCAAACGGGCATAGGTTGTAGAGCGAACGACAAAAGGGCATTATTCTCTTGTTGTTTCTCATTTTCTATGATGTACATGTACATTGAGGCCGTTGGCTTTTTTTGTAGTTCCTTCAAGGTACTCTTTCCCCTCGTTTTTTATTTCTTAATCTCATCATCCTCTGGAGGAAGGGAAACAAGAGCAGAAATATTCCAGGAGGAAAGAGGGAGCAAACGAAAGCAAGTTGAGTTGCCGTTTTGGTTGTTTTTTTCTTTTGTTCCTTGTTCGTGAATGGATGGCTGAGGTGCTAGTGTAAAAATGGCAGGCAGGGTTTTCGTTTGGGCGGAAGTGACCATTCGTGCGCTTACTTGTCGTTTTAGAATAGGTTGCAATTGAATCAAGTAGGAATCGGCTTTGATTTGTCGAGATCGGACATGCACGCAAGGAGACATGGGCTTGGAAGCAAGGAATCAAGGAAGCGAGGCAAGACGGGAGGATCGGGATGAGGGGTGAGTCTTCCTGCTCATGATCCTGTGCCTGCTAAGAATCAAATACCAAGTCTTCGATGCCACCTGGCACACACTCAGCGATACCCGCCAACCAACAAGCAAGCAAGCCGGAAGGTGATCGTCTTTTGCTCCGGAGAAAAATGAAGGAAAGAAGCCAAAAGTACAATAGAGACAATTGAACAAGAAGAAGGAGAAGAAGGCGATTCGCTCTCATCGTCTGCCATCATATGAGAACAGCGTGGAGCACCAGAAAGAGCAGAGGGAAGGAAAGAGAGGGGGAAACGAGAGCAAGTCCAATCAATTGGTTTGAATAACGAACATACACCATGTGTGCTCAATGTGCTGCATGCCCGGGCAGAAGTATTCAATAACGTTCAATTCAATCGATGAAATGCCTTCCTTCCCCTATCGGACTTGCCTTTCTCAGTCCCTTCGCTTCTCTCACCCCTGTGGAGTGGAGTGCACTCGAGGTTTCTCTTCTTTCTTCTTGTCCCACTACCGCCCTTTTTTTTCCTTCTTTCTTTTCCTCTTCCACTTTTTATCTACTTCTTCTTCTTCTTCCTTCTTCAACTGACACTCTCACCTCTACCCTCCCTCTCACGACGATCTTTACTCCTTTCTTCCTCACTCAGTCTCTTTGCTCGCTTGGCTTCATCGCTCATTCAGCAAACCCTGGACTGACTTCCTTCTTCTCCTTCAATCGCCACCACACTCCGACCTTCACCTTCACGTTGTTGCTTCTTCCTTTTTCCACCACTCCTCCACTCCTCCAAATCCACATCAACGCGTCAACATGGGAAGCTTCAACACCCTCTACACCTTCCTCTCCTCCCACGTCCTCCCCCAAAACAACAACAACAATACCACCATTGCCGAAGACGTCAAAGAATATACCCAGCCTGCCACAAAGACTCGCCACCACCGCACTTTCAGCGACCCTTCCTCGGCCATGCTCCCCAAGGAGACCGTCCAAAAGCTCTTTCCCTGCGACAATCGACACTCCTTCAACCCTCACTATCAACACAACCTCCACACCACTTCCACCTCCACCATCTACTCCACTCCCCCCTCCCTCGCTTCCTCTCCTACCGATTCCTCTCCTTCCTCAACAGCCTCCTCCTCCCACTCCCACACAGCTTCGTCTACGTACACAATGACCCAGGCGACCCAAAAGCCTTTCTATCAGCAACCCCACCCAAGGCGCTCTCAGTCTGCGTCGTCCACTCGGAGACAGCAGCAGCAGCAGCAACAACAATACCACAACCAGCGCCACTACAACTACAGCAACAACCGGCAGCAGGCCAGGCGGCTTAGCCAGCGAAGCCACGCCACTCACCTTGATATCGACAACATGGACGATGATATCCTCATTGGATACGATAACCAGCAGATCTACTATGGATCCGGATCATCTACATCCATGGCGCGCGTTCACCCCAGCGGCTCGCCTCCCTACGATACCCACCCCTCATTCCCCTCGTCCTCAGATCGCCAACATCAGCAAGAGCATGCTCGCTCCGGATACATCTCGGCAATGTCCTATCCTCCTCGTTTGTCGGAGAACGAAAGGACAATGTCTCCTGCATCTCGATCTCTTTTTGCTGCTGCAGCCTCGGCTGTCAAGAGCAGCATCCAATATGGACAAGCATCCTCCTCCTCTCAGTTAAAACCACAATACCCCCAACATCAACAACAACAACAACACCACCAAGGAAGGCAACAACGCCGAGCGGAGCATGTCCGCCATCAAAGCGCCTCTCACTTTCTGCCAAGTATCTCCGAAAGGAGAGCAACGATGCATATGCATGAGGAGGAGGATGTCTATACCTTCGATTATGCATCAGAAGTAGCTGCTGCATCCACAGCAGCTGCGGGTGAAATTCGAACTGTCTCGGCCTCGAAATCGTCGTCGTCCTTGTCCTCGTCCTCGTCGTCGTCTGCTTCGTCCTCGACTCCTATAACGGCCAAGCAATCGTTGCTTCGAATTGCCCGATGCGATCCTCGTCAGGACAACTGGTGCTCTCAGCAGTCTGGCCAGTGGACCCGTCTCTATGCCCAGACGCGTTCCAATGGGCCCTTGGCCGATGGCCGCCGTACTCGTCGTCTCTAAAGCGACAAGAAGGGATCCAAGACCGACCAACCGGGGTCAAGTGGTGTGATTTCCCCTTCTTCTTCCTGGAGATCAAGTCATGTGCCAAAGAAGACAAGGAACTATACTCCACCCCTTCTCATTCTTTTTCGTCGATATCGTTCGCGATGTTCATCCTATCTTTGTAAATAGTCATCTTCCCCACCTGTACTTTTATTCCCCAAGTCCTCTTATTCTTCCTCAGCAGCAACAATCCAATTGGTCTGTCCATTCATTCCTCATCTGTAAATAGCCCTTTTGTAACACTAGCCCTTGTAAAACCAGTAAAAAACTTTTCGTTCTCTTTCCAATATGAGGCATTTTTTTTCCTCTTGTGATGATGTACACTGTTCCTGTACGTGTATGTGTGTGGCTGACTGTCTGTCTGTTCCTGAATTTTGATGGACCAGTCAAGTTCTCGCGTTTCGAGGATTGATCGATTCGAGTCCATATTCTTCTACCCCATTCCCTCAGTTGTCTATTTCCTTCCAACACGTCTATTATTTCTATATCATTCTCCGTGTCTTTGGTTCTTTGATCTGTGTCATTTTGAAAGGAAGACAGGGGCACCCCACCATTTATCGTGTGCCTAACGATCTAACGCGTCTACCTCAACAAGCTGTCAGTCAGTTGTCTCTTTATTGTTACGTTTTGGCATATGTTAGGATGCTTCAATTTTTGGCAATGCTTTTGTTATTCCTCAATGAAGAGTCGTCCTTCTGGTGTGTGTCGTCGGATCGTGTGTGCTTTTTTATTTTATGTTATTGTTTTGTTGTCGCGTTGTTTGTTGTTCAATTGGCGGCGTATGCTTTTGCATCTGACGAATGGATGAAAATATTTTTTTTGTGTTTTCTTTTTACCTTGAGATCAAAAACGGGATTTCTGTATGTATGTCATGGTGCAGAAAGTGACAAGCCAAGCTCTTTCCCACCTCCTTCCATCTTGTATGTCTATGTGAATAGGTAACAAACAGTACATGACTAGCCTATCGCCTCCTCCTTCTTCTTCTTGCAACCAGGATTTCCTTCCTGTTTCTTTTTGTTTGCTTTTTTTTTTTTTTTTTTTTTTTTTCATAGGATTTTTTCAAGTCCCGTCTATCTATTTTCCTTGACCGACCTTCATCCTTTTTTTTGAAAACGGTTTGGTTGCTTGTTTTGCTGCAAGGTCATGTCTGTCTCCTCTTCAATTTTTGGCATGTACCGATACGCCTCCCCAACAACAACCGTTTGCCTTCGGGAAAAAAGAGTTGTGGAGGAGGAAGAAGGAAGGAGGAAGGTCGGAGGGAGAGAAGGAGAGAGAGCTGACAACGATTCGGTCATCGAGTTCGGTGTTTTAGTTGGTTTCTTTCTTACGAGAAGGGGCGTATCTACTTTCCTTCCTTTGCAATGCAGAAACGTTCAACTGACCTCACACACACACACACACAGAGCAAAGAGCCAAGAGAAAGAGTGGAATGGGGTTGGGACAGCTTCGTGCTTTTTTCCCAGTTGTCCAGCCCATAGGGGGTTGGGTTGTTCAACAAGAGTTGTTGACAAAGGAGCAAAAATTGGCTGGGTTTGAAAAACTTTTTTATCCTCCTCGAACCCCCTATGTCCAAATCTTCTTTCGTCCATCTCCTACATCGCTACATGTATCTGCAGCCAAGGTTGCTTGCAGCAAGAGTGACCTTTTACTTTTTTTTTTTTTTTTTTTTTTTTTTTCTTCCATGTTTCCAATTGATGTTTTTTTTTGCCAACCCACAGACAACAAGTCTCGCCTTTTTTTTTTTTTTTTTTTTTTAACTGCCTCTCCCTCCGCCTCACTCCTACTCTCTCGTTATTTTGCCCACGCCATGCCATGCGTCAATGCATCATGTAAGCCAAAAACCTACCTATCCTCTTTTTTTTTTTCTTCTTTCTTTCTGACTCACCTTCCTTTGCTGGTTCTTATTCTTCTCTCGCGCATTATTTATTCGGCCATAATCCCGCACCCCACACTCACACGCTCACCCCCCCCCCCCCCCTGGAAACGGTTGTATCGTGTATGGTGCACCACCACCCCACCCACCGCCACCTCCTTTCTCTGAGCAGTGGCCATGATTCGATATAGACCCGGACCTCCTGCAGGAAAAGCAGAAAGATCCAAAAAAAAAGCGAAAAAAATAAATAATCACACGCCTCCTCCTCCTCACGTTAAGCCCCTTGCAAAAAGGATCCCCTAGGCCCAACACAAAGAACACCTACCTACCTGTACGATCAACCCCCGCACATTCACACGCACACGCGCCCACACACACGCCATGTGCGCAGGAACAAAAAAAAAAAAAAGCCACTTGCCCTAACCACTGGATTCGAATGTTATGGACGATCGTCTAGGAAATGAACAAAGCTTAGCTTGCAACTAAATAAATCCTGATGTAGACCATGTAGACCGTAAGGTTATGAGGATAGACTAGAATAGCTTAAAAGTAGTCCCCCCCGCTGGATTGTCTTGAAGCTTCGATTTTTTTTCTTGGGTTTGGTTCAGGTTCAGGGTCTGTATTGGTTCCTGAGAATGTTAATCGAGTTGTTATTTGAAAGGTTCCTGATGGTGATGAGACATGAACGGAGGTCGCGACGAAGAATGAAAGACGGATAATGAAAAGATGAAGAATAGGAAGAAGGGAGGAGAATGCGACGAGAGAGAAAGAGAAAGGAATTGGCTGAGATATAACGACGTTTGGTTTTCTAGGACTTGTCTCTCTTCTGTGGCGACCTGCACGCCCTTATTTTTTGTTGTTGTCCTAAGACTGTTACTCCACTCCAATGGCATGGCATGGCATGGTAGGATGTAGGCGAGAAGCAAAGAGACACAAGAGAGATGGTGGTGGCACGTGTATTTGGACCTACAGCCTTCCTTGAAGAAGAAAAAGGCGAGGACGAATAATAAAGTAAAACAGAAACCTTTCCTCACCCCTACCTTCCTTCTTCTTCGCCATTCTCCCCTTCTTTCCATCTACTCCATATACCCAACCTTGCTTGCTCTTTCCTTCCTTCACACTCCTTTGCTATTGCACCGGCATGCATAACCAACAATTCCGGTGTGGAGAAAGAGTCATCAGTCTCCATGTCCAGCGCGATCCCAATGGCACCCGCTACAGCGTCATGGACGACATCACCAACAGCTTTCCTGATGCCACCGGGTTCAAGGTCGGCGGAGACGACGTCGTGTTCCTGAAAGACGAAAACGGTAACCTGTAAGCACTTTTCTCCCTCCCTCCTCCGTATGTTTCCTGTCACTGTCGAAAAGTAAAAGGACAACCGAATACATGTATGTAGGTGTGAACCACACAAGTGTGCCAAAATGGACTAAACTCACTCGCCATTTCGCTTTACAATAGGTACTCGCCCAGCAGGATTGCCCACTTTCCCGACCAGTTTGTCGACGTCGTCACCGACCATGACCCTTACTTCCCTCTCAGCCCACCAGAAAGCCTCAGGAGCGGCGTCTACTCTCACCACCACCGCAACAGCAGCACCAGCTCCCTCGCCAGCTCCTTTATGGCAGTTCCTACAACCCCAGGACGCGCGCGCTCCCCTTCTTCCCCCGAATCCATGATTCCACCTTTTTCGCCCATGTCTTTGTCACCAGGATACACGTCCCCCGGAGCCATGGCCACGATGGGCCTTCGATCCCCGCCCGACTCATCCAACTCGAGTCGACTCTACCCGCTTCCATCCATTACTGTGTTCCCCGGCGTAGAATCGGCCCTCCAGTTCTATGTCCCTCCACCCAGCCCCGAGCCAGTCGTGATGGGGACCTATTCGGCCACTGAAGTCGCTGCCGAATTGTCGCGAATTTTGATGGAGGGACACTCCGCCGCTATGATGAACCTCATGGATAACTTTCACAAGCTGGCCCAGTGCCATCACGACATCGTAACTAAGTCCCAACACGAGCTTATAACTAAGGTCGACAAAGTTCTCGAAGGACAGGACGAATCCAAAGGACGGGACGACGAGATGCTTCGCCGGCAACTGCAAACCAACGATCAACTCAAGGTCGTCCAGCAGGGTATCGACGCCGTCCTGACCCAGAATTATGAGCTCCACGAGTACCCTATCCCACGGTTGTTTGTTATCCTGCCAGAAAAGAAACTCGACAGCAAGGGCAAGTCATTCTTCGACACCTTCAAAGGCAAGAGCCTTTTCCAAGAAAAGTTTCGTCTTTATTTTCTGTGCGAGTGCGGCGATCGCAAGAAAGGCGACGAACACTACAACCGTCATACCCTCGATACAAGTGGACCTGGAAAAATGGACGAGAAGCATCCCGAGCGGATCCACCTGGCTGATCACGAGGGCTACGAGATCTCGCGGCCGAAAAAGTTCTTTGAGCAGTATGGGCGCTATGTTCTCGGTGTGCTCAGAGTCTTGCAGGTCTGCGTCTACGCCGCTTCCGTTATCGCCCCGCCTGTGGTCCACCTGGTCACGGAAATGGACGTGTTCGCGCGTGTGGCCGAGGCGGTGACCAAGAACACTCTGGATGCTGTCGATGTGTCGATCGAATATCTTCGGACGAACCTTAGTCAGGAAGGGCTCTTGGAATCGTCTGAGTTGGGAAACACCCCTAGCCAGGACGCCAACGTGTCGGCCAACAGCCTCAAGGCCCTGGAAGGAGCGGACCTTCGACAGCTGGATACTTTTTTGCGGAACAAAGACAAGGACAAGATTCTCGGGAAGTTGTATAGGATCACCACCTCCAAGGGTCACGTCAAGTGGGTCTGTCTGGAACATTACCGCTACTCGTATCAGGCTATGAGCATGAGCTCTTTTCGCAGGACAGTGCAGCTCCACCGAGGCCTGTACGAACCGTATCTGTGCAAGGTGACCATCACACTTCCAACCTTTATTGTGGCCGAGGACTTTATGGACCACCTGGTGGAACAAGAATCGACCATCAACGAACTCGACGTGACTCTCAAATGGGCCTTCAACACCTCGGAGCTTCACAAGATCGTAAAGACCATCTGCCGCTCCAAGACCAGGGTCCTGAAACTGGACTTGTCGGACCGCAACAATCGGATCCCGTACGAAAAAGCTGCTGATCGGTACTGGCCCTTGTTGGATCTTTTCGGAAACACGAACCTCCAGAGTTTGTCGTTGCAGGGAATCATATCGTTCGGCTTCCGTACTATCGATCTACCTCCACACGAGCCGCCGTCTCGTCTTCGCACCTACCACCACCTCAACGGAATCGGGGATAAGGACATCGACAGAATTTCCAACATTCTATTGCACTGTCCAAACCTGGTCGACCTCAGGCTAGGATCCGACTTGGGATCTCGTGTCGATGACCAGCTCTGTCAAGCCATCAAGTCTCTCAAGCATTTGGAGGTACTCTACCTCTGGAACTTCAAGCACCGCACCGAGTCTGAGGTCAAGGGTCTCCTTTCGAGTGTGGTCCAAGGCACTGAAATCTTGAGGGAGCTTGTGATCGTCAACACGGTCGTCGATGCCGTGGAGTTGGAGACCCTGGTGCAGGCATTCTCAAGAACCCTGGAGGTGCTGATTCTGGACCCGGTCTACAGCGAGTTCAACTTGGCCACCATCATGCGAAACGAGTCTGCCCGCTCTCAGACGAGACCCTCACCACCAACTCCTCCTCCAAAGCCAACTGCTTCTGGCTGGAAAGATCCACCCAAGCCTGAAAAGGCGCCAGCAGCCACCAAAGTTATCCCATTCTCGAAACTTCGACAAATCCACCTGAACACCGATCTCTCCGATGACTCGAACCAACAGCTGGCTCGAATCATGCCGCTCCTGTCACTGACGCATCTCGGCCTTTACAAGAGCAAATCCACGGAGGCCGTCATCAAGGCCACCGACTTTACGTCAGTCCGCTCGGTTTACTTTTGCAAGTTTACTGGTGCGGATTTGGTTCCAATGTGGAAGTCGTTCCCCGAGACGGGCTTTGGAGGATCGAACCAGATCGATTCGATCTCGCTGGAGCGGCTCAAGTCCCCTGGATCTGGTACTGTCCTCGAGTGTCTTTCCAAGGTTGCGATCAAGCGTCTGTGGATAGGAGGTATGCGGTCGAGTTACCTGAAGGCATTGTTCAACACCCTCAACCTGTCCAAGCTTGAGGTGCTGGCGATTGTCAACTGCGAGTACAAATGGGAGACGGAGGAGGTTCTTGTAAGGCGGCAGATGCAGTTTTCGAAGGAGCTGCAGGTCTATTTGGCTCACAACAACCAGTGCAGTGACGTTGGAGATGCTGACGCTTACAAGACAAATACCCGAGGCGACCAGAGTACTTATTATACCCGGTTACGTCCCCATATGGTCTGGACCTATACCGATGTTAACGATATGAACTTGCGTCATAAGTTGATGGTTAGGATGGAGTAGTGGTCGTCTCTTATTATTTTATTATTTAACAAAATACCCTTGAAAATAAACACATGTTGGCATATATAAAAAAAAAAAAAAGAAACATGCACGGAGGAATTAGTGCATGGGTGGTACATTGCAGGAAAGGAGAGGTTATAACACTTTGCAAAGTCCTCTTTCCACAACTTCCTTTTTTTTTCTGCTAATGATGCATGTGCGAAAAGCTCCACAGCAAAAAATAAAAATAAATAAATGAAGAGCTGCGTTCAGGGTCCTTTGGACAATACTGTACTACATAAAAGAATCTCCGATCTAGGCTCGACTCCACCCCCCCCCTGGAGAAGTTGGCATGAAGCTTGCCTATCTCCGATCGTCGAGAGGTGTGTCGACCATTTAGCGAAAAAAAAAAGTTTAATATCACAAAACAAGATACTCAGCGGAAGAGCTTGGAGCTCCTGGGAGGAAACAGACGCATCAACTCATCAGCCGGGGAAAGACCTAGGCCGTGGTCGTTGAAAATAGAGACGCGCTGCAGGACTGGCCAGCAGCGATAGGTTGGACTGTCCATCTCGTCAAGGACCTCCTTCACATCCAGCACCAGGCCAAGATGCTTCAGATCCTGCTCCAATCGATCTTCAGTCACACCCGTCAGGATCTCTGACTTTCTGTAGATCTGAGCTGCTGCTGATGCTGCTGCTACTCTCTCCGTTAGTCGATTGACCTGTCGCGCTTCCTTAATGAGACACTCGTCCCATCCAGCGACAATCTTCCGCCTCTCCTCCCTGTACCTGGCGCTCTGTCCGGACGCGACCATCCAGTTCAAATGGAGAGGGTCAAATGTCATTCGCTGCCGGACCCGTCCAAGCCAGAGTCTCTCCAAATGCCTCAGTCTTGTCAACAGGCAGTACCCTCCTTGAAGGGTCATATCGAGATTTGGAAAGTCGAGGTCGCGGGTCCATCGGGTCTGGTGCTCGGGTATATGGATCTCCAAATCACGGAGTTGAGGACAGACCCTGGAGATGTAGCCAAATAGGACTCGGGAGTGGGTTGGTGAGGTTAAGAGGGAGAGGCCGTGGTTGTGGAAGGCGAGGTGGAGGGTACGGAGGTTTTTGCATTTCCAAACTCCAGAGAGGGCTGTTGTTGTAATCGTTGTCGAGTCATTGTTGCTGTTGGGATGGGTGATAGAGTTGAGGTGATGATGATGATGATCCCTGGAGTAGAGGCGAGAGTATTCAAAGTCGACTCGATGATGGATATCCAAGAGTTCAAAGAGAACCGCAACATTAGGTGCCTTGAGATGAAGCAGATGGGGCGACGCGCACAGATATGCGTGTAATCCGCTATCGGGACGACAGTGCGCTCGTTCGGGCCAGTACAGTTCCAGAGACGTGACAACGTTGGGCAGTTCATTCAAGTACCGTGTCAGGGTGGGTGTGAGATCCTTGGCGCGAAAGGTCCATTCGGTCGACTGCGAGCAAATATCAGACATCATCGCCTTGAGGTCCTGGTCGGGTATGGTCTGATCTTGGACGGAAAAGTGAAATGAGGTGAGTTGTTGGTGAGGTAGACGCCGAAGACATTGGTGGAGGTCGGCCCAGTTGTAGGAAACGTCGATGAAGAAGGGCCAGTAGAGCCATTCGTTCTGGAGGAGGTTGACGAGCAATAGTTGGTGGAGATGAGGCGCTTGTGATATAAGGTCCTCGAGGGATGTCTGTAAGAGTCGTGCATTTTTCAGAACCAGAGACCGGAGGGCAAGAGAAGTAGAAGTAGAAGGAGAAAAAAGTGGTTGGCCTGCCTCTTTTCGTTGCATCGTCATCGGAACCCATGGTCCAGGGAGCTCCAACCCCTCGATCGACTCTGCATGGAGGACTTCAAGGAGCGGGCAGGAGAGGAGGAGTTGGTCCATGTAGAAGGTACTGGTCTTGCGCCATTGCAGCTTCAGACGAGTCAGGAACGGAAGGGCTCCCTGGATAGACGTCAATCGTTTGCAGTCGTCCACAACTCCACACAGCTCCAAGTCCCTCAGAGGGTCGTCGATGAAAGGAAGGGTGGAAATGACATCGTGGAGTCGATGACCAAACTTGTTCTGAACGATTGACGTTTCTTGTTGGTCACGGTCAAGGTCCTGTTGCCGCTGCTGCTGTCGTTTAATGTACTGGCTGTGATTCTGTTCAAGCGTTTTCCTCAAAAGAATCCAGTCAAGGTCCTCCTGCAACTGGTCAGTCCCCGAACTCCAGCTCAATCGGGCCGTTCCTGGTATCCTGCCAATAATCTCTTTGGCTCGTCTGAGCGTAAACTCTGCGTTCCAGAGCTCCTGCCGGACGACGCGATGGCGGTTCATCAGGAACCATAGTCGACAGACCAGGATGACGGTTTTCGAAAGCGTGAAGTTGTCGATAAAGGAAAGGATGTGGTAGATAATTTCGGGGATGTCTAGAGGGGTAGCGGTAGTAGTAGTTGTTGTAAATTGCCGAGGGTAAGAGATTGGGGACGAGTGCAGTGCCTCTGGGTACACTCGTACGGCTGATGCCCGCATTTTTGAAAGCTGTGTTGTGTGGAAGGAGGAGGATGAAAGGGAGTGGCGGGTAAGGTAACTAAGTAAGAGTGCCGTAGGTGCGCGTGTGAGTGAAGTGCGAAAATGGGCGAAGGTATGAGTGTGTGTATGAAAGAGAGAGAGGGAGAGAAAGTGTGTGAGAATAAGAAAAAAACGAAAGAGGAGAGAACAAATGAAGTGAACAAATGAAGTGAACAACTTTCTTTCCCATCCCCTCAAAACCCACATAGACCATAGGGGTCAGTGTGGAGGAGAAAAAGCAGGAGTCAGCTGTTCAAGCCAATCGATAGCACAAAGAAAGCCCCTACATTAATAAAAAGCGGCCGAGTGCCAATCGTCGCCGTTGTGTTCAATTAGGGAAAAAGGGGAACTAGAGGAAAAAAGTATACTTTGACGTTCATGAAGCGTAACCAGTGTTGTTTGCTCGAGGAAACTGTGAGCCAGCCGACTTTTTTTTAGGATGTTAAAAAGTGACACCAATGCGGCTTACCAGGCTTCGCGAGGCGGTACACAAGGATATAAGAGTTCGTTTGGTGGATTGAATACTACAAAACAGTACTGGCACAACCCTCGGTGCTACTTTGATGGTGGCGACGCGACCAGAAAATTCTGATCATGATAATCGATGTTTGTTCTTTTCTTTTCTCGCCAAAGATCAATCTCACTCAAAGTCAACTTACAACCCTGGGCATGCACGGGACTATCTCGCCGTGTACCAGAGACAAGAACAGATGGAGGAGGGAGAAGATGGAGTTATTGAGAGCAAAAAAGTAGGTCATGGTTGTTCTTTACGTACTTTGGTACACCCTCTTTCACGCAAAAGGAATGATCGACGATCAATAGAGGGTTGATATCCACTTAGGCACCACCACCTCGCACCAGTCTTGTCATGATTTGATCTCAGACACCATCACTGACAACATTACCTGTGTCACTGATCAAAATAAAATAACGGTCGCCGAGGAAGAAAACCTCGCCGGGCCAACAGACCTTTCTTTTTCACTCATCTCACGACTTGCGGAAGGCAACTGCATCACAAACAAACGAGAAAAAGCAAGGGAAGGAGGATAAGATGGATTGGAAGAAGTAAGCATAGGTCCACGAGGGTTTAATTTATTAGATACGACAACGGTGCGTGGTCTGGCGAGTGAGTTTGATCAAGTCGCAAAAGCAGTCTTACCAGAGGGTAGTTCCTTGTCCTTCTTTTCTTCTTCTTTCCTTCAGTCCTTCCATCCTCCCCTTTCTTCCTTCCTGGCTTGTTGCCTCTTCATTCCCAACGACATCAACATCCGGGCCCCCTCATCTCTTCCTGCCCTTTCTTGCAGCTGACTCTGACAACAATACGACCTTACTTTTTTCTCATCCCCCTCCCCTGACTGGTGACCTCATTTCACCCATCATTCCTTCTTTACTTCCCTTTCCTTCCTGTCCTTTTCTCATCACGCTCCCGGCAGCTACTCGGAACTAAGGAATCGGGCCTGCTTCCAGCACAAACTAACTATTTAGTATCCCCCGTTCCGCACAACAACCAAAAACCTTTGTGCGAATTCAATTCGTAATTCACCTTGGAAAAACACGCCAGAAACAAGTAGTCGCATACACGGCTCTGGAGACACAAGAAACGCACGCCAATATGAGCTTGCGCGGTCGACAGCTGTTCGTCGGGAATGTATGTTGATACCTACTCTTTGTTCACAATGGCCAATGCGCTCAATTCGTGTTTTTCTTTGATATGGTGTTGGTTTTTTATCAGATCGAACACTGCCCGAAAACGGCTCACACATGCCCTAATTTATTTACACTCTCTTTTTCATAACCGATTATTGTTCTGTAGATCCCCTTCTCAGGTACTCATACATAAACACCCTCAAGCTCATGAACGTGGACGATCACCAACCTCTTGCAAACGGATCGACATTTTTTTATACCGGCATATCCTGTTATTTCCCCATACCAGCTTATCAAAACACTGACCACCCCATTATTGCTACCAATCTACCTCTCAGTCGGATGGCAGGACCTCAAGGTACTACTTTTACTATTACTACACGTCAGGCAGCTGTTAACTTGTTGTTCATGAACTTTCTCACTCCAAACAAAAATATTCAACGCTAACAATTAATAAAATGACGTCTCCCAGGATCTGTTTAGAGGAGCAGGGGTTGTCCAACGAGCCAACATCATGCAAGGGCGCGATGGACGTTCAAAGGGCCACGGTATCGTTCTATTCGCCACATCAGACGACGCAAACAAAGCACAAGGTAAAGAGTGAAATCATGGTCATAGAAGTCTACCTCGCCTAGCAGTCAGCCATCAATACAGTCGACATTATGGTTTTTTTCTAAACCGCAGTTCTCTGTTCCATGTGTATTAGAAATGTTCAATGGTTACGAGTGGCATGGACGCCCCTTAGAGGTTCGAGAGGTAACCAAACTTCACACAAGACCTACTCTGCAATGGTACAGTCAGTCAACTTTTTTTTTTCAGCCAGCAGGGCCTAACACAACGACCTTCTACACTATAGGACAGAAGTATTCAGGATTTTGTTCCGAAAAAGACCGCACCACCAGCCCTATCAGAACCACTACCAGCACCAGCGGAGGTAATTATTTTCTTTTTTCTGGAGATCACTGTCACTGTTCAAATAGAACGCAGCTGCTTCTTGACATGGACTAATACCAATCTGCGTTGTTTCCTTTAGGACGTCGACGGTTTGGCGGATGAACTGGACAAAAGGCTTCAAGTTGAAACCGACGGGAACGAAAACAAGGATTCAGGGAATGCAACTCTACCCGCAAACGGTGAAGACGCCAAGAAAGATCACACGTTGTCGATTGGTGGCGAAGCGGCTGATTCTACCCCCATCAAGGGCGCTCAGGACAGAACCATTCATGTTGGGAATGTAAGTTTGGCTGGTGTATTAATAATTCAACTTTGTTTTCACAAAGTGGTTCTCTATTGGTGCAGTATGCAATCTATTCATACTAATGGTCGCCAGAAAATGCCTTAGATTCCCTTTCGCGTGAGGTGGCAGGACTTGAAGGATCTTTTCAGAAAAGCCGGACACGTTGTTAGGGCAGATGTTGCCCTCGGTCATGATAACCGCTCCAGGGGGTTTGGCACTGTGGTCTTTTCAAGCGAGGAGGAGGCGAAGCAGGCCATAAGTGAGTCCAGTTCTATGCAACTCATATCGCCCCTGCCCTGAAGTGTTGGTACACAGTGAAGATCTAACCGACTTTTTTTGTTGGATGTTGTAGACATGTTTGACCAGCACCATTGGCAGGATCGTGTCATTCAAGTGCAAGAGGACAGGTCTGGCATGGATAACGGCCGGAATCACGACCGCGGAAATGTTTATGGAGCCGCTCAGGGCTACAACCACCCAGCACCCCACTTTGTAAGCCACTCTCGACTGTCACCTTGACGTTGTAATTTTACTCTTGACGTATCACCTCGGCTAACATGATTGATACTTACGCGATCGCGATATAGAGGAACCTTTACCCGATGAACCACAACCACAATGTCGCTGCGAGCCGCCAAGTATTTGTTGGCAATGTAAGTTAATATGTTCTCAATGTTCTTTGTCGCGATGACTATGAAAGTGCAACAAGTCGACGCATCCGACGCATCTGATGCATATTGCAATTTACACTTTTGATAGCTCCCCTTCCAATGTCAGTGGCAGGACCTCAAGGATTTGTTTCGCAAGGCTGGAAATATCATCCGGGCAGATGTGGCGCATGGGTACGATGGAAGGAGCCGAGGCTTTGGCTCTGTTCTTTTTGCGACCCCCGAGGATGCCAAGACTGCCATCTGTAAGTCGTGAATGAGTGAACTAGTATACAATGTTCACTTGGATCCTAGCGCAAGCTTCATATATCACCTTGCATACTAACAAGGAAGCCGTTCATCTATAACTCCTTCTAGCCATGTTCGACAACTGCGAGTACAACGGGCGCACGTTGCGAGTTCATTATGACCGCTACAGCCATGTAGGCCACGGACCCATGCATGGCAACATGGCACATATGATGCACCCACACATGGCTCACCACCCTCACCTCCACCCACACCAGCCTCACCACCATCATCACCACCACCCACATCGAATGCACCCTATGCACGCACAACACAACCACGGATTTCATGGGAACTTTCATCAGCCTGGACTGATGCCGTTAGGCACCCACCCAATGGTGCACGGCGGAGGGCATGTTCCTTTCAACCTGGGACCACCGCTTTTTGGCAGCAGGAACTTTTCACCTCTGGATCCTCCACCAAACGGCGCGGAAGAGTTCTCAACGCCTGATGGAGTTGCACTTGCAAGTGCTTCGCCCCACTCGTCGGAGATCTCAGGCTTGGCGAGTGCTGGCGACAGAGTTTCTTCAGCAACAACGCCCTTCGATCCCAGTACGGATAATACAACTGCCACCATCGGAGTCGTCTCACCTCCGGTATCAGGTCCAGCCTCAGCCACAGCCGCAGCTGCAACCGCGGCATCTGCACATGGATCGTTCACCAGTCCTGAGGCTTTATCGCATCCAGAACCAGAGTCACCCTCACAACAGTATCCTTTCCTGGCCCACCTCGGACCGATCGGGAAACCCAACTCTGTGCATTTTCAACAGCAACAGCAATTCCGTGGCCTCTCGAATCCAGGACTCTTACCCGGGGGCAGCGGCGTCAGCAGTAGCAGTTCTGGGACCCTACCCCCACATAGCCCGTCCGTGGGAGTGAACGACACCGACGATGACGATTTCGGACCTCGGAGTATCGGCATTCCCTACCATTTTGGAAATGGTGTCGGTGATGACGAGAACGCCTTTACGCCTAGGTTCTACATGTATCCTGGCCTGCACCAGAATCAACATCAATCACAACAACAACAGCAGCAGCAGCAGCAGCGCCAACAGCAGGAGCACCAACAACTTCAGTCGCAGCAGCCGCAGAGTCAACAACAACAACAATCGACTTCGCAACAACCACATCAGCCAGCGCTTGCTGGCTACCTTCCACCCTATCAGGACCTTTACTCTCACGAGCACCTCGTGCATGGAAGGGCCGGGCTTGTGGGAGGTCTGGGCACGAACGCGCTGAGCCATGGATATCCTGGTCAACAGGAATGGATGGGTCACCCCAACACGTTTATGATGGGTCCTCCGCAACACATGTATGGCGCATTACCCTTTGGACAATATGGGCATTATAGAGACCTGAACAATGAGGTTGATGATGGGGAGGAGCTCTTGCAGCAGGAGGATGGATATTAGCATGGGGCATTGTAGAAAGGGATTTGGGGTTCAGGTCTAGGATATTTCATTTTCATATCAGGTTTAGAAACCACCACTGCAGAAAAGAAAGAAGGGGAAAAAAAAGAGCACATAGATAAATAAATAATGCAGCGTTTTCTTTTCATCTCTTGTTTGTCTTTGCCACGAATTTCCGCTTCTGGAGCACGACCACGTTCGATGGGTCGGTTGATAGAGAGACGCTGGAGCAATGGCCAGCAGTAGTGCCCGTTCTCGACTTCCTGGCCCATCTTGTCCAGCGTATTCTTGACGTCCCCCAATAAGCCCAGATGTTGTAGCGACTGAATTAAGTCGGCATCGACATATGGCCCTTCCAAGGCCCTCAGAGGCACAGCCGACAGCTGATGTGATTCATCCAATAGCATAGTCTCCCATCCGCTTATAATCATTTTTCGTTCCTCGAGAGACTCGGCAGCCCATCCAGAAGCGACCATCCATGCCAGGTCCTTGCTTCCTGAGTTTGTCGTTATCTCTGCAGATCCGATCAGCATTGTCTCCAGGTACCACAGTCTGGAGAGGAGGCACAGTCCAGCGTCTAGGTCCATAAAGAGAATAGGTCTCGGGAGAAGAACGGCGTGATAATAGGGATCGATCTGGAGGTCGCGGATCTTGGGGCATACAGTTGAGAGGTAGCGCCATAGACGATTCGAGATTGGACTCTTGTTTCGTGGGGAATATTCCACTGAATGTGGATGCCCAAGTGGAGCGACTGGAGGTTCCTGCATGCCCATACTTTGCCTGTGAGTTTCTGACCCGCTGTGCTTCCTGGTCCTGGCCCACTCGCAGACGATGGTAGGTTGGCTCGAGAATGCACATCCAAATATTCCAGGAGGTAGGCCGCATAAGGTGCCTTGAGATGCAACAAATGAGGCGACTCACACAGGTACCTATGTAATCCACTTTCAGGTAGGAGCTCTGTCCTTGTGGTAGATCTCGAGACGGGTAACAACGTTGGGTGTATCCTGGAGTCGCGCGACCATGACGGGCAGGAGGTCCTGGGTCGAGAAGGTCCAGTCGGTCGACTTGGGGCTCACAAGGAACACGTCACAGTGGGGCCAAGTTTTGGAGGGGTAGACCAGCGAGAGGTGGAACGATCGAAGCACAATTCCGAGAGATTGAGGCAGCCCAAGTCGATGTTGACATGTGCGCCAATACGGTCTCGTCCTCCTCGGCCCTGATATCAGACCGGGGGCTGATCAATTTGAGTTCCTGGAGTCGCGGGGTAAGGGCGAGTAAGGATTCCAAGTCTGACTGCGCGAACTGCCCGTTCCTGAGAATGAAGGATTGGAGAAGCAATGACTGTCGAAGTGATTGTTGTTGTCGTTACTGTGGCGGTAAAGGGTGAATTGTGTTTCCTTGTTGCTTTTGTTGGTCTTGAGCCTTGTCGTTCGAGATCCAGGGTGTCGGGAACTCGACATAGTGTTTCGCATCAACCTCAAAAGATTTCAGAAACGGACATGCCTGAAAGACCCTGTCCAGCTGGATCCTCCCAGATTCCGCAACCTGCAGCCGCAGCCGATTCAGGGTCGCCAAGTACGGCAAAATCCTATGCAGCCTGGAGAAGATATGAGTATGGCCGATCAACTCAAGGTCCCGAAGCGAACTATATAGCAACGGACGCATCCTCATCACCGACTGAATGTTCTCCGGTTGCCGCTGCCGTTCCAAGATCTCGTGCTGTCGTATCGCCATATCTCGCTCATAGCTCTACTTGAGCGCCTTGACAAGGGCCACCCACCGATCCGGGCCCGCCAGGGTCCCTGTCGGATGCCGTCGAGAATACCACCATAACCGTCCGGCGCCCAACAGTCGCGACGCGATGGCTTCCTGACACGTTGGATCGACTCCGGTGTCCCAGATGACCTCGCGGACTACTCGGTGGCGATTCATGAGGTATCATTGGCGGCAGACGCACACGAGCTTGTGTGGAGGGTAAAGTTGTCGAGGTAGGAGAATATAATCTCGAAGATTTCCGGTATCTTGATGGGGGAGGGTTTCCTTGATATGGTAATAGAGGTGACGGTGGCGGCGGTGAGGAAGGTGAGGTCGTCGAGTGATTGTGATCTGCTATGTGCCCTTGAGGATGAAGATCCCATGTTTTTCTCCGGGTGCTGGTTGGCGACGAGAGTGAAGTGGTGGCTCTAAAAGTTGGGTGTGTTATGATGCTTGAGCGGAAAAGGATAGAGAATGAAATCAGTAGGCGAAAGAAAGAGAGGAACTAAAGTAGAAAGGGAGGGAGGGGGAAAAGTGCGAAGCAGAGCGCGGGAGGATGGAGAATAACCACTTTATAGTCTTGAGTGCTGACGGTTGGACAAGTGTCCATTGTGCAATTACACATGGCAAAGCTGGAACAAACAGACATGCTGCAAAAAGAAGAGGAAGGTGATGATGTCCCCCTGAAATTGATGCAGTGTCATGTTTGACATTGGGAAATTTGCTGTTGCTGTTGCTGTTGCTGTTGCATGAAATGTTCGCTTTTAAGAGCAATTAGACAAGAAACGCCGTTACTTCTTTGGAGATGGAGGCGTCATACAAACTACTACCACTCCCTGTTTATTTAGTTGCATTTTTTACTTCGCCGGTACATATCCTGGGAAGAGACGTTTCATCTCTGCGGCAGGACTCCGACCTATCTCACTATCATCATAAAGAGATATCTTATGAAGGCTTGGCCAACACACACAGCGGCCAGAGTCGATCTGCTCCAGCATCGATTTGACGTCCGCCTTTTTGCCTAGGTTTCGCAGCTCCTCCTCCAAGGCAGTATCTCTAGCTGCTATCCCAATCAACCCTCCAACTGCGCCCTCTTCCGCTCGGGTGGAGCCCAATTCATCACGTTCCTCTTGCAAAATATCAGCCTCCCAGCTGACCATGCGGGCCTGGCGTGCTCGTCGATGGTCAAGGTTGAGGCCAGAAGGCGTCATCCAGCTTAATTCCCATGCCTCGGAAGTGAAATGGTGGTAGCCAGAGCCGACGTGAAGTCTCTTCAGATGCCTCAAGTTCGCCAACAGACAAATACCACCTTCCAACCACAACAAGAGCTTTCTCTCGTACATGTCTCGCCTCTTTGAACTTAGGTGTAATTCCTCCAGCTGAGGACAAACCCGTGAAAGATATCCAAAGACAATCCTCGTAGCAGTAGGGCCGTTCTCGTAATAGTGGATGTTCCACTCCAGGCTGACCTGGAGTGTCCTGAGCCTCCTGCAGCGCCATATTCCAGGAACCACACGCGATCCGTCGACTTCTACGGGTATGGACAGTCGATTGTGCAGATCCAAGTGCTCGACCTGGAATCTGGTCTTGGGCGCCCTCAGATGAAGGAGATGAGGCGATTGGCACAGGTACTGGTGCAACGTAATACCCCAACGACCGTTTGAGCCCGCGTCCCACAGAAAGTCTAGCGCTGTCACATTGTTGGTGAGTAACGCCAGTTCCTTAGAAATCGTGTCAGTAAGGCCAACGGTCCAAAATGTCCACTCAGCCGCCTCGGGGCAAACTGACGAGATCGCTCCGGGTTTCAAATCCAGAGTGCGCGCAGCATAGACTGATATGTGAAATGAACGTAACTGCAGTCGAAGCTGTTTGATGTGTTCCAAGAGACTCGTGGCGTGGTCTTTGGGGTTGATAACCCGCTGGGTGATGTATGGCGCAGAGACAGAATCGATCCCTTGGAGCGTCTCCAGAGTTGAAGGATGATTGTCGATGCGTTCCATGAACATGATGTTGATGAGTCGAAGGTTCTTGAGCGATGGGCAGACAGTGAGCAGACTTGTAAGGTTCGAATACTCGAATGTAGCGTTTTCGAGTTCAAAGGATCGTAGTGGTAAACGAACTGGTCCGGAGTCCTTCTTGTTGGCGGGTATCCATGGTCCAGGGAGCTCCAAGATCACCCCCAGTACCCCTGCTTGAAAGGTCTCTAAGAGTGGGCATGCCTCCAGGACTGCATTGAGGGAGACTAGGCCAAAGGCGCGAGACCGCAGGCGCAGGGTGGTGAGGAAAGTCAAGAAGGGTAAGATGGTCGGGATAAGTGAGTCGAGGCTTTGAAAGGCGATGAAATCGAAGTGTCGAAGCGGGTTGTCAAAGATGGCTGTGCTGACGTCGTCCAAGAGCTTGCGGTGGAATGTTTTTCGGCGCCGCCTTGTCTGCAGGTATCGAGTATGGTTCTTCTCCAGCGCCCGCACAAGCTCGTTCCATTGCACTTTCTGCTTTGGATTTCGAGCAAGACGGCTCGAGATGCACTTTGGGCCGTAGTGCCAGTGGAGTCGCCCTGAACCGGTGATGTTCTTGATTGTCTTGTTGGAAAGGGGAGTGCTCGTGAGGTCGATGTCCCAGACGGTTTCCTTCTCGAAGAGGTGACGATAGATCCAGAACCATTCGCGACAGACAGGCAGGACAGATCTGCGGAGGTCGGCGTTATCTAAGTACGAGAATATGTGCTCCCGCAACTCAAGAATATCCAAAGGCGACGTCGTCCTGGGATATGTTGGCTCAGTTTGCTGCGGTTGTTGATGTTTTTGTTGTTGTTGCTGTGATGGTGGCGTCGGTTTCTTACAGAAAAACTTCCGCATCATGTCGCTGTGGTTGTTGGTTGTTGTTGTTGTTGTTGTTGTTGATGAGAGATGGCGTTTCGGGATGTGCTGAATGTGAAGAATGTGCGTGTGTGTGTAAAGTGTGAGAAGTAAAGTCAAGAAGAGGCAGGGAAGAAGAAAGAGAAGAGGAAGAAGAAGCAAAGAAGAAAGGTGCCATATCTTCGTAAAACAACAGACGCCGTTCCTCTTGGCCCCAAGCCATGGCAAAAGACAAGAGAGAGAGTGAATGAGCCCACATCTGATATCTAGACGCAAGGTCTTGTGCATGCTTGTTCCAGGCCATCCTTCTCTTTTTTTCTGATGAGTTGTCAGAGACATGAAAATGACCCATCGAAAAATAGAGTCTGATTCCTTCAGTGAGGCCGACAAAGTGATCAGGATGGTGTCTGAATAGGGATCGTCCCTTCTGTTGATCGTTGGTCATTCTTTGGGAGACAATTATCTGTGAAGTGTCCAAACCCACTTTCTTAGTTTCTACAACACCATCCTCCCACCTCATTTCCTCTTTGCCGTCTCTCTTTCCCTCTCTCTCCCTCTCTCTCTCTCTCTCTCTCTCTCCTTCTTCTCTTGTTCGTCTCTTCCTGTCAGTGGTACACGGCGAGGAACCTTGTCCATGGTCACATCATTGTTTTGAGCGAATATTGATACAAAAATCAATGATCATGAACAGAATCGTAGAAACATTGCATGAAAAATTTAAAACATCTAGAGTCGCTTCGTCAAGTGAGTTGGGCGAGTGAGCCCACATCTAATTTAAGCACTTTCCTTCTTGTTTTTCTCCTTCCTCTTCCTCTTCCTCTTCCTCTTCTTTCCTTCTTCCTTTTTTTCTCACACGACCATCCCAATCCGAGCCATGTCCACCTCAGTCTGGAAGAGACTCTCCAGAAGGATGTCCTTGCCTCCCAAGACAACAGCAACAGTAGCATCAACAACGGCCCTGACAACGAACACCCTCCAACCAACTCTACCACCACCGCCACACGCACTAGACATTGTCGAGATATTGGAGCACATCTTCTCCTACCTGGACGAGTTCACCCTCAAGGAAACAGCCATCCTCGTCTGCCGTAAATGGTTTCTCATCAACCGGCTCCGGAGTGCCAGAGAAGTCGTCCTAGGCAGCTTCATGTCCAGCTCCAAGTTCGACCGCATCCTTTCCCGGATATCCGGCGCGTCTCGACTTTCTTTCTACGTCTTCCCTGATGCCACGGCCAGCATGCAGGAACAACACAGGAGAAAACTCGTCGTGGCGCTGCAGAGGAATCATGCTCGACAGATCAAGCGACAGAAGCGGCATCGGAAAATGGACAGTCTGACTCAGTGGGCCGATGGTGCAACTTTGGAGCGTCTGTTGGATCAGTCCCTCGAGGAGCTGAACCTGGTCGGATTTGCCCAACCTGAGCTGACACTCCCCCCGATCTTACCCTACCTCTCGTCTTTGATCCGCCTGCATTTACGGATCTCTGGAGGCGCTGTTATCAAGGTGGCGGATATTGTACAGGCTTGTCCGCTTTTGCAGGAGCTGTACGTTGGCATTGGACAGGTGGGCTGGTCCGATCTAGCGGTGGAGTTACCTCGTCCCTGGCTTCCTTCAAGGAACGGCTCTGAACAAGGGTCGCCTCTGCATCTCCGGTCTCTGGTTCTTGAAGATGTGTGCCTTCCTCAGAAGACTCTGGAATCCTTCTTGGCCGTTACACCGCAGCTCACAGTCCTCAAGTTGATTAATCTGGTTAGCGACAACCTTCCGCACGAAGAACTACCCGAGTGGGAGCACCTCGAATACAACTGGCCCAAGCTATCCAAACGGCTCAAGGATCTACAACTCCCTCTCAAAGCCTTCCACTTTTCTGTGTCCGACCGCCCCATGACCGATGATGAGTTCAAGGAGATGCTCTTGGTCTGCCGAGGATCTGCAGAATGGATCGTTCCCTCTGCCGATGTTACCCTCGCCATGATTGTGAACGTCATGACGTTTCAGAACGTCCTCACCAGCCTGGAGCTCTTTGGAACAGACCGACCGACTGTCGTCCTCGAACGTATGTTGCACTACTATCTGTGCGATTCACCCCACTTGCTCCATCTCAGAGCACCCAGGGCCGCCTTCCTGATCGAACATTTGGACGTCTACCATCGAGGAAAGTTCGCTTACACCAAACAGGAAGTCCACGGGAACTTGTCGCAACCAGTTGTGTGGGGTCACATCCGTCCAGGAGTTTGGGCTTGCAGGAAACTATTGACGTTAGACATGGAGTTTCACTCGCACGAACAGCCGCTTCTCTCTTCGGCAGTTACCACCCGAATTCTGTTCGGATACATTGCGAGAGTCTTACCGCGTCTTCGAGAGCTGTTTATTGACACTACCGAGTGTTACTGTCAAGGAGATATGGCTTTCCCAGTCAAACTCAACTTGCAACTAGAGGGAGGGCTATGTCTGCTCGCCAAACTCAAGGACCTGGAACGTCTTCGCATCGGATCTTACGACCGTCAATTGCAGTGCTCTCTGTCGGACTTGAACTGGATGATTCCTTCTGGACAGAGTGAAAGGTATAAGGAAAAGCGGCAGACGACTATAGAACGACTGGACGGTTGGCTGAATGAGGAGCGGTCGCTAGAACTTGCGGCTGTTAGGGCTGTCCATGAAGAGGAAGGGGATCTATCAACCAGCTGGGTCAAGGTTGAGCCATCACTGAAGCTAGAGTTGTATCATTTGGGTTTGTTTTTGGATGTCAAGCGTATGGTCTGTGAGATGGCGTCTGTAAACAACTTTCGATGCTGGCCCAGGATGCGCCGACTGTCGCTGTTTGACTTGTACGACATTGGTCGTTGTCCAGAAAAGGAACTCGAACGAAAGTTCAAGTGAAGGAAAAATAATAATATTATGTAATAAATACTATTTAATATTGAACAATGGTTTAACACCTTGTGAGGTAAAGGATGGGGTGATCGTTGGAGTCGTGGCCAACATTTGAGCCCATCTGTGTCCATCGCTTTGACCGTCCTAGCCACATCGAAGATGGCCTCTCCATCTAATTATTTTCTCCTGCCAATCCGCCTAAGACTGCCAAAATACCTCCTTGCCTCCGCATGTCCCTTTGCAGCGGCCTTCTCAAACCCCCCCATCGCCACAAACAGATCCTGTCCCTGCCCCCTGAACAAACGATACATATTCTTAACAGTATACTGAGCCCCACTCTGCCCCCTCACAGCCCTCAGGAGGCACTCCAACGCTTGACCAAAGTCCTGGATGATACCTTCACCGTGGAGGTACAACACTCCTACAGAGTACCGACATCTCTTGTCGCCTCTCCCGGCACCCTTAGCCTTGAGATTTTATTGACTTATGACAGACTATGAGCATAAAAGGTTTAAGGTCGAGTTCATCCTGACCGTTGGTTTAGCTTGAAGAAAGATTGTCGGGATACTGAAGCCATCCCAGGCTGAAGAAAAGAGATTTTGACGGGATATGATCCTAGGACTTCTTGTAAGCCACAACAAGAGGAGTGAAGTGTAACTACTTACACCATTTGGGTGCAAAGTTTATTAACGCAACGGGGAGAATACTTTCAGATACTCTTAAGGAAGGGGAAGGTGTTGGCCTGGTGGCGGACATGGTGGGCGTCGTCGAAGGCTAGCCTGATTACGTCCCGAAGATCGAAAATTTGGGTTTTTTTTTCTTTTGGGATCGGGATGAATGTCGACATAGAATACGCCCGCATTTGGTGCGAGGCTTGAGGATGATGATGGCGATGGGGTGTCGGTGTACTTGTCGACGAATTGCAGTCCCTGGACGTTTGGGGGGTATGATTTAGGAGCCATTTTGTTGAACTGGTGGCTGCTGGCTGCTGAGGTGTGAGGTGGTTCTCTAAAGGTTTGTGAGACTTGAATTGAGGGATGAGTGGAAAGTGTAGGCGTGGAAAGGTGTCACAGAGGAGGAAGATGTTTATATATAGAGACGTCGGGCGAAGGCTTAAAAAATAGAGATGGTGGAGGTGTTCAAGGTGGGTGCGGAATGTAAGTCGATTCAGGTACCATGAGCTGTTTCTCTTTTTTTTCAGGCTTCAACCAGAACAAAAAAGTGTTGGTGAACAATGTGAGTTTATGACAATAGTTTCTATGGTATGCAATGGCAAAATAAAATAAAAAAACAGTTCTAAAACCAATAGCTGCACCTAGGCGACGGCGGCACAATGACGGGAATCATAAAGCTCCTTTGCAATCCGTGTCAACTCGCCTTCATTCTCAGGTCCAGTCCCTGCAACCATCCCCTTCAACCAACCCTGGTTTAACGAACTAGTCTCATCCAACAACTCCCAGGGCTCACCAAATTCCTTGACCTCCCCTTGGTCCAACACCAAGATCCTGTCATAGTCGCCAATGACAGTGTTCAACCGATGTGCAATCGTGAACACCGTCGCGCCTTGGAACTGTGTATGGATCGCTTTCTGGATCATCCTGTCTGACTGCAAGTCGACATTGGCGGTCGCCTCGTCCATGACAATGATCTTTGACCGACGCAGAATTGCGCGCGCCAGCGAGATCAATTGACGTTCGCCGATACTAAAGTTCTTGCCGTTGTCGTCCACTGCGGCGTCGAGACGCCCTTCGAGCCCCTCGACAAGGCGTTTCATCTCGGCGGCCTCGAGTGCAGCCCAGATATCGGCGTCCTGATGCTTGTTGGTCGGATCGAGGTTGAACCGCAGGGTACCGCGGAAGAGGAAGGGCTCCTGCGGGATAATCGCCATCCGCTCACGAAGATCATGAACTCCAATCTTGCTGATATCAATCCCGTCAATGTAGATACCGCCTCGGTGAAGGGGATTCCCAGTCATGGTCTCGACCAACCGGAACAAGGCTCCAATCATGCTCGACTTTCCTGCACCCGTACGTCCAACAATCCCAATCTTCTCACCAGCTCTAAAATTAAGTGAGACATTCTTGAGGACGGGGCCGTCGCCACGGGGGTAAGTCAACGACATGTCCGAGAAGCTGACCTGAGCGGTGGATGGCCAGCCGTTGGAGACAACACTGGTCCCGTCGGGGTTGTTCATGTGGCGCGGGGAGATTTCGGGCTTGGTCTGGGCGTACTCCATCATGCGCTCTACAGAGACCATCAGGATTGCGGCCTCGACACTCATGCGGATGGCCCACTGGAGCTCGCCGGATAAACTGATGACAGATGACATGGCAAGGCCGGCCCGAGAAGCTTCTTGGCTGTCGCGGACGGCGACACAGGCGATTGCAGTGACTCCTAGGAACATAGCTGAGACAGCATCTAAACGGTAACCCTAAGGGCGAGGAATGTAAATGAAAAAACACAAGTGTTAACACAAATGGTCATGCAGCATAAAAAGAAACAAATAAAAAAAGAAAAAGAAAGGTGACTTACTAGCCAGCGAGCCATGCCAAGGTAGGTGAAAAAAGCACGACCGTTGTCTTCCTGGGTCTTGATATGCTCGTCCATAAACTTGTTGGCAACACCAAAGGCACGGACAGAGGTCAATCCATCAAGGGTTTCAGACAAGTGAGAGTAGATGGGCGAGCGGGAGGTACTGTCGATACGCTTGACTTGACGGCTGGACTTCATGTAGAGCGAGCGGAGGGCAATAAATCCGGAAAGAATAATAGGGACAGCGATTACGATCCAGGGGTTGACGATACAGACAGTGACGACAGATCCGAGCAACATGAATCCGATTTGGGTGGCGTCGAAAAAGACATATGGCAGCAACTCGTCGATGAGCGCCATGTCCTTGGAGAACCGGTTTAGGACACGGCCGTGGGGGTTGGCGTGGAAAAAGTCGATGCTGGTATGCATGAGGGCATCCAACATAGCACGGAAGATGTTGCGGGAGCTGGCGGTAAGGCAGTCAAAGAACAAGTACGAACGGATCAAGGTCATGATGACGGTTCCAAGACAGTAGAGACCAAAGGCAGTAGGGTAGTACGACTTTTTTTGTTCTTGGGCAGAGGCACCGGACCACCGAGTCAGGAAAAACTCGCCGAGGACCACGATGGTCTGAGCGGCAGCCAAACAGATGATCGTCAGGATGAGTTTGGACCAAGTAGAACCGATGCGGAAGAACTCTATATAGGCCTTGAATGATGTCTCACCTTCGGCAACCTCTTCAACAGTCAAATTCTTCTCCATAATGCTGGCGCCGTCATCGCCATTGTCGTCTACTGTAGCTGCTTTGTCCTTCCTGTCGTCAGTGCCACTGTTGTTTTGAGTAGTAAGGGTTGCAGTCTCATAATCGGCGGTGGCGAGGATACTCTCCTCGGTAGGAGCCTCGGGGACCTTTCTGGCAAATTCACGGAGTACATCGACAAACTTGGCGCGGGTGTTAATACTCCTGACATCATCGCCCTCCTGGACAACCTGCGTGACCTCGACCTCCTCCCTCATCACCTCATCGACGTGGCCCATATGGGTGATCAGACCACGCTCGAGAACAATGACATTTTCGCAGTCCTTGATGTACTGAAGCTGGTGGGTGACCAAGACGCGAGCCTTGCCCTTGAGTAGTCCGTTAATGCAGTTCTGGAAAAGTGCACGTCCGACTTTGGGATCGACAGCCGAGAGAGGGTCATCCAGAATGTAAACGTCTGAATCTCTGTAGGCGGCTCTGGCGAGCGAGACACGGGCCCGTTGACCTCCACTGAGGGTGACACCCTTCTCACCAATGAGAGTTGCGTCGCCTTTGGGGAACAACTTGAGATCGCGAGTGAGCTCACAGGCCTTGATGACCTTGTCATAGTGTTCCTGGTTGAAAGAGGCGCCAAAGAGAATGTTGCTACGAATCGATCCAGCAAAGATCCAGGGGGACTGGGCAGAGTAAGACATGGAAAGGGGGCGGCGGCGCGTATCTTGATGGTGAGCAATATTCATGGATCCAGAGACAAGGGGCATCTCCTCCAGGATAGCCATACAAAAGCTGGACTTGCCAGAGCCGACGGGTCCAACAATGGCGAGCAACTCGTCGCGGCGGAGGGTCATGGTGATGTTGTTAAGGAGAGCCTTCTTGGGGGTGTCCAGCAAGGTCACATCGTTGTCAGAGCTGTCATCGGAGTGGGTTGCGAGGCCCTTCTTGTTCTTGGCGTCCTTCTCCTTGGCCGCCTTCTCTTTCCTGTCCTTGGCCGAGAGCTCCAGGATCTCGTTCTTTCCGTCAGTCGAAATCGCCCAGGAGAACGAGGCGCCCCTCATATCGATCAAGATGTCGGGAAGATCCTGCGCTTTGACCCCACCTTGACCCAAACTGTCATCCGCCTCCTGAGAGTCAACATCAAGCTCAATGCCTCTCAACTCTGGCAAAAGCAAAAAGTCGGTAATGCGCTTGACAGAGACACGGACGCCAGCCAAGGCCTGGATAGCCTTGGGGAAGTAGGAGGTCATGTTGGTGCGGAGGATGTTAAACAGGGTCAGGGAGACAAAGACCTTGTCAGGTGTCAGAGAGACAGGGTCGACGGCGTTCCTGTGCTGGAGCCAGTAGGCTGTAAAGGCGAACATGACGACGACAGGCTGGAAGAAGAAGTAGATGGCCATGTTGATAGAGCTGAGGATGTTGGAGTGCCAGATGTATTTGAGTTCGATCGAGCGCAACATCATGATCTTTTCTTGGAAAGGGACCTCCCACGCGCACAGCTTGACCAGCTCGATTCCTGAAAAGACGTCTGACAAAGTCCTGATGCGTTCGTCACGGGCATTGACAGTGTTGGTGCGGATGGATCCAAACTGCCGAGAGAAGAAGGCCTGGAGGGGCATCAAGAGAGACAGAGCCAAGAGACCGGCCAGACAGGCAACCCCGAGTTCCTGCCAAAGGAAATACATGCCGGCGATCATTTCCAGAGGTCCGAGGATCAAGTAAAGTCCAAAAGGAGCGAAGCTCTCAAAGGGCTGGAGGTCGTTTGAGATCAGGTTGACGACTGTTCCTGTCGAGATTGAGCTTGAGGTGGAGAGGGTGAGGCATTTGCGGTACATGAGGGCGATAAGAGATTGGCGGATCCATGTGCCGAGTCGAAGGACGTGAAAGAAGTTGTGGTGGTGAAATGTGCCGTGGATAAGGGTGACGAGAAAGAGGGCGACTGCATAGCCCATTCCTTGCTTGATGGTCATGCTGGGGTTGTTGAAGAAGCGAATAACATATCTAATAGGGATTGCAAATATCAGAGTGTTAGTTAGAGAGTGGTTGACTAGTATGCACGAAGGTTTGAAAAGAAGGAGAAGGATACGGTACCCCAAGAGGACGGCTTCGCTGATCTTGCAGACACCCTCAAAGAATCCAGAAATGAGGGGGACCATGGCATAGAGACCGTAGCATCTCCAAAGGACCTTAAAGAGGTTGGGGCGCTCTTTGTGGGTAGGAGTGTTGGCACGCTTGGCGTTCTCGACCTCGATGGTCCATTCCTTGTAGACGAGATCGGAGATGCGCTGGACACGGTCGTTTTCTGAGAGGCGTTCGATATCATCTGCAACAATTGTGTTTTGCTATTAGGTTGGAACGGATTGGACGTAGAGGTGTATTAATAGGACGATCGTGTGTAATCATGAATGATTGTTAGTGGTAACGGATAGAAAGTGAGTGCATGTGCTACAAGAACGTACTTTTCCGTAGAGAATTTTTGGCTGGATCCAGCTGAAGGTCATATAGGAGAAGAAGTTTGCGCTCTGGATCGAGGACGGAGGGTGCTTGTCGTCGATCATTGTGGCGAGATTATTATTAAGGATATAAGTAGGTACGAGCTGATATTACAAGGGGAGGAGTTACTTGGTGTGGTCGTGAAGGGTAGTGAAGGAAGATGATGCAAGAGGCGGAGGAGAGGAGGAAGATGAGGGAGAGGTGGGGTGTGAATGAATACAAAAGTGTGTATGTGTTCTTTCGGAATATTAATATGCAAGTGAAAGGAATAGTGTAGGAAGAGAGGATGCAATCTCTCCTTTTAAATGGTTGGCCACACCTTGCTTCTCCCCCATAGTTATTTTCTTTCGTTTTTGCGTTTGAGCCATTCATCGTTGCACACCTACACGCACAACAACTCTACATGAAAAGAAAGGGGCGAAGGGGATAGGAACAAAACGAAGGAGGGAGACAGGGCGGGAACATAATACCAAAAAACAGGTCTGACCTTGGGCGGACATTGTATCCTTCTTCTTCCTCCAACTCGGCACATTTTTTTGTAATGCACGTCCTTGGATCTCCTCTTGTACTATTTTCTCATTAACCGACGTCAATTGCGACTGCGGCAGCCAAGGCATTTGAAGGCTGCAGGAAAACCCGGGGTGATATAAACAAAAGGTACCCTTGACGGAAGAGGAGCAGGTAAGGAGGGAACGAACAAAGGCCCCGCCTATTCCTTGACAACTGGGTGTTGGTTGTTGACTGGCGCGTAGCGTAACGCACAGTCAATTGCTTTTCCATTTGTTGATCAATGTATTTTCAGGCCTTCAATAAACCCTTCGACAACTACTCTTGCAGCGGCGTGTGTATCTGTATCGTTGATGGAAGACCTGAGGGACAGTTTCCCTTCTTCGATTTTTTCTCGGAGACATAAAAAAAAGCGTCCTGTGCTCCATTCAACTCCAATGGTCTGAGTCGTCTATTGAACTTAATTGCTTAACCCTCTCAAAGAATCGTCGAAAGACCTGTACTCCAACTCCTCCAATCCACCGACTCCTACAAACTATCTTTCTTCATCCCTGAATGACCGAATACCTTGCAGGAGATAGCTCAGCGTACATTGTGGTCGAATGAATTGATGGGAAAAAAATGGACAATCAAAAAGAAGGAAAGTGGAAAAGGATACTCGTGCATATCGACGACTCCAAAAGAGGAAGACAATCCGGTCGTGTGGACAGCCATCTCTGCCTTTTTTTCTCCTTGCCCAACATACCTACTTGCGCCTCCGTGACTGGTAGTCTCGACCAAGGCAATCCTCCTAGCGCGGCACGGTTTGTATACTGTAGAAAACCATAGCATTGAGTGTATGACTTTTTTTATTTTCATCAAACGAAGTGGTATATACAATCGGAGGTGTAGGAAGAGACAATTGACGTCTACAGATGCACTCCATCATCCGCTCCAGCTTGCTCTCCACCATCCTCAGTCTCCTTCACCTCCTCCGCAACAACACCTCGCTTGCGCTGAATAGCCCTCAGCAGATCCGCGCACGTCCGTTCATACTTGGCAATCACGACCATATTCTCCTCAATCGCCAACACAAACTCTGGATCTGCCTCAAATGCTTCCGCAGCCTCGCTACCACCACCACCCTGTTGCTCCTGGAACTCAAGCAGGTCCTTCTGCTCCTGCTCGATAAACTCTGCAATCTCTTTGTTGGACTGGACCAGCTGCTGGATGGCACGTTCGAGACGGGTGTGTTCTTGTTCGAGTGAGGGCAGGTCGAGGGTATCGAGGATTTTTGCGAGTGCTTCTGGGGACGCTGAGGCGAATGCGGTGCCGGAGATTGCAAACTCTGCGGGCGGTGCGATCGCGGAGGAAGTCATGGACTGTTTGCAGGTGAGTGGCACTTTGTAAGACGTTTGGAAGGAAAGAGATGTTGTTATTGTTAGGCGTGAAGCGTGCGTGTATGTGTGAGTGAGAGAGAGAGTGTGTGAGAGAGAGCAAGTGAGTGGATGTGAGGTAGATGGAGATGCAAATGAAAGGGTGGACAGAATGACAGGGAGTGACTGTTGAACCAAATGACCATTTGAACTAGAAGTGCCTCTTGATCTCTTGACCCCCTCTTGTTTGCCACGCTCTTTACTCACTCGCAATCACTCGTGAGTCCTGACTCTGTCGGCCTGCTGCATTCAACAAAATGGCGATGCACCAGTTCCCACTGCTGGTCCAGTGGAGCTCAGTTCCAGAAATATACCACGGCTTCCTCTCTGTCATGGTAATACAAATAGCTTCTTGCAGGACAGGACTCTCATTCCTTATTTTCTACATGCAACTCACATGGCAAACACCTCTTACACAAGTAGGACAGGGAGCTCGAAGTCTGCATTGAGATGACAAACACCGGTACTGGAAGGACAGGACAAACGCTGACAAAAACGGGACCAAGGAACACATCAAGGAGCAGCATACTCTCAAGTAGGGTCGGGTTTCTATCAGGATCAGAAGAGCTCAAGGAGATCCTGTCTGGACAGGAGACCCAGCTCCAGCAGGTACTACGTTGACTATGTCGCCAGGAAAACCTTTGTCTGGCCAAAATGGATTTAACGAGAACAAGTTCGCTCACAGGATGTATGCTCGTTTATATATGGACATTAGAAAATGGATGAGGCTAAGGATATGGCGAGTTTTCTGGTCGAGCTCGTTGACACTCTGGTACCTTATTTCACATGTTGTCGTTGTACTACCGAGAAGTAAGACAAGATTCGTGGACCGCAAAGGCGCGCTAACCTAATAACTCTGACCTACATGTAATAGGAAGTGACAATGAGCAACAGGAGCGCTAAGGGGGATAAGGAGAAACCGCTGCGGTACTGTACACACATCATGGAACAACTGGATGCCCTTGGCTGGGATAGGGTCACCCTTGTAGACCAAGACCTTTCGCGTGTACAAATCGAACTCTGGTGAGTGCTGTTCATTGTTTCTCATATTCATGATTGGGATGCACCTGCAAATGTTGTAGACAACACATATCATTGACAAAAGTTGCATCTTAATTTCAATAAAAGCGACGCCTCACAGCGCAAGCATTTGATAACAGCTCGATTCCCACCGGCATACCCAACAATTCCACTTACCATCGCCCCATTGGAGGTTCCAGAGTGCGAGGACGATCAATTGGCGTCGCAACGCGGATTGAGCGTGGGAGGGCTCTCTTTAAAGCAAGGGTTAGCACTGGAGGCTGCGATCCGTCAAGCAGAAGGGGTAAAGTACTCTCTTTTTTTCAGGAGCTGATGCATGTTATTAGCATCAGGTAGACAAGGTCGTTTGGGGTTGTTGATTGACACTTCACATCCCACTTCTTGTCTCTGTTGACTAGCAATTGGAAATATTTCGGGAGTTCTGGGATGTGATGCAGGATTTTGACGAGAGGACGTGGGTGATTGATCCGGAAAAGCCCACCAGAGCGGACAAAATGCGACGATGTGCACTAGGTAACTTACCGCCATTCCCATCGTCGCCTCAACCCCGGTTCCCGCTTCATTTATGCGTTGCTGGACGTAGTATTTTAACTAAAGAGAAACATATCGCAATTGCTGTTTGGTAGGCAATCACTGTTCGATTCAGGTCACTGTTCAACCACTATCGCCAAGATCTATGCCCGACACGAAACTATTTGGTCCTACAGCCAGCATTGCACCCATGCGGACCAAACTATATCAGAACGCAGGACTATGGTAAAGTACCCCGAAGCGCTTTTCGTGGAGGATTATTAATGATCGTACGACTCTGCGCTAACTGGACGATTCATGTCCATTTACATTTTTATCATTAGGGATGTAAAGAAGCTGCCGCGAGAAAACTTGGAAGTGTTGTTGGAACTCGAGGGCGGATTCCCATCACCGGTCAGCACAAACAAGGACGACATCAATGTTGGATGCGGTATCTGTTACTCATTTCGGTTTGAGGGGCAAGTTCCGGACCAGCTCTGTAGTCACGCCAAGTGTCAGCAGCCCTTCCACCGCGTTTGTCTTTATGAGGTACCTGCTTCTGGAGTGCATATTCGGGACTGGATGAGTTGTTTTGTTTGTTTGTGAGGAGAAATGATGTTCTAAGGTCATTTATTTTTCTTGATTTGATTGCTGTCTTTAGTGGTTGCGATCGGTCCCGACGACGAGGCAGAGTTTCCATACACTCTTTGGCTCGTGTCCATATTGTGGCGAGGTAGGGCTCTGTTGTGCTTTTTTGATTATCCTGACCTGTGGGTACAGCAATCTTGTCAACATTGAAATAACGCAATACTTTATATCTCCTGGCACCATAGACCATTACGACAAGCGCGCCAAAGACCTAAAGAGTAAAGAACATTATTACACCCGGTCCAGTCCTAGTTCCAAATCCAGTACTATGTGCTCTTGGCGAAAAGAGCCTTAAGGTCGTACTCGTCAACCATCTTGGCAAGTGGCGAGAACAGAGGGCGGTAAGGACCATTGTTGTCGGCCAATTGGTCCAACGTCACCCACTCCCATCCCTCACACTTCAATGGTTCCATGATCTATGTTACGTACAGTTGAAAGGAGTGAATGGAGTTAGGACTTTTTTGCGTTGCGTTTATGCCACAATAAAACATGGCACTAGACAGAGCGGAGGATGAAGTGTACAAAAGCGCGCAGTCAACATGAGTCACAATTTGCTGAAGGCGCTGTCTGGGGTTATGTAAATGTACCTTGGGCTTGGTGTCGCCGAGGACGTTTGCGGCGACAAAGACAGTGACATAGTGGCGGTCAATGGAGGGCATGAGGTTGTTGTTGGCAGTGACGAATTTTGCGGATGCTGGGTCTAACGTCAATCCTGTCTCTTCCAATGCCTCGCCTATTAATTGATTGAAGTTAGTGAGCTAAGGTGTCAGAGGAGTAGTAATGTTGCCAAATAACTATGTAAGAGGGGTGGACGAAGTCGAGTGTGAGAGGGACTTACGGATGGCGCATTCTTCAAACTCTTCGCCGAACTCGAGATGACCTACAGGGAAAGAATGCAAAAGGATGTGAGCAGATTGCTTGTAGGTGTTCAATTGCTGTTTGCTACACATATAGTCCTTGCAAAGAAAGTGTTTGTTGATTGCCATACCTCCAGCCAACTGCCAAGTGTCTAAACAAGAGGAAAAGAGATAAGACTTTGTAATCAGTATAACCGCTCTCTCCCTACAAAAAGTAACGTTACCGAGAAAAAAAAGCAAAAAAAACGAGGGAGTGAATGTGAGACCAGTTGCGAATGGCACACTTACTGGCGCCATGGGAACCAATCCGCTTTCCGATGAGGACTTTTTGGGCATGCATGATCAGTACACCGACGCCGACCTGGACAGACTTGTTTGTGATTGTCATTGTAGAATGTAAGAGGTGGCTGTTGGTTGGCTGTGTTTTTGTGAATGAGAGGAGGATTGAATGTAAAAAGAAGAGTTGTGTCCAGGGACTGAAGAAGCACCTGCAGTCTGCACCTGAAAAGATAGTCCCCTGGTCCTGAGACTTCTACAAAACAGTCCTTTTCATGATCTAGGATAAACATTCTCAGTATTGATTGGTGGCGCATCCGCATCCGCATCCGCAGCCAATTAGATCTATTATCCCACTCCTAGGAATGCCGTAGATAAACCGCTTCGGACGGATCTAATGATCGGCTATAGCAAAAAAGAATCATGCATAGAAAGCCCCTGCCTGTGGCATTGCTCCGGTGGCCCACAGGATCCTCTTGCCACATCATCACAAAAGATCCTATCCACAGCACCATTGGTCCAACTCGAGGTTGCGCCTGAGGTACTGCTCTTGCCTTATTGTTTTGAAAGGCAGAGCTATGGACGATCTCATACACTGCACTGCACTTACTACCTCAGGAGAACGAGGACGTATGGGACCCAGTAAAGCTGTGTTTATGGTGTCATTCACTGTTGTTCAGGGCGGCATTCACAGTGGCATTCGTAGGTATGTATGGTGTGCTGGTGGGGTCTTGGACAGTGGCTTTTTGAGTGTGCCTTCGTGTGATTTCTTTGCGCTTTCAGTTCTGGCTAACACGTCGTCTCTATGATTTATTCCCCTCTACCCATGGCGCTTACAGTCTGTGGATGGCGTAACTTGGAGTCATAGGCAGACAATAGTAAGAAGATTCGAGAACTAGGAACTCGCGGATGTTTTTGGAGCAGGAATGAACGGCTCAAAAGGATGGTTCGTGGATGGCATGCTGGTGAACAACAGTGGGAGACATATTCTACCCTGTCTACAGGGACGTCGGACTTGGCACGGAAGAGTTTAATCTTTGGTCCGCAGGTGTCAAACTGCATGTCCACCTCTCGTTATACACCTGGCCCCTCTTTGTCCTTTTGGGAGCAAAACTGGGTATGGCAGTGGGTTGAATGGAATGCGCTGACTATCACACCATTTCGTGAGGAGATTCGGTGTATTGAATCACACTCCATGCTGCCGAGGGTGTGGATCAAGGCTGAATATTCCCTCCTTGTGTTTCCCGCAGAGGGAAACTTTGGTGGTGTTCTAGAAGCAAACGTCTAGTACTGCTGATCACAGTTTGGTGTGGACAGTAGTTGTTTCGCCTAGGGGCTACGAAAACTGTACGGCTGTCACTATACTCAGTGAGCACCGTGAGGCGTGAGAGAACCTGACATGCTAGTGTTAACGAGAGTCTTAGATGATGGCAGCTTGGATACGTTACTTGCTGTTGATTCCGTTTTTTTTCTCTTTGCCTGAAACACTTTCTAACGTTTCTATTACTTCCTTCTGAACTTCAGCAACAGGTTAAGGAACGCACTTGTTTTCATTCTATTTTTTACTTTACAAGGATACGACTACAACGACGGGCCAAACTGACAAATTACCCACAGCTGTGCAGTTATTCATATTGTTACTGGAAAAGACCAAAGCTCGACACGATGGCAAGAGCAGCTCCCGCAACTACCACCGAAATCAAAGACCCGCCAGCGACACCACCCACCGCACCATTTGTGCGAGTCGGCACCGATGCTGACGTCGTCGTACTCGCCTCCTCGGCACCCTCAGGGACAAGCTCGCCCGTTAAGTTACTACAAAAAGTGAATCGGAACCCGTACAAGTGATTGGTGGACGACTCGAGTTCCTTGTCGGTGCAAGCGCCCGATGACACACATTTGTCTTTGAGCCAGAAGTTGTTCCAGCTCAAGGGGCAGTAGCATTCTCGCTGGGTGGCGTTTAGTTTATACATTCGATCGGACAGAGAGCCGAGAAAGGCATCGTTGCAGGTGGGTGAGTCCGAGAGGGCTGCTGGGACGGCGCAGGCGAGACACGTGGGAGAGAAGTCGGGACCCCATTGGGCTGAGACAGTACTGGTGGATGATGCGAGAATGAGGGCTAGGGCAGACGCGACGGTGGTAGAGAAGTGCATTTTTGGTCCTGCTGGCTTTGTTGTTTCGGGTGATGGGTTGAGGGAGTGTTGCGATGTTGTTGTTTTGTTGGTGTTTGCTGTGGTTGTTATTGGTTTTGATGTTGCTGTTGTTGATGAGAGAAGAAGAAACAAGAGTGATCTCCCACTTTTTATATCAATTGTTGTTATTCCTTGGAACCGAACCATGCAACATAGTCATGAGTGGCCAGTACTAGATGATCCGTCACTTGCATTTTCTGCACGGCCTCAAATCCTTGGTCGCCTAAGTAATAGGCGATGAAATAGCTGGCTGGGGACTCAAGGAAAGATCATAGTAACTGCTTGCACAGCCGTTGGTACTCGCTATTTTTGTGCGCCTCTTTTTTAACTTTCTCTTATGAATAGCACTTTTCCACTTGGCAGTTGGACAAGACCATACGTTGATCGCGCCCTCTTTTTGTCACCCACAAACCTGTCGCCGGTGTACTTGCCTTGTGGTTGTCAGTCTTGAAGGGGAACAAGGTGATTCTGCATGACATCAACTTGCTGAATGTAAAAGTGAAGAAGGAGGACGATGGTCGCAGGAGTTGATTTCGGAGTGTGCCGAAGAGCGATTTGGTTAGGGTCGAGGAAATCCCTGCTTGTTTGTCGAGAGGTGTTACTGGAGAGGTTATTGTGTCAAGGGAGGGATCCTTGCCCTCGTCCATGAGATTATGTGTGTGTGGGTTGAAGAGAATGGAGCAAAGGAGAGAAGTGAGGAAAAAGACGTTGAGAAAGGGAGATGAAATACGATCCCAAGGTACGGCACAGCGCAGGCACTGTCGAGTGATCATTCAGCCACTGATGAGTTTCTTTGTCTCACGCCGCGGACGAATCACACGCGCTGGAACAATCTATATCGATCATGGCAGTTTTCAATGTTTGCCTACATGTCCCTACTTTACACTTATCTGTTCTCTTTGTATTCACTTCTTCACTGCACACTCAATAACAACCATCGATATGAACAAAAACCATGTATACGTAGGAGTGAATATTATTATAATATTCAACATAAGCTACAGGTGCACAGGGGAGATGATTGATTGCTTCTTCTTTTGTGGTTTCGAACGCGTTTTGGGGCTGACGCTTGCCCTATGGTAGCCAGGTTACTCCACCTGATTTTGAGTGAACTAACTGTAATTGACACGTCCAAGAGGAGTGAAGGAACAGACAATGAAGAAGAAAAAAAGGTACCGGGTCGAGCGTACCAGAGGCGCCAAAACGGCTAATGATGTCGAATTCTATGAATACAGAAATAGCGAGCACAACGATGTCAGGAAAACACGATGTGAACGATAAATAATAAGATGTATGGCCGTGCGCCCCTTCCGTGTTTTCGTTGGTCTTATATCACAGTTCGAAGTATGTGAGAAAAGTACCATGAAGGTGGATAGGTAACAGTAAGGAATTGGGTTCAAAAATAGACATATGGAAATAGTATGTACCTTCTCATAGTCGAGAGGGGAGAAAGGGGGCATCAATGGCTGTGCTGACAGTTGCCATGATCTTTTCTTGCTTCCCAGACAATTTGAGTATCGGACAAGGATTTGAGGCAGTGCAATGAGAGTACAAATGACGGAGACTGAGACTGGCGTCGGTGTTTCTTGATCTTGTCTAGGGCCAACACAATTTGATATAAAAAGGGTCATCCTCTTTCTTACATCAATACCTACAATAGCAACATCAGCCGCAACAACCTAAGTTCTACACTCAACGCCTCTACCTGTCTTTTACTTATCCACCCAAACCACCCCAACAACTTACACAAACAAGATCAAGAATGCATTTCTCCGTCATCGTCGCGTCCGCATTGGCCCTCATCCTCGCCACGTCTCTCAACACCGTCGTCTCGGCCCAAACGATCGCTGTCCCCCAACAAGCCTGTATGACCTGCATACAAGCGTCCGCCCTGAAGCAATCACCAAGTTGCGATGCCGAGACAATGTCCACCTTCGGCTTCATTGGCCCTGGCGCCTTTGAAAAGATGACACCTAAGCAAAAACGATGCAACTGCATGCTTTCCATCTACGATGACTGGATCAAAGCCTGCACTTTCCAGGATACTTGCACGGACGAGAATGCCGCTTACCTCAAGAAAGTCCTTATCAACATTAGGGGAGATGTGCGCTGCGTTCCTGCTGTTGGGCCTGAGGAGGGGTCTGCCAATACCACAACCACGGCTACCAAGCCTTCTGCAACTGTCACCACACCAGTGGCCGTTCCTACCACCACAATGGCACCCACTGGCAGTAATAGAGGTACTCATGTGGGCGCTTCTTGCTCCAAGCTTATTGCTGGTGCCGCTCTTGCGATAGGATCTACCATTGCTTTCCTTTAGCAGACCATTTTTGCCGTTTTGCATCAAATCTATCTATCGAATAAAATATACGTACAAGACTCTTCCTAGAAATAATGTGTCGCTGATTTGTCGTGTACGCGTCGCGCTAGACTTTGGGCTTGAAAGGTGGGAGTATAATCCATGGGCTCGTCTCCCGAAACAGGCGTGGGTAATGAAAAAGTAAGCTGCTATGACAGCATTTTTTTTTGTCGCTGCTTTTGGAGTTCGCCTTTAACTGACACCTTTAACTTGGGTTGAACATGGGTCGAGGTGTGCCTAAGACTATTCTCAAGACTGGTTTCGAGTGGCGGCCAATCAAGGATACTAAGGCGCTCAAAACAACATTGGCCTCTTGTACCGACATGCGAATATCACCAAAGCAATGAACTGGTATCAGAGAGCCGCTGATCAAGGGCGTGCTACCACTCAGTACAACGTCGTTTTGTTATATGAGAACGGCTGGGGTGTTCTGAAAGACAAGGCAAGGGCGATGGAGTGGTACAAAAAGGTGCTTGACGGACGACATGCTAACGTGAAGACAAAAATCGACGAATTGGAGCGGCAGGGCTCTAATGTTCCTGAAGTGAAGAAGCAGAGCTCGCTTAGTAAATAAACATTATAAACATTGTAGGCGTGGTTCCTAAGGTTAAGGATTGACAAGAGGACGCCGTGCTTACTCAACTGCTTGCCACCAAACCGTAACAAACAACAAATACAAACCCAGGTGTATGGATTACCGGACCGTGGTAACATCATTTCTCAGGAAGTGTCTAAGCGCCATGTGGCCGAGGGCTACTGCGGTTTGTCTTCGCGAATAAAGGTTGGTTGCGCGGTTGCGTTCATGGGAGAAAGAAAGGCGCAAGAAAAATTACGCGCCGTATGTTGTTATATTTCTTTCTTTCTATTCGCACAGGTCAACAGGTGAGCACACGCCGCTTTATTCACAGAGTCCCCTCTTTGTGTGTGTGTGCGAGTGGCGAGCTGCGTGCCAACACTGCCAAGACACTAAACAAAACAACGTACACAATGTCGATTCTTGGCATTCACACACACAAACGAAGGTGCAATTTTTTTTGCACATAAAAAGAGACCCATTCCCCCTCCTGTCTATCCACCCTCCCTACTGTTCATACACTTTTCACATAATGAATAGCCAACCAGCGTCAGATGCGGTATATGTCCCTGTCACCTACGACGGACAAGAGACCCAGTCCCTTTTGAGTAGACGACCACAGCAACCCAAGCGCGGATGTACCCGCGGTGTCTTCTGCAAGCGCTGTAAGTTCTACCCGAACAAAACACAACGCCCTCCCGCTTACTCTTGTTACATTCAAGATACAACCCTTTTGATACTAAACGTGACTTTTTTCGTTGTTGGCGATCTTGGTAGGCCTTGCGGGAGCACACGATAATACACGGAGACGAACGATTATCCGCCGGACAGTCATCTTCCTTTCATTATTCTGGTTCTTTTGGGTTGTCAAGCACTGGGGTTTTCGCCATACGATTTGGACGGACGATCGTTGTTTCCATCACCTGGTGCCCTGGGACGGGCCTTCAACGATCACCTCTAACACTGCTGACAGTATTGAGGTTGCATTCGATAAGGGCGATATCACTTCTGAGGTCGAGGTCTTGACAGGGGATGATATTTCCACACCTACGGTGTTTATTAAGGCGTGGGTCACCAAAAACTATCTCGAGGAAGAGGATGTTGAAGAGAAGGAGATGAGGAAGAGAGGGCATCCTTATGGAGCGGTTAAAGGGTTGGAGGTCGAGGTTACAGAGGTTGATGGAAAGCTCTCAATTGTCCTCTCTTCTGAGGACAACACAGGCCGTCGTCGTGGTCGTTGGCCCCGCAACAAAAAGTTCTGTGCCAAGGTCGATATCAAGATCGTCTTCCCATCCACCCTTCGCAGCTACAACAGTCTAATCGTCAGTGGAGTCCTCCAGGACCTGGACGTCAGAGGTGTCTCCAAGATTGCATTCGAGTCGATCCATCTCGGTTCTACTATCGGAAACGTTGTCCTGCACGATCTCGAGGCTGTTGGTGGTGTCCAGGCTAAGAGTCTGGATATTGTTACGGTCACAGGGTCTATCAATATCGCATCCGCCAAACCTGTTGAGGGACATGGGTTGTTGGTGACCCTGGAATCGACAGTGGGGTCGATCAAGGTCAACGCGACCACGAACCCGATCCTGTCGAGGGGTGGTGACAGGACCTCTCAAGAGCTTCATCACAACCTGAACATCATGACCCACACTGGCGTCATCGAGGCAGTCGTTCGTCCTGGTTCTGGATACGAACAAGTTGCTGCTTTGGAGAAGAAGGAGACGATCGTTGGAGATGTGTACATTAACGGAGTGTCATTTCTTGGTCGTGTGGACACGGATGTTGTTCTGGCACCTGAGCAGGACTTGCACCAGGAGTTGAGCGCTAACATGGGTTCTGCACAATCCACTGTCGTAAGTCATCATGTCCCTTCTTCACCCTCCCCCCACCTCCTTTTTTTATATTAACAGCCCCTTGTGTCCCCTGCAAGATGAAGACCTAAAACCATGTTTTTGTTGTGCTACCTTTCTACAAAAACAATAGAGCGACAACTACCTGGGTTCGATCGACGTCCGGACCGACTACGGACACGCCTATGTGAGCGAGGCATCCAAGAGTGCCAGCTGGATTGATTACCAGGAGATGACCAAGACCGTGAAGGTTGGACACAAGGTCCTCCAGAATGGCGGCAACGAGGGAAAGGGTGCGGTGAGACTTCAGTCTAACTATGGTAACGCCAAGTTGACCTTTGAGTGACAAGTCATTGATGATAAATGGCGTTGAAATCATTAAATGAAAGATATTCAGGTACAATCAGTTGTTGTTGGTCACTCAATTTGTCTCGGAGTAAGAGGATGACGCCCATTGTGGGAGAGGGGAACCATATGGGGAAGGGAATGAGTAGCTGAGTCTGGAATGCTTCAGTGGAGAGGGAAAGGTGATCGGGCGTAAAAAGGAGAATGAAAAAGAGAAGAGGAAACGAAGTCTATGTGTGATGTTCCATTGGAACGACCAGCAAGGGCTCTCGCTCGGTGCTCTTCTTCGATGTATTTCGTTGTCACGTTAAAGCGCCCTTGACATGACAACCTTGTTTTATTCTTTTTTTGAATGCGGAAGGGAGGAGTTTGTTCTTCAATGGAGGCAGAGAGTGAATGAGAGCAGACTCTCTGCTTGTTAAGAACATGGAAGAGGAATCTAGTTCATCTCTCTCTCACTTTTCCTTTCTCTTTTCTCCTCTTTCTTCTTTGTTCATTCTTCACCGTCCGGAACCCCTCCACCTTCATCAACCAACCGACCCGCTCACAGTCCCATTCAGGAACCAAGACAGCAACACAGACCAAGGACCGTTGACCGACTAAACAAGTCAACAGGAAAACAGCAGCTCTCGGCTTGTCCTCTTCTCCACAAAGTACATCACTTCCATTACAACAAACGGACATCACCTTCCTCCTCCATCACTCTTCCCTTCTTCATCAACAAACACAAGATGGCATTCGCACACGATTCAGGTTTCCTCAAGGCCGACCTTGTGATGTCGACCATCCTCGCCCTTCTGGGTTTTATTATCTTTGGTACCATGTCCCGGAACAGCTACTGGGAGTAAGTAATAAGACTACCTATTATACATAATGATATAGATAAATAGACCCAAACAGCAAAAGAGACTCAACTTACATGAGTATTATTTTTTGTATGGTGGATGAAAAAATAGGTTGGGCAACGGCCAGAAGATCTGTCTGCTTCTCGGTGACCCGGCGACACTGACCTTCCACAATTCCGCCTGTGGATTCACCAACACTATCGGGTAAGGATAGAAGTAGACGAATAGCAACAGTTGCACTGAGTGCTGAAATTATTGTATCCTCTGGTATCTCATCCATCCTCGTCCTCCTCTGTACTCTCGATCGTGAAAATAGGTTTTTGATCGCTGCAGGAGGAATTGCACTGTTTGCAATGGACTTTGTGACCTGGAAACGATCGGAGCGGTTCAAGGGCAAGCGTGCCTCTGTCGCTGTAAGTACTTTCCTCTGCTCCCCTGAAGAGCGATCGGATTGACATCTCCCAAACGCAAACATTAACGCTCATATGCTTTTGTACTCCTTTTCCAACAACAGGCATTGTTGATTGCACCTACGCTGTGCTTCTTCTCGTTCGCGACGGCGATCGTCATAGGAACCGGTATCAAGACGTTCTGCAACAACTTCGTAGTTAACGGCACCGTCGACTATGACCGATGCAAGAACGTCGGTAAGCTGGGACGAATGACCTTTCTCTCATTTTCTTTCTTCCTTTCTCAAGCACGATTACGATCCCTATGTATCTGATCTAACACTGTCTTCTTTTTGCTATTGATTCCCTTTGACGCGTGTAGTGACGAGCTTCCAGGCGATTCAGACTGGAGTGGGAGCGTCGGCGGTCGCAGGATTCTTGTTTGCGTTCTACGGATATAGCGAGTATATCCAGTACCGTGAACGCCACGTCAACGGAGACAAGGTAAACCATTGATTTCAGAGAGAAAAAATAATTACTTGAGTACATGTACCTTGTGTCTCCTGGAGAGATGGAAATGAAATGTAGCAGGTAGGATTAACCCTATTTCTGATTATTTTTGTGTTCTAGTGGTAAAACATCGCATTCTCCAAAGATACATCTATTAAAGTAAAACACACACTAATACCCCATCTCAAACAAAGGAGCAAGAAACCAAGAAACCAAGGCATGCCTCTGCCAAAAGCGAGATGGCCGTTAAATTGCATTAGAACGACAACAGCCATAACTGACTTGGACCAAGCCCTACCCGCATCCTTGTCTCGTCCTTGTGTCTTGGAGTTGTCCCCTCCGGAATAGGCAATGGATATTACAGAGGGCCATCAGATATTGTTGGGTAATAGAAACATAGAGAAACGGGCGGGACGAAAGTAAACCGTTTGTCTGGGAGCAGTTAGAAAGCACATGCGGAGAGAAGAAATGACAAAAGAGGGTTAGGATGATCACGAGCGAGTCCAGCTCAAGTAAGTTTCTTCAATGTAAAAAAAAATTACCCCATCTGTTCGTCCGTCCGTGAAGCTCTTTCTGTATCATAAGCTTTTCAACACAAAACAAACGTGCCACTTTACCGCACAGAAATGGGCAACCCTGATTACAATACCATATGAGGCAAGCGAAAGGAAATGTGAGCCTGGATCATGATATATTTTCCATTTGTTTGTTTTGTTTTTCGTTTTGTTGTGGATGGACAATGGGCAATGGGAGCACGCATGAGGCTGACATGTTTGCCATGTGGCAACTAATTGTGATGCTGTCATGGTCAATATACACAGTAAAAGCTGAAAAAAGGAAACATGCCACAAGGAGCATAAGGAGGACGGGTCCAGAAATAGACAGTACTAAATGGCTGTGTACCTATCCATGCTCTCTCTTACTCCTCGGATATTTTTTTGTGGCCCAAGGAGGGTTGTCCAACGATAAGTGGACTGATTGTTGTCCAGAAACCCAATGTTGTTTGTGCCCACCACATAAGAGCGTGGCGAGAGAGAGAATGAATGAGAGGAGAGCAGTTGAAAGAAGCAACTATGACGACAAACGGCTCTTTTGTTTTTTTCTTTGGTGACAATAAGGGGCGATAATCGATAACAACGGTGACGGGCTGGAGAAGGCGAGTGGAGAGACCATGTTGTCGGGGCTATGGTCAAAGCAAATCCCCTTAGACTGCGTTGAAGACAAACTGTTTGCGTTGGGAATGGAGGGGAGAAGGAGGAAGCAGGTACACTTTAGACCACGAAAGGGAGGAAAGAGGGGATAAGGGATGGTTGGAGTGGCTGCTGGTAAAGAAAAGGGAGATAGCCCGTCATGCATGTATGTACCCCGCTCTTCCCCTCCTCCCCGAGGATGAAACGTGTGGCCTTCTCGATCTCTTGTTTGGTGCTGCATGGATGGGGGGAGAAGAGAGGGAGAAGGTAAGGAAGAGCTCCATTGTCCATGGTACAGATTGTTCTAATTGCATCTACTTTTTCTGAACCTGTATCTGTGTGCTGTACCTGGATCATCAGACAAAACAAATGCCTTGTTCAGCATCGCATTGGTATGTTCTTCACACCTGTATTATCACCCCCCTTTCCTACTCCTCTTTCTCCTTCTCCTTCACCCTCACTCCTTACCGATTCCCCGCAATGGGGTAATGGTTGCAGATTCAAGATCGAAACAAGAGACGGAGTAATGGGAGAGAAAAGGAACCTGGACAAGAAAAAAAGATCTGGACATTTCGACCCATTACCAACACCACAACGGACACTCGCACAGAGAAGTGCAGGCAAACAGCGACAACAAAAGTATAGTTGTTGTTGACTGTTGTTGTTGATGTTTTCGTTGTGGTGTTGCTCATCTAAACATTCCAAATGGATCGGGAACCCTACTTCTCTTTTTGTTTTGTTCCTGAAAGGTATAAAGAAGGGACCCTATTTTACACGCACCTCTGTCTGTGCATTTATCCGCGGTAAACGATCTACCCATCTATCCAGCGTTGGTTTGTTCCGTCGTGCCCGTCCGTGGCGAGGGACAGGAATGAGGATATGCCTATCTCTCTCTGTGTCAATGCCTTGCATTGTTTTCTCCCGCATAGGATAGACGCCCCTCTTTTTTGTTTGCGTTCCTGAATGAACGGAGGGAGGGAGGGATCACCTCACCCTTGCATCTCTCCAAGGAAGGGAACACAAACCTTGTCTAAACTCATATTTTTTTCTTGAACCTCACCACCACCGACCGCCATCTCTTTTTTGATTTCCTCATAGAGGAGGGACTGGCTCGAGATCAGAGAATGGCGCGAGGAATGAGCCAAAGGGCAAGGGCCAGGAGGGATGCGGAGGAATGGATTGGATTGGAATCAATTGAAGGGAAAGAGGACAAGGAGAGGGAGAGAAAGGGAAGAAAATGCAAGACGACTGTTCATCGTAGAAGACTTTCTTTCACTCTGAGATGGTATTTTTCCTTTGCCTACCTTTGCTTACCTAGACTTTTTTTTCAGGGGAAGACGAGAAAGGGGACTGGAGTAAGAGAATTCATTGTCCATTCTGTTGCTGTTATTCCTACTATCTTTAATATTATTCATCTAATGTTCCGCGTGTCCTTTTTTCTTTGAGACCCCTTTATGACATGTACATGTACCATACCATTGAGGGCATTGTTTTATTAACCATGGCTCCACCTGCTATATTCGTTTCTCATTGATGACCAAAAACAGCTCATGGACCGACCGATGGTACCGCCCCTTCGTTTAATGCCTGTATTTGTAACGCAAAGAGACAATTGAGAGCATTCAACAACACTTCGTTTTCTCAAATGAAAGACAACAAACAAAACATACAAATGACGATGGCACTTCTGTCATTTCTTACCTCCATCGCAAAGTACAAACCCATGATGGGCGACTCTCTCTCTCTCTCTCTCTCTCTCATTCCCTACTCTGCATCCGCATCCCCCTGCCTTGTTTCTCCGGGAGGGTGAAAAAAACCACCAAGTGGATTAGGCGCTGTGGTAAATGCAAAAGCAAAGTACAAAGCACAGAACATCTCCCCCTGCTGCCTTGTGTGTCCTCCCTAATTGAGTGGGATAGGGATGGAGGACGAGGAAGCGAGAATTTGTGTTTTTTGTTGCATGGAACGGGTAAAAAAGATGCACGTCCCTCGGATTTTCGATGGAGAGTAAGACTGCAACAGAGGAAGGGAAAAGGGTAGGATAGGAGGAGGGGAGGGGCGAACAAATCGAGGAAAGATTGCCCAGCCGGAGAACGAAGAGAAAGGAGAGCTGCGCGCGTGGCATCTCTTTCTCCTGTGTGCCTGTGTGCCTGTGTGCCTGTGTGCTTGTGGTACGTGAAAAGGTATGGGGCAAAAAAACCAATATTCTTTTAAGGTAGGGTTTCGAAAGTAGAAAAGAAAAAGGTGAGGGATGTAAGAGGCAGAACGGACGGACGGACGGTCGGGCACACTTACCGAGTCCATACTTTAATTCATTCTCCTATTCATCTCTCTCATTCTTGATGATGTTGAGTTAATACCGCCAAACATACCTTCCTCGTAGACACGAAGAGTAGTGGATGGTAAATAACAAAGAGACTAATTGATTGTCCGTTGGAATATCGGCTTTCCTTCCTTCCTTTGTTTTGTATGCCTGGCATGGTAGGGCAATCATTGTTTGGTGTTTGTTTTGTTTGTTTACAAAGAATAGTTTTCTTTAATTTCAACTAGGATGGCTCACTCTTGCGTTGTTTGTTGTTGTTGATGTTTAAAACTGTTGTAGCTGTCATCCCATGCGGACCATCCGGGCTTGCTCTCAAACGCAAGAACCATCCATCCTCCTTCCCATACCATCCCGCTCCCCCTGTCCTGTGTTATTGTTACTTGCAGCAGAATCATTATTCAATCGACTATTTGTACTTTACTCAGTGTCAAACGTGGGCTGAGAGCGAGAAAGGTGAGCATGGAGCATGGATCTAGCCACCTTTAGGAAAGGAGAAAAGCTCATTATCTCTCTCTGGTGGTTCGTCTCCTCTTCGTGTTTATTATTCCTCTCGTCTTCTTTTCTCTTCTCTCTTTTTTCTCTTCTTCATTCTTCAACTTTGTCCCCTCCTGGAAGTCCCCTTTTATTTCCTCCTTTAACCCATATTGTCCCCTCTTTCTCTCTGTTCACACATATTCACTCATTCGTTCACTTACACAGATCATACTTAATACCCATCACCCAGCATTCATATCCACACCGTCATCCTCTTCCCCCTAAACCACATTCTAATCTCACATAACATATCCCTTCATCGGTGACCCTGGCAACCTTGGCACTTCCTTCATAACAACAGCAACATCATCAACAGCAACAATATCCTCCACCCTTTTCTACTGCTTTTTTCACTATCACTGTTATATAGACTTTCTGTACCTAAAAACTCAATTCGTTGTATCGAACGTCTCTCCTTTCTTTGTCTTCGTATCTCATCTCTCTTTTTTCTTCCCCTCTTCTTCGGCACATTTCCATTATTACTCTCTGTCCACCTCTCCCTTTTTAATAATACATACAACATATACAAAAACAACACCAAACAATAGCCACCCAAAGGCAACTCTACAAAAAATCATTAGACTCCCGCCCATTTTCTTGCATCACCGGAATACCGACTCAAGACTTCACAGCACTCTTTCTACACATTCCTTCAGGCACCACCAACGCTCTCACAACACAGTGCTTATTATATTTGCTGTAGCACATATATCGCCACTCTGTCTCTCTCTGTTCGGGTTTGTCTTGTCATCCTCGATCACCTTGTCTTTTGTTACAAAAGGTAAGCAAAGAAAAGTACCCTCCTTCCATCTTCCATCTTCCACACAAACACTCTAGCATCTCTCTTCTCTCTCGTTGTCCTCGTTTCTTTCTCCGTGATTTTCTGAGCATCCCCGATCTGGTGTTTTATGAAAGGCATGGCATCTCCCTGAGGAAGAGAGAAGAAGGCAGATCACTTTTTTTACCCCTGGGAGGACGTATCCTCGACTGTACCAACTAAAGAAGTTGTTCTTTTTTGTTGTCAAAGCACCCCCACGTACTCCTTCGCACACACTTTCTCTCCCTCTAATTGTTACATCTTATGCTCCCTTCTTTTGGGCTTTTAATTGTGTGGCGCCAAACATTCTCCCAACTATGCTCTCTTACAAGTCACATCTCCTTTGTTTTTTTCTACCCCCAAACACCTATTGGCAATTTCCAATGGTCCCTGCCGCATTGGGCGTCCTGCAATTTTTAACTGCTGCCTTGTCGAACCCCTTTCTTTTTTTATATCTGTCCGTCATGCTTCGTCCGATGGTATTATTATCCTTGCAGCAGCACACACAAACAGACACTCTCTCTGTATGTTTGATATGGTCATCTGCATAGAAAGGAGCCCCTTCGACAGCACCACATACCTCACATTTTCAAACGCTAAAGGGTCCTTCTATCCTCCATCACTCCAAAACAAAACGCATCGTACATTGGCAATGGGCCAATGGTCTCGATTGGTGTGTCTGTGAGCAATGCAATGTGGATAACCCAAACACAGCAGAAGTAAAAGAGAGATCTTGTTGCCACCTCAGTGCTATCCTCTCACTCTGTTCCTTTCCCTTCCTCATTCATTTTCCCCTGACTCTCTTCCATTTTTTGCACGCACAGTGACAATTACAATTACATTCACTGTTTCTGTCGCGTAGTCGTTGTTTACATAGATCCACCTTTCAATTGATGCACCTGCTTGTTTTTCTTTGTTTTCTTGTTGTCGCTCTGTCTTTTTTCTCTCGCTTTCACTCCTTGGCAATCTTGCACTGAGTGACGATTCTTGGTTCCTCTTGACCTCGTAGCCGCTGCTCTTGCTCCTGCTACCCTTGTTGCCTCCATCCATTCCCATTTGTCTCCACTTTTTTTTCTCTTTTGTACTTGCTCCTTCAAGTCGACAGGAGTCAATCTCCTCCACCTCTCCGTTGAGGATTCTGCCCTTTCTCCCGTTTTTTTTCCTTTGCTCTCCTCCTCTTCAATATAAAAATCTTTCCCTTTCATTTTACTCGGCATCCAAAAGGCTGACTCCTCCCTTTCTGCGGATCTTTGTCTGCCTTGCTCTACCTTCTTTCGTCCGTTAAATAGGCATACATCTTATCTCTCCCTCTCGAGGGTTACTTTGATCTTTCCTCAAGATCCCCACTGTCGCCGTTCATCGCCAATCCAAGAAACATACAAATCTTGTGGCGGTAATTAAGGTAAACAGGTGAACCCCAAAAACAGCCCGCCCATCTCTCTCAATCGATCTCCATCCCACATAACACAAGAGGTTAATCTGGTGAGGGAAGTGAAGGGAGACTGACATCTGAGGATAAGGATAGGAAGGAACGCAGTTCCCAGACCTCTCCCCAAACTATCCCTTGACGTGCCAAACTCCAAAATACCTTCTTAAGCTGTCGTCGTTTGTTTCGCTCTCTGTGCCCGGGTACCTTTTTGAGTCGATATGGGATAGAAAAAAGGATGATAATTTTCATGCACCCCCTTGTCACTTGTTGCCCCTTCCCCACCATGGAAACTCTCGATGGGAGGCATTCCAAAAGGAACGCACACCGCCATGAACACTGAGCTTGATCAAGAAGGGAAGGAAAGCAAAGGACAGAACTGGGGTCTACCCAAGCCATACACTCTCCTGCTAGAGGGCTAGCCCCGCCACTACTTCCCTTCCCCTGATTACCTTGTGAACTAGGCACACCTCGGCCAATGTTGCTTCCATTTTCTTCGTTCTTAACATCTCCCATATTTGTATCCACGACTCACGTTTTTCCTCTTGTGTTTTACTTCTTCCTTTCCCCATTCTTCCCTTCTTGTTTTTATGTATCCTGTGCGTTGCTTTTCCACTGCACCATTATTTTTATCACTCTCAAAACAACAACACCAACACCACTCTCGTAATCTTTTCGAACCGTCTCCTCAAGAGTCGTTGCAAAAAAGACAAGAGTCCATAACTGTATGTTGAGCACATCTGCATGGCATCGTCAAGCGCCCAGTTTTTTTTTTTTTTTTTTTTTTTTTTTTTTTGCCCAATGCTCTTCAGATATCCGGCCCTTTCTCCGCCATGGCCTCAGTTCTTCCCTTTTTTGAGGCCTCCGCATTTTTTACATCGTGCGTCGTTATACTCCCCTCACCCTTGCCACGATTTATCCACCTTCTCGTTTTTTTATCTTTTCCCCTCTCTCTCACTTCCACTACGATACCGACTACTACTTGTTGAGTATACCCATTGCTTCCACTGTCTTTTTTTCTTACTCTCCCTTCACACCTTCTCAACACAAGTTCGATACGCTTCACCACTCTTCATAACCTCCAACTCCACCTTCCTTCCGCTCGACCTTTGTCAGCCTTCTTCTACACTCCTCCATCGCCATCATCCATCCATTCCTTTCCCTTGCACCAAGAAGACAACCCAAGTGCACAAGAGTGAACGCAAAGAGAGAACAGTGAGAAATAACAACATAGTTGAGGCATCACTAGGAAAGAGACACGTCAACAACACAACTTCGACAACAGCAGCAGCACCGACAGCAACAAGAAAAAAAAGAGGTGTGAAAGTGCAGACTACTAGCACGTAGAGTGAGTGAGTCCTCTAGGAGATTATTCATCTCCATCTCCATCTCCGACACTGCTGTCGTCCTTCACAGGGCACAGCAACTCTTTTTTGTACTTTTATTACCCGCTTAGGCACAGCGACAGGGCGAGAAGACGCACTGGCCACTTTTTTTATTTTTTATTTCTGATCTGAGATCAAATGAACTGAGTTCATGATCACTGCGACCTCATTGATCACCTCTAGAACAATCAGCCATCAATCATCAGTGCTTCGCCCAAGAGATATCGCCGCCTAGATAACTAACCAACAGCCACCACCTTCTCTCCTTTCTCTCTCCTTTTCTCTTTTTTTCTATTTTTCTTACTAATCTTTCTCATTTGCTAACGCTAACCTTCTTCTCTCTCTTCACCTGTCTACTAACCATTGTTATCATTGTCTAACTAACTCGTATCTGTGTGTGATCTGTGTGTTCTCTGTGCGTTCTCGACTTCGCCACCAATTTTTTTCCGACATCCAGGATCCGACTACAACCACAGCATTAACTGGACTCAGCAACTCTCACCCTTTTCCAACAAAAAATCAAATTCAATACCACCTCCTTTCAACTCCGTTTCTCTCTCTCCTTCCCTCGTCGCTCCCTCCCCCTCCCTTATTTTTTCTCCACAACTCGCAACTACACATACACAACATGTCGGTCCGACTTGTATCCAGCGCCAAAAACCTGCGCGAGACCTTCAAAAACCAAACAGGGAGCTCTTCCAACCTGCCCGCTTCTAGCGGCATCAGCATCTTCACAGCCACGAGTGACATGTCTCAAACTCGGTCACTCGACCCAACTTCCCCTTACTCAGGCAGCAATCCATCGCTCTCTCGACGGGGCAGTCTCCTGCGCTCCTCCAGCAATGGCAACCTTCGCCGTGCCAAGAGTGTCCAGAAGAAGGGTCTCATGTCTAAAGTCTTTGCTGAGGCCGAGACCGAGAGCAACATGGCAATGCCTGATCTATCTATGGAGATGACCCTTTTGATCGTAAAGCGCTGTGTCAAAGAAATTCGAGATAGAGGCAAGTTCAACCAGTTCCCCTTTTTCCTTTTGTGTTATTCTTGTCGTAATAAGGAAAAAAGAGACGATTGTTTATACGACATGCGTGATGAGCTATATGCAGCTATGGTTTAATTAACACTGGAAATATTTCTAATATATCTTTTTTACTGCTTGCCTTTTGTTATTTATAGGACTCACAACAAAGGGCATTCTGCGCCAGGTGCAGATGGGTCAGAGCCAGAAAGTCATCCTTAACACGATACGCATGATCCTCGATGATGATGCCAGCACCGAGCTCTCACCGTTGCACCGACTCGATATCCATCTGGTTGCTCACGCCATGAAGTGGGCCATTCGATACTCAGAAGAGACTCTTGTCACATATGATGACTATCGCCTTCTGTATCTCGACCAAGGTATGTCTGTTCTCTTCATCACATGCAGCATGAGCGCTCTTTTTTTGTTGTACGTGTACGCATTGACCCGTTGAGCGATAATGCTAACTGCCGGTTGCAAAAAACGCTCACCTCTTCAAGATCGCAACTTTACAAAGTTCATCAAAGATCTTCCAGCAACAAACCGGTCCATCCTGCTCGATCTCTTTTCTCTCTGCGCCGATGTCACTCTCCTTGCTCATCTCAACGGCATGACGCTGGTCGTGGTCGCCAAAGCTATATCACTGAGCATCATGGCTGAGCCCGAGCGCGAGTTCACCACCTTTGACGCCTCTCTCCAACAACGTAACCTCTGGGGCGCTGCCTGCGAAGACCTCCTGCGCGCCTTCCTCCGCATCAAGACTCAATACGACCTTGCCAAAATCGACCAACCTGACGACTGGGACGAGAACACATATTTCTGCAACGAGACCCGAGTCCTCAAGAGTGCCCGCCAACAAAACGAGGGTAAGGCTAGCATGCGGATGCAGATACCCTACCAGAACCTACCCTCCCGCCTCGATATCTCTCTTCCTTCGAGTGCTGGCTCTAGCATGCCCATGAGCGCAACGACTCCTCGCAGCTTTGCCAACGCCAACGGATACTTTGACACCGTTTTGACGCCACAGTCAGCATCTTCGATCACTCATGCCGGTGGCGTCTTCGGAGACTCTCTTTCCCGATCTCAGTCCTTGGCCAAGTCGAGCGTGTCCATCTCAAGACCCACCTCGCCTCTCCTCCCATCCCCTCGCCCTACATCACCCTATTACGAAGAGGAACGAACCGAGTACGAGGAGATCATGCAGGACATGTCCCACCTCAACCGTCTTCGTCAACAGGAAAACATGTCTGCACATCAGCTGTTGCGGCCAGCCGTGATGACGAACCGCAGACGATCGTCAGTCGCCGATATGGAGAGTCTTTACGACAAATCGACTGACCCAGAGGCCCCTGATGCAGAGGAGGGATATGACTCTGACCCCGAGGTGACCCACGCCAACGAACCCGAGGATCCCCATGACTCTCTGATCCCTGACTTCGCCGACGGTCTTGGATGGGACTTTACCCAGAACATTGACACGCGCTCTGATGAGATGCCTTCGTTGGCCAACTTCCAGAGGGACCCCCTTCGCACAGCAGCTTACCTGGACAAGCATGGAGTCACCCGGTCAAACAGCGCCAGCAGCAACAGCAGTGGGTTCGGCCTTGCCGGTCCCCCAGCTGCCTCTCTCCGCAGCTTCCGCGATCTCCCACAGGATAAGTTGACCTCCATGCGTATGCGCCACATGCAAGAGAACCAGCCCAACCTGTACCAAGCATTGAGTCGTGCTCAATCTCAGCAGGACTTTTCCTGCAATGGCATCGCCTCTGGTAGCTCTTCTCCCCAGAACTCGCTCCACCGCATGGCTGCCTCGAACAATGCTCGCATCGGCCAAGTCCTCAACAACCCCGCTGTTAGAACCTCGCCCTCGATGCGTCCTCAGCGTGCTCGTCGCAACTCGGCCCTCCGTCGCTCCATGTCGATGGATCCCTTCAGCAACATCAGCATGGGATTCCGTTCCAACCGGCGTCCCAACGAGATTTATAGCGAGCCCATCATCCTTCACCCACAGCTGCTGCAGACCGACGGACAGTCTGTCATTGATTTTGTGGTCAGCGACCCTTACTTGCAGCTTCATGATATCTGTGATGAGGAACCAGCCCGTGCCAGCTCAGAGTTCTCTCTCCAATCTTCCCCCATGGACTTGGAGGGCCTTCCTGTCCAGCCTCGCCGTCGCTCCCAGTTGACCTTGAGCGACCGCCCCAAGTCGATGATGGACCTCAATGCCCGCGACTTCCCCTCTTTCACCACCAGCATGGGTATGCGATCCCAGACGTCTCAACCCTCTGGCAATACTTTATCTCTCCCTATCGAAACTTCGCATTTGGTCAGCTCACCCGTGCACGAGCTTCCTGCCGAGAAGGCGTTCGAGGTTGTTTCGCGTCCACCAAAGGTCGCCGAGGTCAGCGTCATTTTCACTCCCATCGCTACTGGACCCATCTCTCCTCGAGGTGAGGTCAGGTCCAAGTTCCAGGAGAGCTTCCCTGAACGCCCTGTCTCGCCTCCTCCAGGCTACATTCAGGGCCAGGCTGGGTCTTCGTCGTCTGCGAATGGCAGCAGCAACAACAAGCGCTCGCCTACTAGTAGCACCAGCGCCCGCAGTAACTCTTCCACTGCCTCTTCGCCACATCAGCAAAAGGGCGGTGCCCAACAACCCAACCATTCGCGCAGCACTGGTGGTGTTGGTGCTGACAAGAACCGACCTGCTCTTCAGCAAGGAGTTACCTTCTCCAGCTCTTCGACATCTTCCTCGCAGCTGCTCAGCGTGGACACTGGCAACAAGTCTAAGACGCCAGGCTTCATCCGCGCCTTGTCATTCAAGCTGCGCAACAAGCAGAGCGATGACCAGCTGAAGCCTGTGAGGATCAACAACCAGGTAGTTGGCTCAGCCACGCCTACTGCCGCTGCACCTTCAATCGCTTCCACTGCGACCGCCACCACCGCTGCTACGGCAGCCCCAGTGGTCTCGATCGAGCCTCCTCGTCTGGAGCTCAACTTTTTCGACGACATGCTGGGTGCCGTCACCGGCGCGAGTCAGGACCAAGAGGACAACCTTCTCAGTCCTGCACCCGCTACCGCCCCTGCTTTCATGCACCTCGGCGACGGCGGTTCTTCGGACAGCTGGAGACGTATGGCACAGGAGTCCTTCCCTATATCTGCTGGCAGCTCGATGTCAGTCGCCAGCACCATAACCACCACAACGGCAACGACAGAGTCGACTTTAGGATTCAACCGCAACTTCAGTGGCAACAATGGCTTAATGCGAGCCAATAACAGCTTCAATGGCGCACGACGCGCCTCGACCGCCAGCATTGTGGGTGGTTCGGGTGGTTCTCTCTCGCCTACTAGGGAACAGCATCGCCGCAAGACCATCAAGAGCCCATTCATGACCGCAGCAGCCAACTCTGCTCTTTCCATGGCCGCCAAGAAGAAGAATGGTATGGCTCTCAGTCCACCCTCCAGCCCTCTTGGTCGTTCAAAGAAGGCTTCTACTACTGCTGTTGTGCGTGATTTGTCTGGAGAAGCCCTTGTCTCTGACAGCTCTTACACTACAGACGATAGTGGTGCGGCTTCGAACGAGGAGGAGTCATCGTCGACCGATCCTTCTTCCGCATCCGTATCCCTCAAGTCTTCTTCTTCGGACGGTGCCATGACCTCCTCCAAGCCTCAAGATACCACCCCCATTTCACCTACTAGAGAAAGCATCCCCAAGAAGGCAGCCGCTGCGGGTGAGAAGAAGGAATACCGGTTCTCAACTGCAACGCTCCTGAAGGATGGTAAGCTCTACTACCAGGTGCAATGGGACCAGTTTTCCGAGATTGGTTTTAAATCTGAATTCCTCACTGAATCGGAGCAGTCCCTGCGCGGAATCCAAAAATCTTCTCAACAACGGATGTCGTCCCAGGAGGATCCTTGGAAGCAGAGCTCGAATGTAGCAGCGACAGCAGCGGAATTGGAGGAGGAGTCACCATTCCAACAATTACAGTCCCAGCGACAGCAGCAACAGCGAGCGATGACAGCAAACTCGGATCTTCCAGGACAACAGCCGTCTCGTCTAGGCCAAGCGATCAACAAGAACAACGGACAACACCAGGATCAAGGACCGAGCCCAGCCCAGAGAGCCGCGGCGTTGAAGGCCGCTCAAGAGAGTTTCCTTGCCCTGGCCAAGGACCCCAAGGCAATGGCAGCATTGAAGGCCGGATCGACGGGAGGGGTGGGTCAGGGGACGATTATCAGCAGCGGATCGTTTGTTCGTGGTTCGACCATGCCCCAGTTGGACAGCGTTCCCCGTGCCGTGAACTCGCCCGAATCGATGCCGCCGATGAGTCCCACAAGAGCCAAGACCATGCCGTTACCTTCTCCCACTGGTGGTTCTGGACATGGTTCTTTGTCGTCTGCCTCGTCCGATAAGCGTTCGGCTTCGACAGAGCTGTCAGCCGCCAAGTCGACGGGCTCCAAGAGCAAGGGCGGATTGTTTGGCAAGAAGTTCAAGGTGAATAAGAAGACTGCCGCAGTCCCTTCAGCATCAGCAGGATTGCCCAGCAGTGTCAACGGAGGACGGAAGAGACGGTTATTGCCCCTTGGAGTACGTCGACAGGATGTGATGACCCGGACAGTCGAGAAGATGGACGAGGTCTTCCCTTGGATGTGCATCGAACACATGGCAGGTCAAGACAGCGGATGGGTCATGTTGGAGCCTGTTGAGGATGGCGCTGTAGGGTGGGTGGTCATCGATAAGTTGGAGGAGGAGGTTGAGCGGTACAACGGACAAGCGCAGCAATTGGAGCAGCAATAGGTGCAACAGCAGGAGCAGGCGCCAGTGCACCCGTTTGAGTCTCAGGCGGTTTCGCAGGTCGAGGTCGCCTAAAAACAACGCACTCATCATCGGATATATATATTCTCTTTACTACTTGTTATTTTTTTTTTTCCTTTTCATTCCATTCAGCCTCCATTGAGGCTGCGATCGTTATTATACAAGATCACATTCTCCTTCAAAAAATACCTTTCTCCATCTTTCTTCACTAAACCCCTTTCGCCTCTACCCAAACCTTCCATCGATTCCTCGATACCATAAAAATAATGACCCACTACAAATGCAAACAAAAACAACTCTTTCTTCCCTTCTTTCTTACTTTGCGCTCGCCTTTAACTTCTCTTCTTGTTTTTTCGTCGATCATGTCAACAGCTCCAAAAATAAATTCCCCCCAATGGTTCCGTCCACCCATTTACCTTCTTTACCAGACAGAAACATAACTCTACCTTTTTTTTTCTCTTCTCAGTGCGCATAAATCTAAAACGCATAGTTTGATGTTCATCTTTTCAAAAAGTAGAGGTAGAAAAACAAAGCTACCATGGGATCAATCGACCACATGTGTATTTATTTATTTATTTATTTGCGGCCCGCGTCTGCAAGAACCCGCTTGGATGGCACCTGCGGAAGAAGGGGTACAGTTCCCCTGGCAGGAACCTGAGGGAGGAACGCAATCTGTGGCATGTAGTCAAGTCCCCTTGTGTTCTGTTCCTTCTCAAAACGCTTCGAGAAGAACGTAAGCGTAAACTTGCGCCAAAGACTCTCAAACCAAGTCTATTGATAACAATCGGGCCAATGCGATGGTCAACGGTCAATAAAAAAAAGTGGGGGGGGGGGGGGGGGGGGGCTATTCACTCAACTTGTACACCACACAACTTGGAACGCATACAAAAAAACAACAACAACGAAATAGATCTTTACCTGGCCTTGGATGACCTTGGCAACAGATTTGCTGCTTTGGTATTGAAACTTTGCATGCGGATATCGCTGGTCGCGGTAATCCTGGAATGCAGACTGGACATCAGTCCTAGAGGTCGAGCGCAGGTCATAGATGCAATTGGCGAGAATCACGGCGTCCTCAAAGGCATTCACAGCACCTGGATGAAAATTGGAGAAAGGGTGACATAATGTAAGAACAGGGATGAAAGGAGGACGATAGCGCCGTACATAGCGAATAACCCAAGTACCTTGTCCTGTAGCTGGTAGAAGTTTGTGGCATGCTATCAATCAAGAACAAAACAAAGGAGAGTGCGAGTTTAACCGAAGGTCAGTTGTACCGTAAACAAAAGACAAGGGGCACAAAAAAAGAAAAAAAGAGATCAAACAAACAAGTGTCTGTCCTACCATCTCCAACGAGGACAACACGCCCATAGGACCATGTCTCGAACAGCTTTTCTTCCAAGAACACCTTGGAGATGTTGTCCCTCGGAGTCTTGTCAATCAAATCGCCTATAGTTTTGTTGCCGCCAAGACCTTCACTTCCAGCTGGAATTGGAAACGTCCTGACGCCTTCGATCATAACATCCGTCGAATCGTCACCCCATTCCCTTGTTCGAAGAACCGTTGGATCCTGAGACGAGTCCACTTGGGCGTTGATGGACCAGGCAATGCGATTGTCTGGCACTGTGAAAGTCGACCACTATTGTTTTTTAGTTCCGATCAGATGAAAAGATGAGAAGAAAAAAGTCAGCAAGCAGGTCATTCCATGTTAACATGGACTTGCATGCAGGCTCTCAATCTTATCCGCTTCGCTCTCAACTAACCGTATGCGGTTTATTCTCGCCCACGGTTCGAAAGTGAAGACAGGTATTTTCCTTGACCTCGGGGAACACTTCCTGGTCCAACGGGTCTGTCGTTCCCACCATGGTCACATATCCGAGGTTCAAGTTTTCGAGGTCCTGCGCCGGCAGTTTCTCATCAGCGTTCGCCTGTTTGTAGATGGACCGTCGGACAGCACTGTACGCACCATCTGCTCCAACCAAGATGTCGCCGCTGTACGTCGTCTCGTCGGCACAATGAATGGTGACGCCGCCCGCGCCATCCTCCTCAGAGTCCTGAGTGACATCAACAATCTTTTTGCCAAGATGAATCTTGTGGGCAGGGAGGCGAGACAGGAGCAGGTCAAAGAGCTTTGGTCTTGAAAATATACGGATCGGATAGCCAGTCATTGCAGCCATCTGGGCAAAGTGGACCGTTGTCAGTGGCACCACGCCATTGGCTGCATCACCCTGAGGTCGGGAGTCGTCAAGGGTATCCTGCGTTGTTGTTGCTCCTTGGCTTCGTTCCTGGAAAAGGTCCATGGATTCCAAGGTTTTCGAGATTTGTAGAAACTCATCGTAGATGCCCAGCTGAATCATGGCAGGAGCAACGTTGTGGCTAAAGCTCATAGCAGCACCTAACAATCAGTTTGAAAGTGAGGATGCAAGCATCAGAGAATGTGTCCATTTGCGAAATAAAGGAGAAGGAGAGGAAGGCGTTGGATTCTTACCAAGGGGTTTGATCTTCGATGCACGTTCAAAGACCTCGTATTCATATCCCGCTTGTTCCAGGGCGAGAGCCAGAGTGAGACCTCCAATGCCTGCGCCTGAGATGAGTACCCTGACCTTTGCCCATTGCTCGGGATCGACTTGAGGTGCCATGGATGATAGTGGTCAACAAAAGAATGGATTAAAAGGGTGGACAAACGGGAGAAGGATGAGTGAAAGTTGGAGTGGAGTGGAGGAAAGACGTGAAAATGGCTATTGGAGAAGAAAAAAGAAGGAAAAAAAAGCAATTGGCAGGGTACGTCGGCGAATCAATTGTCCCATCCTTGGGCGCTCATGCATTAAGGTAGTCAAAATGAGAGCCTTTGTGCAAGGAGACGAGCCTGATAGACATGCTTGTGCTCGCTTCACGACTCGGTGCGCACAACCCCCCCCCCCCCCCCCAACAACAACAACAACATATGCCACATTGAGCAGATTGGTCCTTCCAAGCAGTAACTGATCACGAAAAAAAAACTGTATTAAGAAATAAATAGCAAGAGGTTCTCTTAGCTGAGAGGAATCTCGTTATTCATCTCCTCTTCCAGCTCGATGAAGCGGTCCTCCTTGGCACGACGGCTCCACTTGTAAAAGGCGAAGGCGAATGCCGCGCCCAAGACAGCAGCAACGCAGACGACAGCAATGACGACGCTGGTTGTTTTGCTTTTACCACTACCACTGGTCCCGTCTCCTTGTGTGGGTCCGCCAATTCCGTATATGCCTCCACCGACTACTGGTGGTGGTGGTGTCGGGAGTCCGGTAAATAAAGGATTCGGATTCGAGGTTGTAATGTCTCCAGAGTTGTATTGCATCGGCGTAGTAGTGCAGTTGGCTGGTCCCAATGTGAAGTCTGGAGCTCCTCCATACTGGAAATTTCCGTTGAGGAAACGGGTCCTGTAGCCCTTGTTGTATTCTGGGTACTGGACTGCGATCACATCTCTCAGCAATAGATCAGGGCGGGAAGGCATGCGGTACTGGTAATCTATTTTGTGCACAGGAGGACGATGGACGTTAGGACTTGCAGAAGGCAACATCCAGCACGCATATGTGTTTATCCTATTTGATGTCGACGATGATCTTCCTTACCACTGATACCGATCTGGTTAACTGTGTTGTCGAGAGAATAGACCTTATGCAAATCCAAAACACGAGGGATAAAATCAGTTCCAGTGAAGCCAGCCAAGGCACGCCAACGCCCGAAAAGTGAGGTGTAGTTTCCTTTGCCATCAGCGGGAAATTCGGTTTGGTCGATGATAATATCGGCGTTTGTCATTAAGATCTTGAAGTCAGTGGGAGAGATGTCGGGTTCGCTGGTAACGCCATCTCCAACCAAAGGAAACGGGATACCACCTATATGCAGCATATTGTATCAATGTAAACCTTTCTTAGATCTTTGCAGGTCCTTGCGGCTGTCGATCAAAAAAAGAAGTGAAAAAAAGTAATAACATGTACGCGAAGCAAACAAACAGAACGTACCTGCATCGGTAATGATTCCTCGAGTGAACTCAGTGTTGCGAAGCTTCCAGGTTTTGTTTCCAAAGTCGTACTTAACCCAGCCGATGCGCATCTTGTTCTCGTTAGGGATTCCACTCATGTCGATCTTGAGTTGGTTGTATGTTCCTATGATTGTGTTGTAGGTGATCAAGGCTTGGGAGCCGCTGTTGAAGAACAGCGAGACGGCATTGATGTATTGGGCTCTTAGAAGAGGTGCAACTTCGATTGACATTGGCACCCAGACGTCCTTTATCTGGCCGGGATCTTTGTTTTCACGGAAACCAACGTCGACAGTAAGGTACTGGTTGAAGATGGCGCTGTTGAGAGGAACGATGGAGGTATTCTTAAACTCTTCCTGAAGACAAGGCGAGACAATATTCTGGGGGTTCTCCAGCACACGGATATTTTTTTGCCCTCCTGCAAGCTGTCGTATAATAGCAGTGAGAAAGAGAGACAGAGTGATTAGTGTGACCAGACGGTTAGAGTTAACGATGCCTTCTTGACGAATCATATGCAGATCACCCCACTGTGTGAAAAAAGACCTTTTTTCCTTCATTCCACACGCCGTTAAGCCCGTTGTGTAGAGAGTTTTCTTGTATATGTTGTATATGTTGTACATGCTGTCCAGTTCATTGCGCCAAAGGCCTGTCTCTCTCTTTCTATCTCCTCGTTCAATTCCCTTTTGTCGTCGTTCTGTGTTTTTTTGTTTTCTTTTTGTTTTCTACCCGGGTTGATGGTATTCGACAAAAAAGATGACATCATATTCAGTCACATACCTCGACATATGAGCTGGTGAAGGTGCCTGAGACCAAGACAGAAGTGACTGGGACCTTGAACTTCTTTACGTTAGAAGAGACTCCCATGTCTAGAATAGCCTGTCCTTGGGGAGCGGGAATGTCTCCACAGTAGAGTAGGTAGTCCTCTGAACCCGGGTTATTGTTGGCTCCAAACATGGTCAACACGGTGTATTCCGTGCCATAGTTCTTGACAGTGAAGGTGCCCGTGCCGTTGTCTAATTGCAAAGACGAATAGGTCTTGTTTAGCAAATGCAAAAATGCATACTGAAAATCGACTCTTTTTTTGGGTTAAAGGGAGTCAAGGGCAGTTTCTCCAGGCGGTTGAGTGGACTTACATACGGTACCGCCGCATGGCTCCTGGGCGTTGACGGATGCAGCCATGAAGAGGCCTAAGGCGCCTGCGAGGGAGGCGAATGAGCCGAGCATAGTTGGGGGATGGCAGGGAGGAGGAGAGGAGGAGAGGAGGAGAGGAGGAGAGGAGGAGAGGAGGAGAGGAGGAGAGGAAGGAAGGAGTCAGAGCAGCAGGTAAGAGGAAGGAGAGGAAGAGGAATGAGCCGAAGGATTCAAAGCCCGATGTGAGAGGAGCAGGAATGAGAGAAGGAAGGAGGAACAAGGAACGAGGAAAGAGGAGAGAGGAAAGAAGAGAGAGGAAAGAGGAAAGAGAAAAGAGGAAAGAGGAAGGAGGAAGGAGGAAGGAGGAGTAAAAGTGGGGAAGAGGAGGGGGAGGAGGAAAGAGAAGGAAAAGAAACCATAAAAAACTCAACCACAACAACAACAACAAAACAAAGGGGACGTTTTCAGGAACCGATGACAACGCGAGACAACCGACAAACAAAGAGCATCAGTCACCCATAATATCTGACTCAAGATCAACAAAGCACTGTACTCTTGCAAACAAGGGTAGAAGTCAGTTGTCCCACCTTCGTCATCCTTGAATTGGTGCTGCACTCAACGATGTGGGGGTGGATGTTCATTCACTCGACATGGTTCACTTCCTCCAACGAAGAAAAAAGCGAGGAGAAAAAGAATCTGTCGCTCATCTCCGATCAAGAACATCAAGACTGATACCCCTCCTTCGTCGTCGTCTTCGTCTTCTTCATCTCATCTTTTTTTTTCTCACACTATCTCTCTCTTTCTCTTCCCTTTTTACGTTTATTCCTTCCTTCCTTCCTTTGGATTCAGAGCACATCAACAAAACGCAAACCACTTTAACCGATCAAAAGGGACCTGAGCGGGCATCTGACCAATCTTTACACCAAATAATAAAAGGCCCATGCGTGTCCGTCTCTGTTCTCTGTTTCTTTCTTTTTCTTTCCTTTCGTCCCTCGCGAAACTCTCAATGCTATTTGAAGTGCCGTCGGGTGGAACCGCCAACCCCAGGACGGCATCATGAATTCTCACTCCTTTCTTCTCTACTCCGATCCTTCTCAAGAGAACAAACGAACAAGAACAAGAGCACTTTCTAGATCTCCCCCTTGTGCAACGGCACTCTCGCACAATTTCTATTTGATGGAGAGTACTACCACACATGGCTAATTTTTTCTTGCGGCCATTGCGCCCAAAGCATGGTCTGGAACAATCCCTGGTACTTCTCTTTCACTTCTGTTTTCAACCGGATTAAACCAATATGGCCTCGGTCGGGTCGTCCCATACTCAAATTTTAGAGTATTATGCGAGAACGCACTGAGCATCCCGCTCTCACAGAGACCGCCTCTTTTTTTTCTCGCATGAATCACGTGACTTCAACGTTTAAAAGCCACTGGACATGGAGGGAAAGACGTTCGTTTTTCTTCTCATTTGTCCAGACACACACACATACACATCAGGACAACCATGGGGCGCAAAAGTGGCAGGAGTCTTAATCCAGCGGATCAATACCGTACGTCTGAACGTCACTGCGCTACCCCGCTCTGGACAGCACACTATTTTCACGCTTCATCGCTACAAGGTTACAATGCGCTTTTGGACGAGACGAGGAAAATGCAGCTAACAGTCTTCTCTTTTCTCGTACTCTTTCAACACGACTCATAGGCAAGGAGCAGCACAAGAGGGAGATCAAAAAGGTACTCTTCTGCTGCAATCGTGGACACATTCGTGTATTTCTTTCTCAATGAACGACAGCTGGATTATCTGTTGCTAACTAAAATATATCCTCAACTTGGCCTGCCAATTTAATAGAACAAGCAAGATCGTAAAAAAGTCCGCGAACTTGGAACCGTACTCAGGGATACAACGACAGAGGGTGATCTTGCAGAGTATGAGGAGCTGGAAAAGAATGGCAAACTAGACAAGGAGGGCGCCAAAAAGCTGGCAGAGCTGAGAGAAAAGATGACCAAGATCATCGAGGTCAAGAAGGCGCACGGAATCAAAATCAAGCCGTAAGTGTTCGATGCTCCTTCCTTCACAAAGGGTAGCCTGCATTATTTTTACAAGTTTTCTAACCACGATCTGTCGTCAATGCTGTGATTCAATAGAAAAAAAGTGGAAGCGCCGAAACCAGTGTCAGTGGATGAACCAGTGCGGGACCCAACACGCTCGATTTACTATGACCCTGTGTTGAACCCTTTCGGAGCACCACCTCCCGGTCAACCTTACCTGGAATATCGTAAGATACTTGGTCTTGTTGACGCGAGGATCACTGTAAATATACTATCTCGTCAACTAACGGAAAATCATTCGTTTTACTGTGAAACATCCTACTAGCGCCACTACCACCGCCCGAGGTCCCTCTAGGACAAGGCATGGCACCAGGATTGGATCAACAGCAGCAGCAACAAAAGCAATCAGAGGACGGCTCGGGATCTGATTCGGACGACTCTGGTTCGGATTCTGATTCTGATTCTGACTCGGACTCGGACACAAGTTCTGGATCGGAATCAGAAGATGAGGACGATGAGAACTACATGCCACCTCTTCCCGAAGGAGCAGCGCCCACAAAGCAAGACCAGGACAGATACCTCGAACCCACAAAGGCAAAGCCAAGCATCGACATGCGGATACAATATCATCATCAGCGACCACATATGCATGGAATGCAACCCCCAAGTATGCTCCCGCATGGAATGCACCCTCCACCAGGACTACCAGGTCAACACATAAATCCATATGGTAAGAAAATGTCAAGGCATACCGTGGCACGATCTCTGTTTAGGATTAAAGGAAGTAAATATGACGCTTACTCAATACCTACGTGCCATTCCGTTGATAGGTCCTCCTATGGGATTTCAGCCACAGTATGGGAACGTATACCCGCCAGGACGGCCAGGACCTGGACAAGGACACCCACCAGGATATGGGCCTCCAGGATATGGGCCTCCAGGATATGGACCGCCTGGATATGGACCTCCAGGGTTTGGGCCTCCAGGTGGTGGCTTCCGTGGCCCTGAAGCCCCTGGAGGATTTGGATCGCCTGGGCATCACCAACGGCCGCCTTATGCCGGACTTCCACATACCCCACGACCCTCTCGACCTCCTTCACAGCGCCCTCCACCCAGGTACGTAAAGCCGCCTCGTACCTCCGACGCACAGAGTGATCCTATGACAGGTCATCTTCCACCGGACGAAAAGGAGAAGAAACGCCAAGAGGAGAACAAGGAAACCAGCACACCTGCAGCTCCCCATCCTCTTCCCCCAAAGCCAACGGCCGCTCAAGTTCTTGCCAAGCCAGCTGTTGTTGCAGGACCAACGAGTATTTCAGCAGAACCTCAACTTCGTAACCTACAGAAGGAGCTGGTTCATCTCGTGCCTTCGGCTATTATGCGGAAACGAGTCACTCAAAAGGGAAAGATTGGCAGACCTGTCAATGCTGCACCGGGTATTGAGGAAGACTATCAATCAGCTACCTCTTCTTCCTCCGCAACAACTGCAACTGCCACAACGACGACAGCATTAGCTTCGCAAGGATCAAGCGAAAACTCGCGTCAGAGTGAGAAGGCGGAGGAGGAGGGACATCGGGAGACGGCGTTAGGCCTGCGACTTCCCAAGATCAATCTGGCTCCTAGTGTTCCCAGCTTTCTATCGTCGAGCCGAATGGTGATTAATAGCGCGCCCGAGGTCCCAGCAGCGCCTGTTGACAAGGTGGCCAAGAAGAAGGCCGAGTATGATGAATTCATGCAAGGGCTTGAAGGTGATGGCCTCTTGTAATTGTCAAGCCGTTTTGGGCCCTGACACAGAATAAAGAACGACCTTCTACACGCTTTATTGGGTGGTACTTTTGCTGTGTTCATTTCAAAATGGCAGTGCTGGTGTCTTTGACAAGCTTTGCTTTCATGTGCAATCGGCTTCCAAGGTTGGCATCGAAACGACTCTTCTCCTGTTTCTTATTCCTCGTCTTGTTCTCTTTCACCTTTCTGCTCTTATTCTATTTCCCATTACTTCTAGTCTTTCTCGTTTATTGCGATCTCCATTCTCCTTCTCTCTTTCTTTCGTCTACGTTGTGTTGGGTTGTACTGCTGCTGAACTTAGTACACAAGTGAGTGCAACTCAAATGGCGCCGTCAGTACTGGAAAAGTCCCTGCAACTTACACTTTGACGCGTGAATATTTTTGTACCCTCGAGGATAAAAATAGGTCACGGAAAAAATAGCCTTGTGTTTTTTTTTCATTAAGTTCCTCTATTTTCAGGTGTCGCTTGTCGTGTGGTGGCCGTATGCAGTGCTCCGTGTGCATGCGGACAGGGGGGAGAGAGAACAGAACAGGTGGACGTGCTTCGATGGATGTGTAGTTGGGGTTGAGTCTCAATTGAAGAGAGGATTCGTTTGGTTTTGTTGACGATGATATGTTTTAAGCGCCTGGGTGCTTGGCACTTTCTGCTGTCATGGATAAATGGATGGTGCAAAGGGATCCAGGGCGACAAGTCGGATAGAGTAAGTGTTCGACGTATACAGGACAAGTGGGACCACACAGCCGGGGACAGAGGATGAGAAGGGTCGGGGACATGAGATGCGTCGGGATGAGAAAGTGATACTGTGAGAAAGGGAGGGAAAGAAGGGAAGGGCGATGCAAGCATGGATAGCATGGATTGGGTGGATTGGGTGGATTGGATAAAAAACGTACAAAGGGTGTGATACATTTGCACCATGACAATTGAACAACAGCATGCCCCTTTCTCTCCCACTAGCGTTCTTTTTGTTTCTGTTGAATGTTGATTGCATGTTGATTGTTGATGGCGGACATACGTCTGGGGTTGTATCCTTGTCAATCATGGCCATGGTCGTTCCCGCCCCTGCTTATCCTTCTTTCCCTTCCTTTCCTTCTTCTTCTCTTGTTCTCTTCTTCTCTTCTTCTCTTCTTCTCTTCTTCTCTTCTTCTTTTCCTCTTTTCTTTCTTCTTCTCTGTTCTTCCTTACCCTTTCCCCTCCCTTTCCCTTCCTTACCCCTTGACCGTTTCTCTTTGTTTCCTTTTCCCTCTTTCTCCCCCTTTTTTTTCATTCATTCCAGGAACAGATCTATTCTCAACTCTCTCATTCACTCACGAACAACCATGACCAAGCGTCTCCAACCACCCCGGTCGCCCACCAGAACGCTCGCCTCTGTCCTCCTCGCCTCATTCCTCCTCGGCCTCATCTCCTCCGCTCTCGCTTCCCCTCTACCCCCATACTACCCCTCAGGAGGCTCTCTCACCGAAGTCCCTCAGGTACGAACAACTGATCAGTGAGCTGCACCCAACTAACCACAGGAACAACAAGAACAACATGAGCAACAGCATGACGTTCTCACTACGCAGGGACCATTCTCATGCTCCTTTTGCTCTCTCGCGCTCTCCGCAATGCTGCTCTCCTCGCTTACCGTTGTTGTGGTCCTGAGAAAACAACCCCCTCTCTCCTTCAACGTCCTTACTAACCACCATTTGCTTGCGCCAATCGTCCAATTAGAACGTAGGGAATCGTCGCGCACTTCTCTGGCTGGAGAAACGCGCCCCACCAGTCATACTCGCCGGCGCGACTCCAGCAGCAGGAGAAACCCCCTCAGAAGGCGGAGGAGGAGGCTCTACCGCCACCACCTCCGCAGACACACCAGCTGAAACAACTACAACAACCGCACCACCAGTCGAGACCACCCCTCCTCCTACTACCACCACCAAGGATCCTCCAGTTATCACGACGACAACCACGTTAAGCGCAACCACCACCGATCCTCCCGTTGTCACTACCACATCCTCCCCCTCGACTACAACCACTTCCGACGATGATACCGCCACCACAACCACCTCGCATTCAAAGCAGTCCCATCCAACAACGGGCGGCGGCGGTGGGAAGCCAGGCGCCGGATCCACAGGCCCTACAGGAGTGTCCACCACCACCACTTCGACGTTAACACCGACTACTACACCCGTCAACCCGGAAGAGTCATCCAAGCCTTCCATCCTCCCAATTGTTCTCGGCTCGGTCCTTGGTGTAGGAGCGTTGATTGGAGCAGGTATCTTCTTCTTTATCCGTTTCAGGAAACACAGGCGGTTCGATTCCAAGAGACCCCTCAGTTTCCTCGCTTTGTCTGTCGATGACCACACAACCGGAACTGAAAGTGCTTCGGCTAGAGCCCTCGGAACGGACGCTCATTATGATTCCAATCGCCCGATTACGTCGCAGCCATCATTGAGGTACACTCCTCCAGTGATGTCTGGCATTGACCGTTACAGCTACCAGTCTTCTGAGCACTCAGGAGCCACAGGAGGTCAGTTTGCACAATGGAGTCAGGATGATGAGAATGCAGCGTTGGTTGGAGGACCCTCAAGGCAACAACAGCTGATGGTGGGAGAGCAAGGAGAGGATGGATACCCTGCGCGCCCAGGAGCGTTCTCGCACGAGCACGATCTGATGGCAGATTCAGACCAAGCGTTTGTTGCATCGTCGATGATGCCCATTGCAGGAAACGAACTTCGGCAACCCCAATACAGCCAGCAGCAGCAACAACAACAGCAGCCAGAGACCCTTGAAGTCCGAAATGTGAGCCACCCTTCACAGACTTCGCCCGCTTTGTCTCAACGCGGTGTTCCACTTCAAGTGCTCAATCCTGAGGCTGAGATGGGTTCCCCAAGGTCGCGGCCATTGAGTGTCCATTCCGAAGCTGCGTCAGTTCTGTCGGTCAGGAATCCAAGCGTCCGGTCGGACGGACGATCTACTGGTGCTGAACAAGCAGGACAATCATCCAAGAAGGGTGGAGCAGGACAGGGCGACCTTCAATTTTTGTAGATATTTTAAACCATTAAAGTCAGCTAATGCACGTAATGCGCATGATTATTTTTTTTTGTCTTTTTCAATATGGTCCTTGGCAGTGTACTTGTCCCAGCCACTTTTGCGGTCATTGAAAGGGCCCATTGCAAATTTTGCAAGGCAGACAGGAAGGCAGGCCGTTCATCGGAAAATGGACCAATCAAGAGTTCAAAATACATTGGTGCGAAATTGGGAAAGAGACATTCCCGCCTCACCCCCTGGAGGGGAAAAAAGACTCCTTTACGCTTTGCTTGTGGGCCAAGTCAGTTCTCGTTGGAATGTTGTGTGTGTGTGTGTGTGTATGTGTGTGCCCACACCAACGAGAACCAAGCCTGTACCGGAAACCAAGAAAAGCTCGTGCCCAGATTGCAGAAACGAGAGTGTGGACAGTGCGACATGCGCATATGAAAAAAGGGCAGAAGAAAGCGTTCAGTTGCAGATACGGAACCCATCCGCCGGAATATCGGGGCCCGTTACTCCTCTACCTTTCCTTGAACGCATATCTTTTTTTCTTCCATTGGCTTTTGTTTTCTTTTTCTTTTTCTTTCTTGGAAGGTGTTTGTGGGGTTGTTGTTCAGATTAGGTGTGATTTATTTTGTAGAGCTGTGTTAAAGTGTTTTGCGTAGAAGTATTAGAAATGAAGTGAACTGCGCGCACGTTTTCAGAGAACCCACGAGCCTGCCATAAGAATCAACCCTGCGAGCACACACAGCCGCCCGCTCATCTGTGCAGACATGTGTCCAGAAGCCTCCTTGGACTTGTCCTGGATCTGGTCACTATCCTCCTGTGAAAACTGGCGTCCTGATGGATTCGTACCCGTGTTGTTGTGACCCAGTGTAAAGCTCTCTGTGGAGTTGGAAGATTTGGGTGTCTGGATCAGGGAACTGTCCTTGTGAAGGGCCTCGATCAGTTCTGCAGTTCCCAAGACGTGAGGCAGTTCTGTACTGTTATTGTTGGTGTTGGCAGTACTATTGGGACGACTGGCGAGGGTAGCATTGGTGGTTTCGAGGGTTTGGATGAAGCGTGTCGAGGTCGAGTCGTCCATGAGGTCAGACATGGGGATAACGGTGCCATTCAAGAGCGTCACGGTTGCGTTGAGGAGGTTGTAGTCCAGGGTGTCGTTCAGAACCTTGCGAATGGCTTGGTCTTGGATGCGTTCGAGGGTTGCTTGGTTCAGGATGATGTGGAGTTGTGTTGATGAGCCCTCTATTCCGCCTGCCTCTGTTCCTGTGCTGTTCGACGGGAAGGCATTGTTACTGCTGTTGTTGATGCTGGTGCTTGGGGTATCGGTCTTGTCTTGGGAGTTGCTTGTGTTTGTAGGGTCACTAGACGCAATCTCCTGTCCACTCTCGGAGGATTGTGTCGAGTTGCTTGACTGAGTATCACCGCCGATCAAGGTCTTTGTGACAGTGGGACATCCCTGACTACCATCATCCAGAGGCTTCAGATGAACAGTCTCGCGGTCCTCAAGGACAAGTGAGCAGCGGGTATGATGTCCGTCCTGAGTACAGGGGTAAGTTGCATCCCCGAACGCTCGCACAATGTAATCGCCGGGTGTCCAGTCCGCAGGCACTGTCCAAGGGATATCTTTCATGCGAGTTTCTACAGCAATATCAAGCCCACACACAGACATAGTTAGATTTACATTGTTTGCTAGAAAAAACAAGAGAACAGTGGATGACAGACGTGACAACCTACCACCCCACTCGGTCCTGGAAGTAACCCCGAGGTTATCGATGAGGACAGAGTTATCGGCTCCCAGGACCTGGAGTTGGACGGTCTTTAGCATCGCCAGGTCAGAGTATTGGACCCTGAACCCGAGGTCGACAGGGCATCCTATTTTCATATATCATGCAAGTGATCGTTAGCATGTTGCAGGGAGTCCTGCTTCGAAAAAGTGTACGAGGGAAACGGTACTGGGTGGACATACCTGCAAAGATGTCAGTGTTGTCGGTCGGCTTTGTCAAGAACACGCGATCTAATAACATTCGCAGCAAAGGAACCATGGTGAGTTATGTATGTTTGTAGTACAGTGGGTACAAAGAATTCAAACAGGCAGTGTGCAAGGTCAATGGTAGAAACGAAATAGGACAAAAGAACAATACCTGCTTGGGCGATTGAAGAAATGGAGAGGATGGTGGCGAGAGTGGCCACGACGGGCAGTGTGTATCGTTGCTTGTGCATCATTGTAGGCTCAGAGTGTTAGAAGTAAAAGTGTGGAGAGTTGAAGAAGTTGGATGGTGAGAGTTGGAGCTGATGAAGGGCCTTTTATTCTTTTATTTTCGATCGTCCACACAGCGATGGGGCTGTGGTAATGGGATAGGAGGGCATCATGTTTCGATCCAGTTCCTGGGCAAAGTCAAAGAAGATCACAACAGTATGCCAATATGATTCTTAATATGCTTAATAGGATTATCAGAATGACTCGAACACCAAGAAAACTTAAAGACTAGCATGAGTGTCGATCCCGAGAGTTCGAGAAGCCGAGTGAAAGGATGAAGGGACCTTGGTGTGAAGCAATATCGATAGTCAGTCTGGCTGATGATGACATGTATTGTAGCATACCAACCTTGATCCAACCTTGGGTGGCGATAACCGGAAAGGTGGTATATAAAATAAACTTAGCACTGGGGCGCCAGTGTGGCTGAACCCATGTAACTATCGGAATATCGACTGACTAGTTAGCAGGACAATGAATCCTCCATCGAACTGATTTTCAATTCCCTTCTGGTGTCGGGGCCCCGCTAATACATTTCTGTTCACATACATAGGCACAGTAGTACAAGTAGCCAATTCAGAAAGGGATTCCGATCCATGCGACGATCAAAAAGTATTTTGATACTTCAAAGGATGCCTCCTTTTTTTAGTCTTTTTTTCTTTTCTTTTTTTTGCTTTACTGCTTGTTCCCACTCCAACGGGTTCGTCATTGCCTTCGGGACACGCACTTGGTTCTCTACCTGGGTACCTGGTTATACCTTCTGTTATTCAGCAGTCGTAGACACAACTCATTCCCCCAAACGCTCCATCAACGTGCGAAATGAACAACACGAAAGGTCACCTCTTCTGATACGGCCTACTTTCTCATAGTGTTGACGATACTGCGTAGTTTAATCCCGACCAATATATACACGAACATTACTCTGGCACAGGGTTGTACACGCTGTTGGGGGTATCCGCAAGGATTCTCTTGCTAGGCACAGGCGAAGGGGCTGCACTGGTGCGACGCGAGTTGGGGTCGCTGTGGATAGAGGACTTGGAAACGGGACTTCCGGTAAGCTCCTGAAGGAATGTCGAGTTGGAAGAGTTCATCCGCGAGGGGCGAGTCGAGTTGGACTGTGGTGGGCGTCCCAGAAGATCGGCGGTGTGTGCGGTAATCAACTCGATCGCGGTGACGTTCTCGCTACCGCGGGGGATAATAATATCTGCCCACTTTTTGGACTATTTTTATTGTCAAACAGAAGCAATTGAAAGCGTTAACGCGTTGGGTTCTCGTGACACTGGCAAATGAAAGAAGCATGTAAACCAGAGATGATGGTCACTTACAGGCTGAATAAAGTCGTCAAAGGCGGGCTTGACAAATCGGACGTATTCTGTGAGGACGTGGTCAATGGGGTCAGGGTTGACTTCGGCAACCTTGCGAGCAACTATGGTTCGAGAAATGAAAAACACACGTGTAAGTGTTGTTTCTTGCTGAGTAGACAAAGAAAAACAAGTGCCTCCTGCTTGGTTGAGTTCAGTGTATAATCCATACCTCTGTTTGCCAAGCGCATATCATCATCCAGTTCCACGAACAGCTGGTGTTGGATAAGAAGCAAAGTTGTGAACAAAGTACGTTAGTAATCGCAGTTTGGCGAACCAGCTTACCATGCGCATCATAAGCATTAACAAATGGTTACCTTCATGTTGAGGAACTCGCGGATCTTTGCACTGTAGAGGACAAAGATTCCCTCCAGGAGAACGACAGTGGGGCTTCCGCGCTCCTTCGGGTGCTCCTCATATGATCTATTGTGTTGTGAATGGCAAACGTGCATGACGACGTGAGTAAAGGTTCAATTGGTGGCGCTATCTTACTGCTGAAATGATCTTATTCTGCAATTGTCAATATCCAGAAGAGGGTTTTGAAGGGCGACGTACCGAGTCTTTGTTGAAAAGTTGAACTTTGGGATTCTGAACGTGCTGCCCTCCTGGATATCCTCAATGACATCGGCAATCAACTCCCAGTCAAATGCATCTATATGAAGTGCAAGCAGGTACAAAAGGCGATTAATAGACAAGTTCAGTTGATCTCCTTGCAATTACCTAAAAGCAAAAGCAAACATTGCACGGCTTACCAGGGTGGTCGAAACTGTAGAGACCGCTGGCAACGCGGACACGGTCCTCATCCGAGAGCTCCCTGTAAAAATCGTGAAGGTGAAGAAGCACGACCTTACTACTATCGACGATCTGGTTTTTTTGCAATTGCTCAATGAGGACTCTACAGAACTTTTCCTGAGGCGCGGAAAAAAAGTAGACGTGGTTCAGAGTGTCAGCTGCAATTGCGTACTATGGCTTTACTGGTACTGTCCCACCGAATTCAATTCTCCTTGCGTATCGCCATTTGTTCCTGTTACCTTTCCAGAGTCGGCTCCACCTAATTATGTCAATTGAATAAGATGCGAGAAGAAGGAATGTTAGCTTATTACCTCAATCGAAAGAACACACGTCGTGGTTTGACTGCCATGGTTCGTGACAAAGAAGGTTTGACGTCCTTTCAAGGCTCTCCCCTACTCCTCCTTGTTGTCGTTTATATATTGTTTTAGTTACCGGCGAGTCCAATGATAAAGACCCTTGAGACGGGCAGGTTGTAGTTGAAGGTTGCAGGCAGGGAGAGACTCATGGCGGCTGTTGGTTAGGAGGTGTGGGTGTGTGTGTGTGTCGAAGGAGGCGAATGAGGTTGTTCAAGTTTCGTCCTTGTGTCCGTGTGTGTTTGTTGGAGAAAAGGGTCAGGCTTGTTCTCACGTTCTCACGAAAGGGAAAGAGGATATTTCACGTGACATCATTAAGCCACCGCGGCATTAATTATTTTTTCTTCTTTGTTTTGATAAGACGCGAGAGAAACTGATCAGCGATTCTTCTTCCTCCTTCTTCCTCACCATCTCTCTCTCTCCCTTCATCAATACCAAAAACACAAGCAGTAAGTTATTCACCATCACAACCTACAACCATTACCTCTCGTCCTTACGAAGCAACCACACCCTTTTCAACTATGATGCTATAAAATATATTTGCTACTTCAGAGGCTTTCGCCGGCCCATGAGACAAAATATCCACATATTTATTCTGATCCTTCCTATCTATCCCTCGCGACAACTCGATCGTTTTGTTTTTACTTTGAACCGACGGTGTTTTCGGCCAGTGGATGAAAACACGCGAAAATGTTCAGTAAAAGCAGGTCAGCTGAACCTGACTAACCATCCTTTTGTACTGGATCATTGTCTAACCAACTGTTTGTCATTTCTTTCAGTCTTCAACTCTGAAGCTTCCTTTTAGCGGATCAATTGAACCCGACATCTAACAATCGCTCCCGATCGAAGCACATCTGGGATAAGTTAACGGCTACAACAAAGGTGCGTTCACATCCTTTTCTTTATCAACCAACACACTTTAACATCCTTTTTTCAATGGATGCTGCACACGATTATACAGAGATAATGAAGCACGTTAGATGATAACGTAACCAAATATACTTTTAATTGTTCCTTATGATGCAACACAACAACAACCATTGTTGGTCTTGTAAAAGTGCCACTGGCATGCAGAAAAACAGTTCATTAACCCAAGTTTTTATGTTTGTCTTTGGATCATGCAGCATTAGGATTCGCGACGAGCAAGTATTTTCTCATTTGGACTCGAACATGGAGCAAGGAAAGGTAAGATCCCTCCACGTGTCAGTAGATAGCAGTTGTTCTTTTGTCCTCAATTACGATAATAAATACAAAAAACACGAACTACAAACCCGTGAAGCGTTGCCATGGCTGCTTGAAATTCATCCTTCAGAAAAAAAAGTTCTTTGCCTCAAGTGTGACTGTCTGTTGGTGACCCTTGAGAGATATCCAAACAACATGACCACGGGGTCCAGTCCAGGCGCGTTTCTTTTTTGTTCCAGTTGTCGTTTGTAAATCTTCGTCTCAAACGAACCATCCACTGAATGCAACTCTCATCCTCCACTACTCTCCACAGGACAATAATCAGGGGATGCAGCAGCAGCACACCCACAATGGCCTGAGGCGCGACTCCTTCTCCCCGCCACCCGCATCCGATACATCCTTCTCCTCCGTTGTCGTCGATATCGATGCCATCGAACTCGAAAAAGAAAACATTCAGCCATTGCGACAGGGTCGCAGTGCCCAAACACTCGCCCGCCTCTTCACAACACAACACGACGACCGCGCACAGCAGCAGGCAGTCATGCATGGTCGCTTTCAGGCAGAACTCGCACATATCGATGACCTGGACGATCCTATGGACGTCTATTCGCGCTACGTCAAGTGGATGATCGAAAACTACCCACAAAGTGCAGGACAGGGCAACGACTCTCAACTGTCCCCGGTTCTCGAGCGTGCCCTCACAGATTTCAAGGACGACGAACGCTACAGGAACGACCCACGCTTCGTCAAGCTGCTCATCATCTACTCGGAGAAAATCTCCAACACCATCGAACTCTTCAACTATATGGAGGCCAACGGGATTGGGAGCGAGATTGCCATGTACTACGAGGAATTTGCGGATTTTTTAGAATCGAGAGAGGAGTAAGTCGGTCTTTTACCCTACCTGCAACTGCGTCGTTGGTGACGCGTGAGACAACGAATCTTACAGGACTATTTTTTGCTTACTTGTATAGGTTTGATCGGGCACGAGAAGTGTTCGTCACAGGGATCAACAGGAGGGCGAGACCACTGGGCCGGCTCAAGAAACAGTACGAAGACTTTGAGCGGAGAGCACAGGTGTACAAGGATGAACTGGAATTGGAGGCTGTAGCGTCCGCGCGATCAACGTCCGTGCCACCTCAACAACACCCACAGGACCATTCAGCAGCGTCCAGCTCTGGTGGAGAAAGCCAACGACGAGTGTTAGGCGTCAAGGTCTCTGGAACGCAATCTATTCATCCAAACGCCAGCGCCCAAGGACATGTGTCTCTTGGCCAGGAACGGTCTACTTCTACAACAAACTCAGGAACTCGCAGCACTGGATCATCTGGTCCATCAAGACCTAACGCCAAGCTACAGGTGTACACTGACCAACCTGCCCAGTCATCTGTGTCGACTAAACTAAAAGCGACGTCAAAAAGCTTTACATCACAAGCCAGCACACCGTGGAGGGACTTTGGGGCAGAGCAGGTTCGGCGGAAGGAAAACACAAGGGAGGTTACAAGCTGGAAAGGGGCAACTTTGTCCAGCGAAGACACTGTTCCTCGACGGCTCCTTCCTAAACTTGATGTCTATCGAGACCCTGAAGAAGTGAGTAATTATCTTATTTCTCGCCGCAATAATTTGGTTTAGGTTGAAAAAGAAAATTGATGGCTCCACGATCAAACCTAACGCTACCTTTTATATCTCGAATCAAATAGGCATTGCCCCCTCCAACAGAGACAGCACCACCCTCGACCAGGACCAGTTCCTTCAGTGACGAAAACAAACCACCCTCACCCTTGGCGCCACCGCCGGCCAAACATATACCCATCATCACGACTGTTCTGGACGACGCGCAATCCCACTCCTCACACACGCATCCCACGTCAAATACACAACAGGCCGAGACACATGATCGCGGCAGTGGCGGACAAAAGTTTCCTGTCACTATCAACGCCAATGGGAGAGCTGAGCGTCTAATGATCGACCTTACCGACATTTATGTCAACGATGAGGAGTTCTCCATCGAGGAGATCAGGGCAAGGCGTTATCGTTATTCCTGGCGGCATACAAATAATCTCAGTGTCAGCAGCAACAGCAAGCAGTCGCCATCTGCATCACCGCCTCTGCCAGCGCCGCCGCCAGCGGGTTCTTCAGCAAAGCACTACCGAGATGACCCAGTATCAGAACCGGCATCCGACATGCGTCCACAGAAAAAGGCACAACCAGACAAGGAGCAGGATCCTCTGTCAACTCCTTACAGGACACAGGCGCCCTCGCTATCTGTCAAAGAACTTCTTCCTCAGAGTCCCAGCGATGAAGAGCGTCATTTTTTCGGATCTAGGAGGCGTCTGACGGCTTCACCAACCATGAACACCAAGTACGCCTCTGAAGAGATGAACAAGATTTTCAGCGACCGCTCACGGACAAGGAGAAGTATCGATTCGCAGTGGAGTGCAGAAGATACTCAAGATGTCGGTCGGAACGAGCTCGACAACTTCACAATGGCATACTCAATACCAAACCTGCCACCCCTATCTCTACCGCCATTCTCCCGGTACCTTGACAGTGAGATTGTCAACGAGTTTGAGGACGACGATGATCAGGCAGTTCGGACAGAAGGATTCGCCACGAGGTTGGAAAATGGATATTCGTCGACCATCACCCAGGATATCGCGGCACTGAAGCGGCGGCGCGCAGAGGAGATGGCTCTCGGAGACAATACTCGGTCAAGTCAAGGAAATCGGTTATCATTTCGTGAAGGGAACAGGCTCTCCTCAAGATTCGATCCCTTCAAGACACAGGAATCTGACATCACCATTGCCATTCGTCAACGAACACAGCAACTACAACAAAAACAAGACGAAAGCGCGGAAGGAAACGACAACGCCCGAGGAACGTTTGGCTACTTGCGGTCGAGCTTGGGACGCTCCAGCATCGGATCTTTGTCGTCGACTCAGAGACGTTATGGAAGCGAGGGAGGAGGTCAAAGATCGATTGAGCGCACAGGTCAGGACGAAATGGAGAGCCCCTTCATCTTCAAGGACGGCGGCACGGGTTTGGATGTGGGGATGACTGTCCCTATGCTAGAGGATGAAGCTCCTCCTGAATTCATAAACGATCTGCCATATACTTAACGACTGTGAAGAAATCGCTACGTAGCACAACATCCAAATAACACACACCTTAATATCAAACATGCGCAAAAGCACGCCGCCTTTTCACAATGCTTTTGTCACGTTTTTGTTTTATTATTTTGTTTTGTCCCCTCTTTGCCTCTTTTTCTTTTTCATCTTTCCTTCCACACTCCTACACCATTCCGTCCAACCGCCGCAGAGACAATGTCATCCATATCGCGCACTGACGCCTCCCCTGAGGTACTCCTCATGATTTTTTCGCACTTCAACAGCGACACTCTTCGCACGACCGTTGCGCCTGTTTGTCGAGCGTGGTATCAAGCGATTCGAGACCGCTTTATCAGAGACGTTGCTTGGGACGACGCACGCAAGGACAAGGAGTTGAGCAAAGTGCTGGCTGGGATACCGGGAGCAGGACGACTGCTGTGGCATGCTCATGGGACCAACGGGGATCTTGCCATGGAACAGTGGACGAAGCTTCAGTCTGCTTTGAGCCGGGACTACAATAGACGTCAACGGGGCCAAGGCCATTCCATGAGGCGACTCATGCTGGATAGCCCTCTGCTCCAACTTGAACTGAGTGGGAGCGTCGATATCGCGAATTGCCTTCCACGGATCCACAAGTACCTGGGTTCTTTGACCTGCCTGAAACTGTTTCTGTCCCGCGACTGCACTATTGATGTCGAGCCGCTGTTTCGGGATTGTCTCGGCCTGGAAGTCGTCCATCTGGAGACTACAGGTTTTCTAGAAACGGTTGGAGAGTGGGTATCGACAGCACAGCAAGCGGTCGGTGGGGCCCATCCGCCAATACAGCTGCAACTCCAGACGCTTGTCCTCTGGAATGCCAGTGTTCATCAAGCAGGCTTCGAGCGATTTCTCACCATGACCCCGAGACTCCGGAGACTAAAGTGCACCTCTATGCAGCTACAGCGTTCGGAATCACTATATTGGGATAGAGGCATCGCGTACGATCAGGCCCACTTTTACCAGCATGTCGTCGCCCTTCCTTACAGACTAGAGTCATTTCACCTTTCGTTTGAGGATGGGCTTCCTGCCATCTCTGGGTTCTCCAAGTCGCTTCGAGTGTGTCCCGTATCATCTGAATGGACTGTTGACACCCTTGACTTGCCGTTGAGCATGATGATGGTCCTTCAGGATCAGCCCAATCACGTCACCACTCTCGAGTTGGTATGCTATAGCCACTCCGAGCGCTCCACTCAAAGTGTACTTCATCGATATCTCTGCCAGGCACCTCACTTGCTTCACTTGCGTGCACGCAATATCATTCTTCCTGTGGCAGAGCTCGACATACACGGGCTTCTCACCACACCATCCACGGAACCAGCGGTGACCCCAACACCAGGAACAGACACCGTCCCATCGCCTTCTGGAGCAGCAGCAGCAGCAGCAGTTTGGGCTTGTCGGCGTTTGAGAAGTCTCCAGGTGACTTTTGGCTGGGGTTCTAGAGAGTCGAGTTTGGTTTTGGTCCAGTCCAGGGTGATTTTCGGCTACATATCCAGGGTTTGCTCAGAACTCAAGGAGCTTACTATATATCGTCCCGAGTCAAGTGAGGACGACGTTGACGAAGCACGGTCAACGTGGCTGGACCTCAAAGGAGGCCTCTGTCTCCTCAGTCGACTAGAGCATTTGGAGCGTTTGCAGATCGGGTCAGGATTGAAGGAGATTGGGTGTGAGAGGGTCGATTTGGATTGGATGGTTCGGTCGGGATTTGTTGGCGTTAGGAGGTATGTACGAGTCCTGGAGATATCGAATTGGTATGGTGAGCTTTTGGAGGAGAGGGAGTTGATGGATGTGGACGAGTTAACGGCGGGGGGTCGAAAGAACAGAGAGGATGGTCTCGAGTTGAGATACCTCGGTCGGTTGCAGGATGTGGCGACAAGACTAGAGGAGTTGGATGCTGTGGATGTGGTTGGGGTTGGGGGGTCTAGATGCTGGCCTTTATTGAGCAGGCTGTCTATCGATTGCGGCAGTGAGTTTGGTCGTCAGCCTGAGAGGGAGCTGCAGCGGATCCTTGGTTGAAGAAGAAATAAAGCGAAGCAATATAAGGGTTCTGGGCGAGAGATTATATTTGATGCGCTGAGGACAATGTCTAAACCCATAACCTGCCATTTGAGGACAAAAAAATCAGGTCTGCCAGGTACCCATCCAAAAAAACCCAGACCTTCACTCCGTGATGTTGGAATGAGATTCCAACCACATAAAGTGAAGGGATGGATTCGAGGAAGAACTAGAAAGGCCCCACTTTTTTATTCTACTTATTTATCGGCTCTAGGGTTGGACGAACAGGGTTTTCACACAGGCTTCGGGGCCTTGCTCAAACCCACCGTTCAAAGACACTCTATGAAGCAAAGGCCAACACTCAAAGCCGTCAAAATCCATCTGCTCCAAAACCTTCTTCACCTCCAACAACAAACCAAGACGCCACAGCTCGCGCTTCGTCTTGATCTCGAGTTCGCCCCATCGGAGGACATCCTTGTCCATCAACGCCAGTCGTGTAATTTCTGCTGGGTCCTTGAGCGCGACCTGTTCCTTTTTGATCAACTCCCAGCCTGCCATCATCACCCTTCTCTTTTTCCGGAATTCGGCTGTCCGTCCAGAGGGGACCATCCAGTTGACGTGGGTTCTTTCGCTCTCGGTGGGTTGGATAAAGTTGATATTTAGTCGTTCCAGGTACTTGAGTCTCGTTAATAGAATGAATCCTCCTTGGAGTCGCATGGTTGGAGTGTTGATATAAAGTTCTCCCGTTCGAGTCTTGCACATCTTGGAGATGACAAGCTGAAGATCCTGGAGGCGTGGACACACGGTCGAAAGATAGCCAAAGACGATCCTGGTGTTGGTAGGATGCGTTAGCTGGGACTGGTTGTGTCCGTGCAACTCCAGACGAAGGGTCCGCAGATTCGTACATGCCCACACTCCAGTCAGGAAAGAAGAGGTGTCAGAGGAGCCATTTGTTGGGGCGCGGCGGTGAAGGTCCAAATGCTCGAACTGGAAGGCGATATTGGTGGTCCTGACGTGCAAGAGGTGGCGAGAGCGACACATGAACCTATGAAGGAGCCAGGAGGATGTACTGCACTCGTCCGTATGTCGCCAGTAGAGTTCGAGGGTGGTGACAAAGTTGGTTCCTTCGTCCAGTTTCCTCATCAGCGTAGGCGTCAGACCGTCTCCCCAAAGCGACCGCCCAGTCTCCAACGGGCTCAGAGGAGTCAGCATCTCGTCGGCTTCAGGCCCGTCGATCCCTTGGTTAAACACCGAAAAATGGAAAGATTGGAGCATGATGGAGAGGGACTGGATATGCTGGACGAGATTTGTTCGGGAGTACTTGTTTGTGGCCATATTGGGTCCCTGCGCTGTGATAGCTTGAAGGCTGATTAACTTGAGCTCCTGGATCCGAGGAGTCACTAACAGCAACGCCTCAAGTGAGGATTGAGGAAAAGTCGCGTTCCTGAGGACCAAAGATCGAAGTGGCAAGAATCGACGCTGAGGCCCTTTGACGTCAGAGGGAACCAAGGATCCAAGAAGAAACAGATATTTCGTAACGACCTCTCCATGGAATTCCTCGAGCAGAGGGCAAGCCTCTAGAAGACGACCGAGGGAAAAGTTGCAGCTGCCTTCTTGGACGGTGAACTTGAGACTGGTCAGCGCCGGCGGGAAGGGAATGGTGTCGAAGAGGCCTCTTGTTTTGAATGTGCTGGTCCTGAACTCCAACTCACGAAGGGAGTTATTAAACTGTCCGGGCAACCTCTGCAACGAAGTACTGCTTGGCTGATCCGGGGAGCTCTGTAAGTGAAGCAAGGTCCGGATGAGTTTATCCCAGCTGGCCTCCGTAGGCATCCCCCAATCACAGAACCACTTCAACCGGCCAGTATCGCCCAGCTTGGCCAGAGTCTTGTCGATGTGTTGGACAGGCACATGGATATCCCAGACGAGTTCTCGGAGGACAAGGTGTTGGTTCATCTGGAGCCACAGCCGACAAACTAGGACCACGGTCCTACGGAGAGTAAAGTCGTCGACATACGAAAAGATTCGTTCCAAGATCTCTGGGATGGCTAGTGGACTCGGTGCGATGGGCAGCTGGATGAGTTCGGGTGGAGAGGTGATGGGTAGCTTCTTGAAGGAGGGATGCTTCTTTTTGAGGAATGAGAATCGCATTGGTGGAAAGGAGGCATGGGATGTTTGGGGATGAGTTTGACAAAGGAAGAGGGAACGAAAAAAATGAAGGCGAAAAGACAAAGTGTATATGATTGAATTGAATGGGCGCAGACAAACATGAATGGATATGGGCAGTGCAAAAACAAAAACAAAAACAACAAAGAATGAGAAAGACGAAAGAGAGAGGTCTGAGAGTGCACCCGGGCCGGCCAGGGAACCAGTATTGTGCCACGTGGCTAGCAGAGTGGTATGAGCAACCTCAGAGCAATATAGAAGTGGCCACTCCTGAATAGAACCAAAGTGGCGTAACTGAGACCGTCAAGGTTATTGTACTGATGGTGCCTGGATCAAGTTTCAGTCCAGCTGAAAGACGTTGTTTTATCATTCGGAGTGCTGTGTCGGGTCGACGCTCTCTAACCGCATCGTGGAAGGACACTCTCTTAAGTAATGGGAGGCATCGGCGGCCCGATCGGTCCATCTCCTCCACCACAGCAACCCTAGGTTCCGAAGTTGGTCAGCCAGAACATCCCCTGTTACCGTCGATGGCTTAGTCTGGTGAAAGAATCGCCACTCCAGCGTCTCCTCCGCCTCGAGCTGCAATGCCCAGTTTGCCATCGTCTTCAATCGTCTCGTTCTGTCCTTGTTTCGATATCCCGAAGAAGATATCCAGTTGTGCCTCTACTCCTGACAGTTAATGCTTCGCGTCTCCTCGTCACCGTAAATCACCTTCGGCTTCCTCAACCGATCCAATCTAGGGAGAAAACAAAGGCTACCATCCGGCTGATGAAACAGTTGTGGCTGGTAGATGTGGGTGCTCTAATTGCCCCTGCAGTGGCTCGGCACGTAGATCCTCAGCTCTTGAAGGTTTGGACAGACTGCCGAAATGTATCAAAAGATGATCCTGCACGGGCCAGATCAGATAGGAGGTATGAACGTGGGTTTGGATTTGAAGAGTCTCAAGGTTGAGACAAGCCCAGGCCTTTCACTTGCGATTGCCTCTGAGGTTGAGATCTTCGTATTGCGCTCGGTTGTACAAGTCCAGGAGCTCAAAGATAATGGCTGCCTGGATAATCTTGAGGTGGACGTGGTGAGGCGACTCACAGAGGTATTGATGGGTCAGGTGCAGGCCAGCCTTGCTGGAGTGGGCGTCCTTGCTGTTGAGACCCTGCACCAGAGCCCCCGGTGACAATCTCCAGTGTGGTGATAATGTTTGGCAGGAAGACCATTTCTTAAATTAGTCCTGGTGTAACTTCGACTGGAAGAAGAGACCATTCTAAGGCCTTGGGGCAGACGTCGATCGTTTTTCGGCAGACCTGATGCTCCTCCATGACCTCAACGCGGGCTAGCTAGGCTTAGCTACAGACAGAGAAGTAGAAGGCGCAGAGGGTAATGGGGAAACTCTTGATGTGCTGAGGTGGATTGGTCTGCAGCTAGTGCTTTATTGCCTAGAGGAGGGCACTGTCTCGTTAAATAAAAAGAAAAGGAAGCGAACTCATAGAGAGAAACGCACCTATCCATCACAGTGCTCAAATAGATGGGTCCAGTTGTATTGGGCGTCGCCAGGCTGCGTATCATATGAGTAAAGAAGCTGACCGTCGCGCCCCGCCAGGCCGAGAAGCTTGAGTTCCTGCAGATCCGGGTGGGAGTTAACAGATCCTCAAGGCGGAACTGGTGAAGCTTGGTATTCTTGATGACCAGTTTTTGGATTCAGAAGGGTCATTGTCGGTCGTAGCTGGCAGGAACCCAGGAACTATCAATGGCCAGGACATTGAGTTTGCTGACATGAATGACCTCTGAAAGCAGGGGGCGGTCGGCCGAAATGTGGTCAATCCGAACCATGCAAGCGGAAAATACCCCGACTGCAATCTTCAGGCTGGTCAAGGTCGCAGGGAGTCTAAACTGGCTGGTCATGTCCACTGAGAGAAGGATATCGTTCAGGTCCACTTCAAGGAGGGGACGGAACATTAAGATCGCACTGCTGTTGTGCTGGAGGAGCTGCTCGTATTTGGCTTGTAGCTTGACCATCGTTCGCTTGATGGAACTGGTGCAGCAAGTGTTACCTTCATCGTCATAGCTAAGGCCGTGGCAGTAGAGGCGACTTATGCTTTATCGCTTAGTCAAGATCTTTTCTAGCTTAGTGGGTCCCCAGGTCCAGTCCCAGGCTAGGCCGCGATGATAAAGACGATCACAGCTCATCTGGTGCTAGAGGCGACAGACCGGCATGACAGACATGTAGAGGGTGTTCTCGTCCAGAGAAAAGACCTGGACAACAACCTCGGGAATGTCGAATGGAGAGAGACAGCGAAGGACTTGTAGCTTGAGAGACGCCCGCTGTTTCTTTGGAGTACGCTGGACTTAAGGAATGTGGGCTGCATTAGGATGAACTGTGTGGAGTGTTTCAAATGTGTGGAGAAGAATCAAAGAAAAACTAAAAATAGAAGAAAGGGCAGTAGACAATGCTAACACTAGTGTTGGCACCTCCTAGCTTTTAGGACGAGGGCATTGTTATCAAGAGAAGGCATGGACGGCAGTCATATTGCATATTTGAGGGGATAAGAGACAAGCAATTGAAGGAATGTTTTTTAGAACAAGACAAGACAAGAAAAGGGAAAAAAAGGAACACTGATCATTGTAGGGACATGGCAAAGCATAAAGCATGGAACTGGGGGTTGAGGGGTGGGCTCTGGACGGGTATCCAGCCCGGATCTCATTGCTGCCTTGTCTCTTTTCCGGCAGCTCATGTTGCTGTATACATCCCACAAGTCTGGTCGCCTGTTTCTTTCGCAGCAACAACAACCAGTGCGCCAGCGGTTTAATTGGCCAAACTATGTCCCATCGCAAACTTGTTTTACATTCAATAATTGCGCACAAGCACACAAGCAATCAAGATGAGTGGTCCAACCCTGATCATGGGCTGGCTGGCTTAGCACGGGGACAGAGTCTAATGCACGGTACAAGGACAGAGTGCTAACGTGCAAGGACAAGGCGAACAAGGCGGACAAGGCGAACAAGGGTGAACAAGGCGAACAAGGCGAACAAGGCGAACAAGGGCACACCCATTTTTCACTTCTCTTCTTATTCCTCCATCATCCCTTTTAACTTCAAACCCCATCAACCCCCCACCCATTTCCAAAAAGCATGCTACTTTCTGCCTCGCACACTGTGCTCCCACTGCACACAAGTCACTCGTCCTCTCCGGTTCCCTTCATATTACCCTCGAGAGAGAGGCATATCATGTCTCAGTCTCTGTCTCAATGGTCACCCCTACACGTTCGAGCCACCACTACCTTTCTAAGTATCCCTGAGCTGCTTGACATGGTCTTTTCCTTTGTCTCCCAGGAAACCCTCCACAAGACCGTCATCCTCGTCTGCCGCAATTGGTTCTTCCTCAACCGCCACCGAGTCTCGAGAGAGCTGTCTTGGGATTTCAAGTGGTTTGCAGACGATGCCACTAAGGCCCTAACAAGGTTACCAGGAGCAGGACGACTTGTCTGGAGATGCGATCACTATTGCGAAAACACCTGGCCAGAGCTCATCAAGTCCCTCAATGGAATCGAGAAACGATACTCGAATCCCTCGTCAAAGCGGAGAAAGTGGCCTCACAGTGCTACCCGAGGAGACAATGGCTCCAGAAAACACCCATTCCAGATCTACAGCCCTCTCCAACATGTCGAATTGTTTAGCGACTACCACCTCAGCGACGAATCCCTCAACCAACTGGCATTCCCTTCCACGTTGACGACCCTCAAGATTCATCGCTACTCGACCAGCAGCCTTGACATTGGCAGGATTCTTACAATCTGTCCACACCTCGAGGTCCTCCATGCCGGCAGCCGTGCTCTACTGAGTATTCAGGGAACCTGGACGCCACAGGAACGGGAAGTTGGATTGGAGTCCTTGCCATTGAAATCGTTCGTGCTGGAGAACGTCAAGCTGTCGCAATCCTGGCTCGAACAACTAGTCGCGAGGACCCCACAACTCAGGGAACTCAAACTCATCGGAATCACAGGTCCAAGCGGCAGCACTTGGGAATGGTCAAGCCTCTTCCAGCACCTGAGGTCGCAACCCTTCGCACTACACAAGTTCCACTACTCAGTTCAGGGGGAGATCCCTTCGGAAGACGATCTCGACGATATGCTGTACGCCCTCTGCCCCAATGGATCGGAACGGACACTCTGGAGCTACAACCTCACACCCGGTATTGTCAGGAGCATAACAGAGCAGCCGAGTGTACTGACTAGCCTAAACGTCCTTTGGCACTACCTACCGCATTGTCATTCCGATGGTTGGAAGGAAGGCGACCACTTTTACTCATCAACACCCCTCCACCGTCTGCTCTGTGAGTCTCCCGGCCTTCGACACCTCAAAACCCTCAAGGTCCCATACCTGATTGAACTTATGGACGTCCACTGCAGGGCTAAGGCTTACTACGACAGCGTATTCCCGGAGCCTGTTGAGGGAAGAGAGAGGCCTACTTTTCGTCCTGGCGTCTGGGTGTGCCGAAACCTACAAGTGGTCCACCTTCAAGTCCACAGCCATGGCGGCTACGAGCTCCATGGCAATCACGAGCGACAGGTCCTTCTTGGTTATTTATCAAGGACGCTGTTCAGCTACATCTCCAAGGTGACGCCACATTTGAGAGATCTCCACATCGAGGAGCCTTACGCCTGCTCGATATTCCCAGGAGTGTTCTCGTTCCGGACCCATATATCGGAACATTTATTTGGCGGTTTGCCTCTGCTGTCGTCACTGCGGTATCTGGAACGCCTTCGTGTTGACTTTGATGGTATCTCGTGCGACCTCTCCGAACTCAATTGGATCTACAGCGCTGGGCGAAATTTGCAAGACAAGTGCGCACGTCGTGCCATTATGTCTAAGTGGGAGGATCGATTGAATCGCGAGGCACAAGTGGAGGCGATCAGGCTACAGAACACCCCCGTCGTGCCACTGTCAGGCTCATGGTCGCATGATATCGAGTTGCTGAAGGACCTCGAGTCGACAGGGCTGTTGCGGGAGGTCAAGAGTAGAGTGGAGGCGATCGACGAGGGCGAGTATGAATGCCTTCCTAGCCTTCAGAAACTGTCTCTGAGTCGCGAGCTCGAGCGCTCACCCGAGCGCAGCATGGGATCTATATTCCCTCCCTTGCCCACCAAGAAGTCGATGTGGTCAATGTTCAGATCATGAATAATAAATGTCTTATATATTAAACCCCTAAAGGACCGTTGTCCATTCTCGCTTGAATAGTGGTCAAATGTGACGGAAGGAGAGTCTTCCAGGACCGGATCGCCAGGTCATGTTTGTCCGCGGTCCAGCATTTGTCCTTCAAGGCTCGACATTTTTTTTCGACCCAAGTTTCCGCCTCGGGGAAGTATCCTGGACAAAGACTACGGAAAGGTCTGGCAATATCGCAACCTGTTGACGCTTCAGATGGCCTTCTTTGGCACTGATGACGATGCCGTCGTCTCTCGGATCGTGTTTGGATACATCTCGACCGTCTACCCCCGCCTTCAGGAGCTGGTGATATGTGGACTCGAGGGGTATAGAGCGTTTGGTCAGAAGGAGTATTTTCCAATGCGCATGAGTTTCGACGGAAGAAGGTGTCTACTGGCTCGACTCGCAGACGTAAGGAGATCCCTCATGGCAATGTCTGATCTCGACATTGCGATTTACCGATGGGACTTGGATTGGATGACCGGGACCGACAACCTTGAAAAGTTAAGGAGGAAAGAAAAAATGGCTCAAAGTTGTCGCAAGCTGGAGTTGGGCGCTGCGCAAGGAAATAAAGGTAGAGAGGACACGCTACTTGCCAAGGGATGTTCCTCGTCTGTGGATTTGGATTTGGTCAGTCGCCAGAGAAGGAGATTGGGCGTGTGTTGAGGAGCTGAGTTCCTCCTGGTCTGTTTGGTATATAAACGCAGTTTATTTACATGGACAGTGGTATAAATACGAAGAATGTCGAAATAAACAACAAAGTAGACTGCAATCGGCGCCTCCCTCTGCCGGCTGCATTCTTATTTGGTTTAGACGAGGGTGAAGGACCAGGGGTTGATGTGGCACCAGACCCTGAACCTTTGACGGAGATGGTGATGGGTTTCCTTGCGTCAAAGAGCTCATGGTCATCAGGATCGGTGGCATTGGGAAACTCGGGGATGAGACCATAGGTGGTGTTGTAGTTGGATAGGAGAAGTTCAACGCCTGAGATAGAACCGCCATCCCTTCCGTCCACTTGAATGTCCGCGCAATTGGAATAAAATTCACGATCTCCCACCGCGTTGATCCATGCCCACATAAATGTCACTTCACCTGAAGGAGCATCAATGGGGATCGTCACTGGGATGTTGACGTTCTGGCCAGTAACGGTGCCTTGAAGACAAGTCCGGATCTCGGTCTGGATAACAACCCATGTTTTCTCACGGTCGTAAGAGAGAGCCCACTGGCAATGTCCTCCTCCATGCGAAGAGCCGATGCCGTATCCTGTAGATATCGATTCGCCTGCCTTGTAGACCTTGCGCTTTGCATATGGGACGGAGTGCTTGCAAAGAGGTTGGATGTTAATTCCGTTACTGCTGATGGGTGCGTTGGTATTGTAGTCGATCGACTGGCCGCGAGGTGGAGGAGGGCATCCAGGCGCGGATGAGTACCGGGGGCAGGGAGCGATGAGATCGACATGGGCATAGGCGACCAAGGCTACGAGCTGAAGTGCAGCGATCCACAGGGCGGATTTCCGAAGCATTTTGTGGAGTCTGTGTGTTTTGTTTGATGGGGTGTGCGAAGAAAGTGAGAAGAGAGAAAAAAGAAAAGAAGGGGTAGGGCGGAAACAGAAGTAAAATTGAGTGGGAGACAAGAACGAGGAGAAGATCCTTTTTATAGGTACTCTCTGTATGTAGGCAGATCGATTAGCTTGGCCATGCACTGCCTCAGTCAGTGAATCTTCGGCACTTGCCGATTGAGTCCGTATTCAATATTCATTGGAATGGTCAGGTACTTTTCGAACACCCCTTCTGAGATACTTGATGTAAGGATCGACTGTCTGCTTATCGCATATCTATCACAAACCAAGCCGTTTCGTCCGCAATGGAAACTAGACAGAAATAGGCGAAAAATACCATCCTCTCAAATGTCAGAACTTCTCCATGTCACATAGCCCAATGGCTCTCACTGAGTGGTATCCAACCCAACGTCAACGACAGAGAGATTTTTGACGCTCTTGTTAGTATTCTTGGACGTAACGAGACCACCGCTTATTTTCTTGACCACAGACCGTGTTTACTCTCCATGTCAACAAAATGGATCGCACATGCAGTGGTGTGAGCTGCTCTCGTTGTTACGTTTTTGTTTTGTTTTTGATTTTGATGCTGCTGAAGGGAGGGAATGAACGCACTGCACCATGGATGTCCCTTGGATATGCAAAAAAGAAGAGAAGGAAAAAGAGGTATTTTGTTGTAAGGGGGGACCTGTGGGGGTAAAGTGCGTGTTAGTTCTTTTTCCCCTTTTGCAAAGTTCTATTGCAGGCAATGCACCACACCCCTCGACTCTTCGGCATGCCTGGGAGTACTCTCCAGTATAAATAAACAGCAGAGGTGAATAGCTGCTTGCCTCCTTCAGAATAGATAGGATGCATTGACAATGTGAATCCTCTTTTTCCTTCCATTGATTGGATTAAAGAAGCCCTTGAACGCCACCAACCTTGTTCACAAATCACCTCGTCCACATTTTGCTGACGAGAGGCTGGGACACAATCTCCCTTTTTTGGACGAAGGGAGCCTCTCGTGCCAAATCGGTCTCTCAATCGTCAGTGGTCAAGGCGGTCTAGACTCCCAACGTCACTAAGCCCTGTTAGCTGTCTTGGCTCCCCCTCTCCCCCCTTCCTTCCTTCCCCTTTATCGTCTGTCTTGTCTGCACAACCTCCTAAACCATCATGTCGACCTTCAGCCCCCTGGCATCGATACACTAGCAACTATGACCTCTCTCGTTCTCACAGCAAGTCCCTTTGACATCCCTGAGATCTTGGAACACATCCTCAATCATGTTGACGACAAAACTATCCGCTTGTCTGTTGTGCGTGTGTGCTGTTCCGGGTACATACTCCAGCAACACCGTATTGTGCGCGAGGTCCTCTGACACAGCAACCCGACCCCAAACAAACCTCGGACCATCTCCGAGGAACGAGTGAATAGGGCAACTCACCTCTATTGTTACTTTCAGCAAGACTGACAGTATTTCTCGGACGAGACGAATTGGTCTATCACTTGCCTACGAGCGAAAGCGGCGATGGCGAATGCGTTGCATAATCATGCAAAGGACCCTGCGACGGAAGGTGGCAGTGGAGAAGACGAGAGGTAGTGGACTTTCGAAGACCTAGGTCAACAGAGTATTTTCATTTCTCAAACCCAGTCTTAACTTTCCTCTTCTTTACTCTACCTGTCGGCAAGCACCTCCTTGACGGTTCGGCCGCTAGGGAATTGTGAGTTTGCGATGGCGCAACTTTTTTGCGGCCAGCCCTCGACTTGTGACGCTCCACTTGGAGTCTGCAGGAACGACCGTTCTTTCGGAACCTTGGCTTGCAGGATCGACGCCAACAAACAACAGCAACAAGTCCACCGACTCAGGAATGACTACTTTCTCTCTGCGCCACCAAAGTCTGACCCTCATAAACGTTCAGCTTTCAAAAACGTGATTGGAGACCCTGTTGTCCATCAGCCCGGAGATGCAGAGTCTGAACGTTGTCGTGCACAGGAAAGTCGACACCGCTACGGAGTACGACGTCGCTGATCTGTACGTGCACCTGAGTCCTTGGGCACGACGCTAATTTTCAATCCTTGTCGCGGACAAGGTTGGTGCCTTTGACGATTTGCGGCCATCATGGATATCTGCCCGCATGCAACAGAATGGACTCTTCATGGCCAAGGGCTGGGTCGCGTCTGTACAGGATGCTTTTAGCCAAGCCAAGTAACTTCGCCATTATGGAGTTCATGGGTCATACGGGATATTTTCATGATATACTATGTCGACTGCCACATCTACTGGAGCTTAAGGCCACTAGTACAAGATACACTAGTTACTACATGGAAGTTTTTCATTCGACCACGGCGGTTTTGTCTCTGAAAACCGGCAGACTGGGCGATACACCCCGGGTATCGGCTTACTCACGCACCCTACACATGTCCACTGCTAATTACAATGCGGACCCTGCAGCGGCACAAGGACGTTTGGCTACATCCCTCGAGTGTATCCGCGACTACAAGATGACTGGATCTGTGAGTTGTGGCTGCCCCAGCCGTTGAGAGTCTATGGACTGGAACTGGCGTCCTTCTTGAACATCGATGGCGGGCTTTGTCTTTTGACACGGTTGAAGGATTTGAGGAGATTCCGCATAGGAACGATGGATGTGCAGGCCCTGGTCAACAGTTGGGACATTGACTGGACTATTCCTCTGGAAAAGACTTGGTGGTAGCAAAAGTGAAGTGAAGGGAAGCGTCGACGTTGGTTTGCAGCATCAGGGAGTCAATTAGAGCGAGATGCTCGTGATGTGGAAAGCAGAGTTGGCGGGATCAACGAAGCATGTTGCTGCTGTGGTGGGGATGGATGGTGCTACTACTTCTACTACCAAGGAGATGGTGTACCAGCTGAGGCATTGCGAACTGCTGCTGGAGTCAGCTGGACAAGAAGGGCTACTGGAACGAAGATGAGTAAAGATAAATAAAACAGCCAAGTTGTGTTTGTTTTGACTGTGTAGATGGATAAAATTCAATCGGTCTATTTCTTTGACACGATGGCCATTGGTTAATTGCATGTGAGCATTTTGCCATCATGCACTCTTTGCTTGCAATTCCGCCAAAGATCACAGAAGTGCTCTCACTCATCCATCGCCGTTTTTTTGAGTTTTCATTTTTGTGTCCATCTTCTTTTCCTGCACGTCAGATGCGTGGATGCTTAACCTTGCCATTTGCATTCCCTTCCTTTCCCTTTCTGTCTCTCCCTCCTGCGCCTCCCCTTCCCTCCCCCCAAAGACTATATCTTTGTCATCTCTCTTCTTTTTCCTCGTTTCGTTCTTACTTCCTTCCCAAAACAACCCCCGTCCATCCATCCACCATCTTTCGTCCTCTTCTTTTTTCTCCATACACTTAACATACCCACCATACACCGAAATGACGGTATCGAAAGGGGACTGGCAAGAATTCTCCTCTGGGTCGGACACCTTCGAAATCCGAGTCCTCCCAGGCACCGAAAGGACACAAGGTCTGTCGTTCATCCTCTTCAATGACATCCAAGATATGTTTCCGGGCGTAACTCGACTCCTTAACGGAAAACGCATGGTCGGCATGATGTCTGACGATGAAGGGAACAGGTACGGATTATCTATTCGGAATGTGCTACTCAAATGCACAGCAAAAATAATGGCGCGCTTATGACCTGGACTAATGATTAACGGCGAATGCCACCCTCCACATATTTCTTTCGATTACTTTTTGTCATGACAGATTACTTCCGTTGAGGATCGAGTATCAACCAGGATGTATCATCCAAGTCGTTACCGAGAACACTCCTGCCCCTTCACCCTCGCCTTCCCCCGCCCTTTCTTCTCTGCCTTCACCCGCTCTTCACCCAAATACCCCAAGCCGGACTTCATCTCAGCAGCCAACACCCTCCACTCCCTCAACCACCACAACCACTGCCCCCGCCATCACAACCACGACTCAATACGACTCGTCAAAGACAGGAGAGCTCCTTCGACGAGCATCCATCCTGGAGGCGCCCAACATTTCCGCCAGCGTGAAGGAGGAGTTCTGGACCTCAGTCGCCTTGTATGAGAGCTTTGTCCAAGCAGTTCGGAGCGGGCAAACTGAGGACACCAACGTTATCCGAAACGACTTCCGGACCCATCTCACAGCACTCGAGGGCGAGATGGCCAAGAACGCCGATCTGCAGCAGCAGATGTTTGAGATGCAGCAGAGTATGGTCCAGATGCAGCGGCAGGCTCTTGATCGATTGGCGGTCATCCAGAGCCGGGTTCAAGCGATTTTGGTCCAAAACTATGAGCTACATGAGTATCCTATTCCGCGGCTATTTATTGTGCTCCCCAAGGACCCTGCAAGGTGGGATCCGATTCGGTTGGTGCAGAATAAGTTCCGGCTGTTCTTTTTGTGTGAGTGTGGGGAGCATACTCGCCTGTGTCAAAATAATAGCAACATGAACCCCAGCGGCAACACGCAGCAGCATCACATCCATCTGGCCAAGCATGAAGGGTACGATATTGAGACGCCTACCGAGTTCTTCCGTCGATATGGACCCTATATCCTGGATATGCTCAACATGATCAAGTACGGAGCCATGGTTGCGGGGCTGACCGTCCCTGCGCTGGTCCCACTCAGAATGACGGCCAGTGTCGACCAGCTCAAGGATTCACTCAATCACTTTTCCTTCAACATCGAGCCCAGCGTCAACCAGGCGATCAACTATCTCCAGTCACTGTCGACGGCTCAGAATCCGCGCAAAGGGGGTCTCGCACAGGATACCGACAAGGGCCGAACCTATATCGATGGATTGGAGGCATTGGAGGGGGCGGATTTGCGACGACTGGGAACGTTCCTGAAGAACAAAGATTCCTTCCAGGTGCTGGGCAACCTCTACCGGACCGTGACCTCGGAAGGACATGTCAAGTGGGTCTGTCTTGACCATTACCGCTCATCCTACAACAATGCCGCCATGAAGGAGCTGACCGACCTTGTCCAGGTCAATGGTGGATCTTTTGAGGAGCATATAGGCAGGGTCGAGATCTCGCTGTCGAGCAGTATCATCGCAGGACAGTTTTATCGGGCCATGGAACGCGGACGATTCATCCATGAGCTGAAGGTGGCCCTGACTTGGGAAACGACTGTCAACGATCTCAAGGCGCTTCGGGATACTGTCCATCGATCTAACTTGCACTACCTGGACCTATCGTGCAGAAACGCGTCATCGATGACCACCATGTTTGGGAGGACTAAGGTGTCGAACCCGCTCTGGGAGTTGATGATCGATGCCAAGTTGCACACGTTCATCTTGTCCGCCTACAGAGGCTTCTTTTCCGACACCAGCTTCTCAGCCAGGATGACGGATCTGCGGCGCCTCGAGATCTCGGATCAGCTCAACTGGAAGAAGGATGGGCCAAGACTGTTAGATCTGATCCGGCACAGTCAGATGCTACTAGACCTGTCCATCGTGTGCACTGATCTCCCCGAGGCTTACATGGCCATCACGAACGCCTTCGGCACCGCCTCTGTTCTAGAAAGGCTGTCGCTCCAGTCTGGACCCCTGAATCGCATCCTTGTCCGACACGAGAAGGGAAGTGTTGCATCACCAGGAGCAGTCGACCTCTGGGTATCCGATCCGTCAAGTCCCTTGCTGACCAGCATGACCAACCTTCGCACCCTCCAGATCCGGACCGAGCTTCACATCCCTATCGGAAAACACCTCTCGACCTTGACGACCGTCATTCTCAAGAACCCAAGCCTCCAGGAACTGTGGGTCCGTTGCCAGTTGTCAGAACTGTGCGAAGTCTTCGAGACCGCCCGTGCTGTGGCCGCAACAATGGGCACCATGACCAGTCTAAAAGTGTTACGAGCCTACCGGGGTCACATCCAGCTCTTCACATCGAACCTACAGGATGGCACAGCAACGGCCCTCGAACTACTCTCCTCAGAACCCAACCCGGCGCTTTTACCACCCATCCTCAAGAGCTACGGGAACCGCCTGAGAAAGTTCAAGATCTCCAACGGCAACCACTCCGTACCCTTCTGGACCGGTCCAGCCATCGACCAGGTTCTCCTTCTAGGTGACGTTTCCCGGATCCAACACATCGAACTACATTGCTCGTCTCTAACAGAGCCAGTATGTCGGGCCTTACTCTGTGTGCTCAAGCACCCGTCCTTCCCCCCGGCACCGATCCATTTCTCGATCAAGGTCGATATCGGCGTTAACAAATTCAGGCTCTGCGAGGAGATGGCCCAGTTCATTGTCGACTGTTCTCGTTGGCTGACAGAGGTGCTTGTCGACGTTCAGGATCTGGAGAGGTGGAAGGAAGCCTTTCTGGCTACTGGAAAGAGACCCGTGTTGCAAGAGAGTATCATCAAGACGTATGATAACCAACAAGCGGTTCGGATGGAAATAAAGGTGAGCACCGGAGGTTATATATATGGTGCCTCATAATAAAAATTCTATTTTTCTTTAATATGTACAATTCTTGAAGGGAATTTTACATGTGGCGGCCAGCTACCTAGTTGGCCACAACGCTCTTCAAGATCCCGCCGACATCTGGCAGAGTATGATTGTTGTTTGTCTATGAGGACACCGAGACGCTTTTGAAACTCATTGTCGACATCGAGAACGACTCCTGGTTCGACATAAATGACGACGACATGGCAGTGGTTGTTGTGGTTGTTGCTGTCGTTAAAGATGTGGTCCTTACACTCATGCTCCTGCTAGCCTCCGCTAAGAACTCGGACTGACCCTCAGACGCAAAGTCACCATCAACATGTTCATCATCCGCCACACTACTACTGCCACCTCCAAATTTCCTGAAGACGTCCTGAACAACCTCACACTGCTTCAGTTCCTCAGCAGATTCGAAAAGCGTCAATACTCCTTTAGGCAATCGTAGACGACATTGCTGGATCCGCTCTTGCCAGACCTCGAGTGGGTTCTTAATGTTGGCAATAAACGACGTCGGGGTAGTCGCGACAGGGGACGAAGGCGACGATGGCGAGAGTGATGGCGATGACGATTGTGGCTCAGCGACCCGTCCTTGTCCTTGTCCGCCGACCCCAGCGCTACTAATGTTGTTGTTGTTGTCGTCCATTGGGCCGTCAAAGGGACTAGTGGCGGTCATGGCCATCCCGAGGGGGTGATATTCTTGGCGGGTAAAGAATTCTGTCGTGCGCCTGATGGGGATTTTGGGTGAGCGTGGGGGAGAGTTTGTGATGGGTGTGAAGGAAAAGGTGCGTTGGCGAGTTCGTTGTTGCTGCTGCTGTTGTTGCTGAAGCATGACGTGTTGGTGATCCTGGTCGTCAAAGACATCGGCGCCACCAGTGAGATGGGCTTGGTTGGAAGAGGCAGCAGAGTTGTACGAAAGGGCCGAGTTCAGGCCGTAGTCCTCCTCATCATAACCGCCGCCGTTTCTCCTTGCCCGTTGCTGGTGTCCGCTCATCGAAGACACTGATGAAGAAGTTGCAGAGCCGACTTGGGGGAATGGGTATCCTGCCATGGGGCCGGCTCCCTCCGAGAGCGGCGAAGCAGGCGACATGCTTCCGCCTCGCTTCTTGAGGGCATTCCAGCCATTTACTGCGGTTTGTTTGTTGTTGGGCGAAGCACGCCGGAAGGGGGATGTGAAGACTGCCTTGACGGTGGCAGTGATTTGCTTGGGTTGGAGACGAGGAGATGAGGCCGTGGACGAGGTGGGAGTAGTTGACAACGACATGGTGGGTGGGGTGAGAGGTCTGCTGGGATCTAATCCTGGAGACATGGGTCCACCGTGAAGGTGGTAACGAGGCCGCCCGAGCTTAAATTCATCCAGGTCGCTACGGATTCCAGACTCGACCGTCGTATCGTTATTGTTGTGATAGAGAGTATTGTTGCTATCGATATCCTCGTCATTATCGTCTTCGTCGTTGTCGTAATCTTCGTCGGTGCTTGACATTGTGGCGACGTTTGATGTGGATGCATTGGTGTTGCTTGTGATGCTCCCGATCGTGTTGGTGTTGCTGCCCCGGCGGCCGAAGAATCCAAGAGGCGTTTTGGGCAGGAGGAGCGACGAGAAGGATAGGCTACGTGTTGGCGGCATCTTTGAGACCATCTCCTTGAGTCGAGCCGTCGTAATGTCCCGAATAAAGATCTTGACAATCTGTCCAGGGAACTCCTGCGCCATATCCGTGTAGCTATTCGAGATAAGGGATGTAGAAAAGCTTTTTAAATACCAGGCATCTCAAGGTTATGACAGCCCGTACTGAAAACAAGCTCGCATAAATTGGTGGCAACTTACATCTCCATGTCAATTTCACCACTGTCGCCAACAAGGATGAACTTGCGGTCTGGGAAATCAGTCAAAATCTCACGGATGCTCCTTCGCTTGTTCTCTCCAGGCGCCATGAAGTAGGTCTTCAGTACGTTGTCGTGTAGTCGCAAATGTGCCGATCCTGCTGGAAACTTGAAGGTTTTGAAGAACTCCAATAGACTGGGGATCAACTGCCAGGGCGAGTTCGAGACATAGTGGATAGCCGCTCCTTGGTCGCACCAGCCCTTATAGACCGACGCCATTCCCTCAACTTCCATCATGTCCTTAAGGAATGTGTTGCGAAGGATAATCCTGGCTCCAGCAGTAACATTGGTCTCCTTGATAGTATCGTCAATGTCGGAGATGATAGAAACGCCTTCGGGGTCGATGAGGCTGACAACTCCGTGGCAAAAGTCGGGCATGTCGGCATGGTAGGCGTGCAACTTTAGGAGCCGAGGGTGTCCAGTAGCAGCGTCCTTGCGACGATGGGCCTCAACTTCACTGCTGCTCATTTGAAGAGTACCATCGAAATGGCCGCCAGGCCGAGAAGCCACTGGGACAGTAGGGAACATTCCGCTGCCCAAATCCTTCTGCCTTGTCATATCCTGAGTCAGAACACTAGCTCCAGAGGCTGCGCGGGTGACGACCATGGGTCGGGCGAACTCGTCGGCGGAAGAAGAGTCGGAAATGTTATTGATGGCGGTGGTGGCGCCAGAGGGAAGCCTGAGCGAGTCAGTGGAGGCGCTGTTGTTGCTAGAGTAAACCGATGAAGTCTTGACTTTCCTGACCACATTCTTGAACATGGCCGTGCCTCGACTGAGCCGTGCTGAAAACTTTGACTCTGTCTCGACCGATCCGACTGCCATGGTAGGGGACTGACCCTCTTCAGAAACAAGAGGTGAATCCGATGCGTCGATTTGTATGCTCTCCTGGACCCCTGCATCTAGGTGATGCACAGGGGTATGAAGTTGGGCGCCATCCTCAAGCTGCTTCCTCCGCTCACCCTGTATAGACATTTGCACCTGTTCTGACAACTGCGACTTTAATGCTGTGACGGCGGCATGTTGGAGAGGAGGTTGTATTGATCCATATCCTCCTGTTATGCTCGAGTCTTGGTCCGGTGATTGTAGTTGAAAGTAATCGGCCTGTTCCTGATTAGCATCTTCGGTACGAACAAGTCCAGGTTCGGACTCGGAGGATTTGATCTCGTCAAGGAGGACATCGACAGAGGGGTCGTCGATGTTGTCGGATCCGCCGGCGAGTTCCATGTGGGTTGTTGAGGCGAGGCCGACACACTGGACCATGAACTGTGCTCCCTGGGTGTTACTTGCGAGGAACATGCTGAAGCGAGACTCGAGTGTCTCATAGACCTTGTTGTTGTCCTTTGTAACGCCAGCGATCTTTCGTGCCATGCCTAAGTAGTTTGTATTGAAGTGAAAAGTGAAATTAGTGCGATTGATTACTATGCATGTCCGACATATCCGACTGATCACAAATAATATAGATTCTAGGTTTCATGTCTCAGGCACAAAGGCTTGTCGCACAACATCGCATCACATATGGGTAAGTGTAATATCATTCCGCTTTTGCTGCTGCTGCTTCTACCTGATTCGTGGAAACACAAATTCATCCCAATGTGGTCACGCTCTCAATCTCCCTCACAGATTGGTCTCTGTGAGCAAAATGCAACTGCAGCATCCTTTTCTTGTCAAACACACATACACACTCTTCTCACGAAGTAGCCCTTTTGTCAACAACGTCCAGTCAATGGTTGGGCTGTAAGAAAAATTCTGGTGATACGTACTCATGACTAGTCTCTTGCGGCGATTCGATCGCTTGGAGAACGCCCATCCACGCACACGAATGTTCCAATCGTCCGGATTCTTTGACCCTAGTGGAATATAGCCAGACCAATTACGGACAGAAAAGAAACATCGAGGTGGGAAAAAAATGCGTTAGTCCCGGATTATGGTTGAGCATTCACCTGTTTATTAAAACACCGTGTAGATGTTTCATACAGGGGTGCAAGATAGTGTGCGAGAGAGACAAAAACAACGTAGAAGCAAATAGAACAACAACAACCACACTGCCAATTAATAGAGCTCGCCTCGCTTGCTTTTATGAATACATGGGATTGACATCCCCTGTTTCTTTCCTCCCCTCTGGGCGTAAAAGTAAGGCCGGCATATAAGGAGACTTTTTGTTACCTGATCGAGAATGACGGGTAGCATAGGTTGGAAATAGGAGACAGTGTTGGACAAGGTCGGAGGTAGCGGAGGCAGCAGAGGAAGAAGCGGTTGAATCTGGAGTGGTTGTTGCTGTTGGTCCATTATTGCCAGAAGCAGCATTTAGGTTTGACACCAAGCCTGATAGGTTCCCAGTTTCGGAGGGTGAAGCCGAGAAGCCTGTTTGCATGGGCGATGATGCGAGTGCGCAGGTTTGCTGTTCTTTTGTATGTTTTTGCTGAGGCAGTGCCCTTTGTTGATGCTGAAGTTGCAGCTGAAGCGGGAGTGATGTAGAGAATGTAGGAGGGAGCGGCGGTAAGAGCGCAGTGGTAGGCTGGGGAATTGATGGGTCCACAGTAGTTGGCGAAGGTGTTGTACAAGACGCCGCCGAGGAAGAAGGGAAAGAAGATCGAAAGGAAGAAGACGGCGACGAGAGTAATGCTGAAGCTGGGAGCGATAATGACGCAACCTCAAAGGGCGATGGTGAGAGGGATGTTGTTGTTGTTGATGTGGATGTTTGTTGAGGTGAGCATCCTGGATGGCGGGTATGTTGAGAATACAGGTGGGGGCGAGGGTGCAGAGGTGGAGGTGTTGAGGGAGAAGGTGCGGATGGAACTGGTAAAGTGGATCCGCCGTTGTTTGAGGTTGTGGTTACTGTTGCAGTCTGAGCGCTGATGTTGAGAAGTGCGGGCATGGCTCTATGGATGGGTATATGTATGTGTGTCGTTTGAAGGTGGTGTGGTGTGGTCGTGTGGTATATGTTCGATTCGGACGGTATTGATCTGATCCAAGGATGTATGCGTGAGTATGTAGGAGAAGGAATATGAATGAAGTGAGAGACGAAGAAAGAGAAGAAATAAAAAAGCCGTTGTTCAGAAACAAAGAAGAAAAAGAAATGATAATGCCAGGCTGGATGAGAATTGTGTAAGGTTTAATTCTTCCTGTACAAAAGGGAGAGTGCGGGTATGAGAAATAGTATGAGAGCCGTGGAAAAATATAAAATAGAACTGGTATGTCTCTCTTGATTCGCGGATGAAAATGAGGACGAGGATGAAGGATGAAGGATGAGAATGAGAATGGGTAATGGAGAGGAGAGGAGAAGAGAGGGAGTGTGGAAGTAGTAATGAGAAGAAGAAAGAGGCTGAAAAGAATGACGAGGAAGGAAAGAAGGAAGAGGGAGGAAGAAGAAGAAGAAGAAGAAGGAAGAAGATGCAAAGACAAAAGAGAAGAACAAAGAAAACAAAACGAAAGGGTTAACCATGTCATCTGTCATTTACTATTGAATTGATTCTCTTGCAATCAGTACATAAAGAACAAGGGAGCACTTCCATGGTCCACCCAACCGGCAGGTATAGGAAAGCATATGTACAATGGAGCATGTTCCTGGATCATTGATGTATGCCCATTGATCAACAATCACCACAAGGCCCTGGGTCTGAATTGATTGATTGATCTGAACCCTTCGTACCTCCAATTTTAGTCCGTCCCTGGACTATGTACGAGCTTAGAACCAGGTCCCGTCTTTCAACAATCTATTTCTAGTGAAGGGTGCCTCTCTAATCATATTCACATCCGCACACAGACCAGGCACACCTGCCAATGCACCGCACTAAAAAAACTACTAGCTCTACAGCACGCATTCTTACAAGGAAAGATGAACACAAAATGACAACCCTGCCCTGCTATGCAACCCTTCTGACCCACCCCTCTCTTTTCTCGCCCTTCCCCTTTCTCTCACACTCCCCTTTGTCCCCTCTTCCACACTCGCTCACTGTCTATCTGTCTGTCCCCTCTGCTGCTCACAAGGCATAATTCGCCTTCCTTCTTTGTTTATTTTCGCACCTACCTCCCACGTTTCTTGCTTGCTTGATACCAACAATACTGAGGCACCTGCCCAAAGTTGCCTTCACTCTTTTCTATCCCAGCCCTCTCTCGTGAAATCATGTTTGGCCATTACCATTTGTTTTGTCAACCATCTGCAAAAGCATTGTCCGGCGGGCCATTCCACGCTGACTCGGTGATGCAAGAATGACTTAGATTAAAGAACAATGCAATACACAACCTGGAAACGTAAATAGAGGTTGTTGCTCATTGCATGCTTTGGCTGACTTATCCCGTGTTCTTTGTTTCACGTCTGCCTGATTGTCTGTCTTTCTGTCTGCTTGGTGTGTGCGTCGTGTTAGTTGATGCATATGGATTTTTTTGTTCGTCTGGTTTGCTTACATGAGTGACACCATCTATCTTTCTTTCCGCTTTCTGTCTGCGCGCACGTCCTTGCTTCCTTCCCCTCCTTGTTTTCCTGTGTCTGAGCATAGTTAACAGTCAACGATAATGCATGTTTGGAAAATGCCTTGTCGCTTCTTTACTTAGTCCGCTCTCAGCCCATCCATTGCAATTGCATGACGGAGCTGTGGTTACCCCCGCCTTTGTTGACAATACCTCTTGCATTAACCTTCTTCCTTCGTTGCAGCTCCTTTCGCCACCGCCGGGATTCTTTGTTCATCTTTATTTCTCCCGCCCTTTCCGTCTCCCCGGATCCTACGCCCCCTTGCACCACCTTGTGCCTTGCAACCTTGCACCGTGCAATCAGGAGACACAACGCTTATTCAGCCCATACAATAATGATAACATAAAAAGGAGTACGACGTAAAAAGGAAGACGATCATTTTTCTGTGACATTTGAAAATGTGCACAAAAAGAACAAAAGCAAAGAGACAAAGAGAGTATGAAGAAGGAGAGGGGAAAAGGGCCCTTCGCTATTGCGCAAGTGTACGTGTCTGATCTGTGTGACCCCGCTTTGGTTTTGGGCAGTCTTTGTAATAATTATCTTGTAGGCCTGGGTCTTAGTATTCCTGGTCTGGGCACCTTCCTTTTGCAAATATCTCCGCTGTCATTGGTGCAGTGGTGCTTTGGTGCACATTCGCGTGTACGCGTGTACGTAAAGCGAGATTACGAAAGGAATCATCCGTTGTCCCAGTTCCCCTGATCAGATCACAGTATTCGCCTTACTGAACGTTACCCCCGACGTTCCTTGTTATCTTCCCCGGATCAAAACTATGGCTACACATCGCAAGAAACCACGACCATTCGCTGCTGCGAAAGTAAATACAAACAGCGGAAAAATTCAAGAATAGAGCTATCATGATCTTGTCACGAGTCAAGGTAATGGTGAAAGAATTGGTGTATTATTGTTACATGGGATTTTGTTGTTTACGCGACCATAGGCTGGGGGCCGACCTCTTCATCGTCATCGCCCTCTGCTGCTGCTGCTGTTGTTGCTTCCGCTGGCGCCGATGCAGTTTCTGCTGTTGACGACGGTGCCGATGCTTCTGTTTGCTGCTTCTGCTGCTGCAACACGTGAAGCTTTTCAATCCTCTGAACAACATCCTGTCTCTCCCGGTTCAGCCCATCCCACTTTTGCTGCAAGAACAACTCGCGGCTGCTCAGCTGTACCACTTCCTTGTTTAGTGCCTCCATACGAGTGCTCACTGCAGCCTCCTCCATGATCCTGAGATTCTTGAAACTGGATAGCTCCAACTCTGAACTCAACAACTCTTCGTGGCTTGTCAACAGTTGTGTTGCCAAAGTCTGCGAACGCGCCTGGTATCCTCCAAGAGTAACGCCCAAACGCTTCTCAAGCTTCCCAGCCTTGGCTGCCTGCTTTGTCATCAGCGAGCGCTTATGCTAAAGAGTTGAATAAGGAACTCGGTTGGAAACTGCTCATGGAATCTGACACGAAATATGCATGGATATCAATGAAACAACCTCATCATGACTTACAGAGAATTGAGCTGCGAGGCCGATCTGTTGCAACTCCTTCATCTCCTCCTGGATCTGTTCCCAGACCTGATCAAACTCGGCAGCAAAAACCTCATACTTTTCCTTGGCCTCGGGTGCTGCCAGCTCCTGATCGACTTCGCTCTTCGCCAGTGCCAAGTACTCATCCGAGAGATTTTCCAAAGCAGGAGTATTATGCTTGCCTCCAGCGACCTTGGATCCAGCCGGTGGGTAGGCCACAGCATCGTGACTGATCAATCGTGCGAGCTCCTCCTGAATAAGACGATCTGCCTCTGCAAGAGGAGACTCCGTAGCCCCCGAATCTGTCATTTCAGCATTTGGAGTGCGGAAAGCGGTAGGTCTTGGCAAGTCTCTCTGAACAGCCTGGCTCCTACGCAACAAACGAGCACGTTCTATACCAACAAAGATCCGGACAACACAATAAAACGATACTTTAGCCTATAATACAACGATTTACCGCCTGTACCGCCTATACGGTTCCGATTACCATCCACGCAGCAAATGCAACCTTTTTTTCCTTACAACAGGCGCCAGCAAAGCAATTGAAACCAAAAAGCATGTAAAACATCATGACTTACCCTCGGCCTCAAAGGCCTCCTTCCGCCTCTGGGCAAGCTCGGCAGCATCCTCTTCGATCACCTTCTCAGACGACTCGATCTCAAACTCCTCGGGCATCATCAAAGTGAACGAGTTGGTTGGCTTGGGCAAGTTGGCAAGTCCTGACAACAACTGGTTTCTCAAAGACGACTGGCGCATCTTTTCCTCGCGAGGGGTGGCCATCACAGAGACAGCACCGCCACGGTTGATGCTAAGCTCGTCGCGAAGAGGTGTCCTCAATGGGGTCGCTCCTCCCAATGCGCCGGCTCCGGGCGTGGCAGCATAAGGGTTGGGAGTCTGAATAGCACTGTGGCGGGGGGTGATACCGTCGTATCCGGTTCCTGACTGGACATTGTAGCTGGGTGTTTCGCCTCCCAGAAGAGGGGTCTGCTGGTTCAACATGGCGCGCTGGTTGAGAGCCTCCATCATGAGGTGATCCTGCGCGGCGGTTGCGCGAGGTGTGCGGGTGGGAAGGTTAGCTCCTGCAGACTTGTAGGTACCGACCAAGTTCTTTGTCGCAGCAATATCGCTTCCATCCGCCAGAGCCTTAGCATCATCTGCAACGCCACCAATCTTCAGAATCGCCTCCAACTCAGCCTCACCGACATGGGGTGCAGGCAAAACCATCTTCTTGCGACGCATGATGCCGTCTTGTTCCGCTTCCTGAAGCTTCCTGAGCTGAGCCTGACTCTGAGCTGCCTGAGCCTCGCCCGAATCCTTTTTGAGCTTGGCGCGCTTAGCATCCTTCTTGCGCTCTTCCTCCTCGACCTCAGATCTGCGCTTGCCATCCACCTGCTCGAGACGGATGTTGGTAAGTCGCTTGGTCGATTCGCGCTTCAACTCCTCGGTGGTGTCGTAAAAGCCCGGGGCGGGTTTGGCCTCAAAAGGGATATCGGCGTTGTAGTCCATGCCCTTCTTCTTCTTTTGTCTCAGTTCAATTCCTGCCGCCTTAAGCTCACGCTTCTTTTGTAATGTCGCCAGACGATGGGCCTCTTCCAGTTGTCTCTCACGAGCCTTTCTTTTGGCTTTCTTTCCCTGCGTGTTCGCCAAACGTGCACGAGCCTCTGACAACATCTCCTTCTCTGCATGCATTAAAATGGGACAACAGTGTGTTAGAAGCCAAGGTCATTGATGTTTCCTTCCACATGCTTATCAGTCTGCAACAAATACAAAAAATACAAAGAGATGATTGGCGTGATTAACGTGATAGACGTACCATCTTCATCCATGTCGACAGGGTCAGGGCGAGCGGGCTTGGTCTCTGGATCAGGATCGATCTCACCAGGCCTCAATCGACGGACATCGTCCGCACTGGGTCCTGAATCGCCTACTCCTGCGAGTCCCAAATCTGATTCAGCCTGCTGTTCAGCATCGTCCAAAAGCTTCTGATACCGTTCCAAACACTGCGACGCGGTTCTTCCAACAATGGGGGCGATAGTCCTCCACTGAGTAGGCATCAACTTGGCAAGATGTAACAGGCGCTCATCCTCCTCTCTCGACCACTCGGTCTATTTGTAGTTGATGAAACGGTGTTCGGACGTTGAGTTGTAATTCTCTTGCCATTGAGAGGTGCACAGAAACACGTACAAAAGTTTATGCGTACCTTGCGAATACTGGGATCGAGCCATTCCATCCAACGTGCTTTGCATTGACTGGCTGTTTTTCGGACAAGCAGCGACGAAATACGGGCCCATTGGTTCTTTCCATACTTGCTGACAGCGGCCTATGTTGATGAACAAGTTTTGAACAAGTACAAGGGTGAGTTGGTCTGTTCGCTTTTGTGTCGCCATGCAGGAAGAGTTGAAAATACAAGCCGCGAATGCTGGGTGACTTAGTGCGAGTCGTTATGATTCGATTAAAGGCACACAGGTTACCTTGAGGATCTCATCCTCAGTGTTCTTCCAAACACCTCCCTTGATAATGATACGCATGTAAGTAGTGTGTTGGCGACGGTGGCGGTGGAAGAGTTGACATTGCAATGCAACCACCACGAAAGTTATTTGATCGCTCTGATCGGCGGCGAGGTTAGCGTCACCGAATATATTCCTGCCTCATTAGAATCCACGTGACCAAAGTATAAATATGAGGCGACCACATCATTCCAACCCTCAGTCATTCTGCGTAACGTTTACCCTCGCAACTAATCAAGCCTGAACTCTGGTAACAACTGAACTAACCTTGGGTTGCTTCGCATTCGCAAGTCTGCCCCTTTGCTTACTTTCTCTTCTGGTCCATTTACCTGACTATTCTCTTCTCAAATAAATACTCCTGTCGGACTCTCTCGAACTCGATTCTCGATCTCTTGCTTTCACATGCCCTTCTCTTTCTCGACTAGCGAGTCTTCACGCTCTCTTTCTCAATTGACCTCTCTCATACACAAGCTGGATTCTCTCGAAATACCCTTACTGGTTAGGACTCTCTCAATTAAGTATAATTACAAGTTGACTTGTACTTAAAAACAAAATGGACATCAGCAGGGCAGACTTTTTCGATGGCGTGCCCTCCTCCAAAGACAACGAGTCGGCGACTATAACCACCACTCTCACCGCGTCTTCGCTTAGTATACCGCACGCGCAGACACAACTCAACAACGACAGTATCACCAACACGACAGCAACGCGTTCACCCCACCTCCCATCACCTTCACCAGAGCTTGTGCAGGCGCAGGCTTGGACCCAGGGTCGCGCCATCGAGCAGCAACTCATCAGCAACAACGGCAGCAAGAAGGCTATAAAAGAAAGGCCACCCTATTTTCCATCGCCTTCATCAGAGTATGCACACGGTCAAGCACGAACTGCTGGACATCTTTACCGGCAGCAGGAGCCAGCCAACAGCCTGAACAACAATAGCAACAACACAGCAGCTGGACACTCCACAGCACATGCGTTCCTCAACTACAACACACCCCTCCTCTATACCAGAAACGGAGTTGGTGCTGCCCAGCCACCCCTGGGTCTCGAACTCGGCACCTCCCAGCCGTCGTCTAATCTCGGTGACGATCCCGGAGCTTTTCAGCCAGTATATGGATATGATGGCGGTGTTATGGCCTCGTCTGCTCGTTTCGAATACGGCGAAACGATCTCACCCTCAGACCACAGAACGGTCCAGAGCACGAAGCAGTCGAATGCCGACCAGGTTGCGACCTGCTTGACGAATGAGGAGTTTGTGCGAATCCTCCTCACACCAGACCCAGAGTTGACCAAGGCGGTACAATCCATAGGCAAAACAGACGTCGCACCGCGCAACTTTACCACCACGGCTAAAGGCACAACTTCCGTGCAGGGCAAGACGATCGAACAAAGAAATTCGATGAGCCCCGCTTTCATCTTGACCCATCCTCCACAAGGCAGCGTTACCTCGGCGCCTGCCCCTGCTACTGTTTCTCGCCGACGCATTCAGTTTGATTCGAACCCTCCTCGCATCATATCTCTTGACCAAGACCGTGTGAAGGGACCGCCCAAGCTTCCAGAAGAGGTTCCGGAGAGGTTCGGTACCGCACTTAGACGCGCTACCCAGGAATATCTGGATGACAGCGAGCTATGGCGAGAGCTCGAAAAGGGTAAGCGTGTATCACTTAACGCCCAGCTCCATGCAGTTTTCCCCATAGTCACACACGACGAGAAGATGTCCAACAGCCGTCCAGTTGACCAACAGACAACTGAAGAGCGCGTCAACAAGAAGTACGCCATCGACAACGTCGAGACAGAAGAATGCTCGACCGACGAGCCCGCAACCAAGAAGACTCGTGTTACTGAGGGTACAACCGCTGGATCCTCTTCCAGCATCTCCACCGGAGAGCACTTAGTCATGCAAGATGGAGCCATAGAGTATTCTACAATGGGGAATGCGACCCTCGATGATTCAATCATCTACTACACAACCATCGAGCACAGCACCAACATCAAAAGGCACGCAGTCGACGAAACGACCGATGACCACAACACTTTCGATCATCAGGTTAAGACGCGCCGAACAGAGGATCACTTGACAACTCAATCCTCGCCCAACAATAACGCAACAACCGATCGCCAGGCCCAAGAGAACTCTGTCAGCAGCAACAACAGTACAGCCATCACCACCACGAGCGGCTTCGCCACCAACAACCTGCCGATCATCGAAACAGTGACCAGCGAGGATCTTGCCACATATTCACACAGGCACCCTGAATTTGATGACATGATTATGGACAACGAATTTGGAAAGGCGATGCGAAAAGCTCGCTGGGAACTTTGCTACCCAATGGTGGACGCTCAGATGTGGCAAGAGGATGAGATGGCCCAGGAGGACCCTATCCACTCAAACCTGTGAAGACGACTACGACGAGGATGATGATGCGCTCTACCACTGCCCTTAGCAAGGGCCGGCTGCTTACCCTTGTAATATGTAACATACAAAACATATATCGTAAAGGGTTGTACATTGGCTCAAAATAATGCATTTCAGGATGGAATACTATCGGAACACAAAAACGAAGACCAGTTTTCATTCAAGTTGTGAAAGAAGGCGCCATCAAGGAGGGAAAAAGAGGTGGATCTTCGTCTTTCGTCTTTCGTCCTCGTCCAAATAAAGAAACTGAGGGCGATCGTCGTCCATTTTCACAAACACCGACAGCTACTTTTGCGGGCCGGTCGCACAGGATCCTGTGCGACACCAACATGAGGTTGTTCGGCTTTCATTGAAAATGAAGAAACATAGACAGAAAAGAAGGGCAGATGGGACGAACGAAAAAAAATAGGGAGAAAGAACGTCATGTTCAAAAGTCAGGATGGTTAGACAATTCTATGAACACCAGAATTGTGGCTCTACACAATTCGTCCCCATTTTCTTTGTGTTTTGCGCGGCATGGAGAGTACATATCACTCATTTTGGTCACGCTGTTAGGATATCTAGAATAATACTATAGGATATGTATAGCTTCTCGCGTCTTTCGTAGCTCACATGCTGTTTCGCAATCATGCGCTCCATTGAAGAGAGAAAAGTGGCAAAAAAATGAATGTAAAAGTCTCTTTTACTTCATCGAGATACCAAGCAAGATTCAAAACGTTCAACTGCCGAAACCTTCTCAGGCATTGAGTTTTACTTTCTTTTATCTCTTTTATAAAAAAAAGGTCCTACTCACCCGCGTACTAGGAGTTTCAGGACATGCAATAGCAACGCAGAATGAATGGGATCACTTTTCTCTTGGGGCTGGTGTAATCATCTATCGTTGTTGTTTTTTCACACACCTTTGTGTTGGGGTTCTCCTTTTTGTTGTTCCATAAGACTCTAGACCTCAACTCGATTCATTCATTGTTCGTAGATAAAAACGAAGCAGGCCCATGATCCAGTTTCTTTTTTTTCTCTCAGGAGAAGGGGTTGAAGAAGTAGTGGCCGAGAAAAGGGAACGGTTTCATATTTACTATGCATGCATGCATGCATATCTTTCTCCTCTCCATCTCTTCTTCCCTTCGTCATTCGTCTCTAACAAAGAAACAAGGGTCTTTCTCATTTGAGTCTCACGCAGGACACGGGCCCAAAAGAAAAAGAAGGGGACGCGTGAACTGTTTGGAGGGTGGTCTCCTGTACTTTTCGCGGCGTACATATGTTTTAGGATGGATTGGTCATAGCACCGCAAAATCATTTGTCGTTTCGCTTTTCTAGTTGGGATACATCTCTATCCTCACTTTTGCCCCCTTTTTTTTGCTGACACATTCAACGGAATATAATACACCTGTGAGTAAACGCAGTAAATGGAGCTGAAACGATATATAAACAAACAAACAAAAACCTGCTTTCCGAAACGACTTTTTTTTTAACATCAGCCCAGCCGACAAGAAGTTCGATTAAGTAGAGGAGAAACCAATGAATGCTTGTTGTCTGAAAGAAGTGTATAAAAAATTATCGGAAACATGCAATTGAACGAGGCCGGAGGGCTGGATTCATGCTATCCTTCAATTGCGAAATCGCTCCTCTATTTTCTACAGAATTCATCATGTTTGTTTGTTTGTTGATCCAAACAGACTCAATTCAGATAACGGAGACGAAACATGCCCGAAACTCTATACGCTTTCTCCCACACTTTAAGATAATCAGACGCGTAATTGAGAAAAGTTACGCCCGATTTCATATATGATTAACTCTGCTGGGGGAATGTGTACTTCTGTGATGGTAAACGTAAAATTGATGGGCCCAGATCGTTTTTCGTCTCGCCTCCTCTCTCCTTCCCTCTTTCTTTCATCCTTGTGCATGTGTTCGCCCAGCAGTGTGTCTCTCGCTGTTCTGATTTTTTTTTCCTTTTTGTCTTTTGTCTCTGGTTCCTGAGTTCTGTGCAACCCGGTCATGGAGGGAGAAGGATAATTTCCTCGTTTTCGTGCAGGTGTGTGTCTCGGTCAAAGGAGGAAATAAAAAAGAGAGCTATTTTCCAAGACATTTTGCTAATATCTAACCTTTACATGTACAGTACGATCGAAAAAGAAGAAATAGGGGAGGCGGGTCAAGAGAGCCGATTCGGACTAGAAACACCAATGGCATCCGCAGTCAGAGAGAGAGAAGGTGGAAAGAAAGAGAGAGAGAGAATGAGAAGATACGAGGCTAAGAGCGGAGAGAGGAAAAGAAAGGAGGACAATGAAAAAAAGTGAGCCAGATCAAGCATTTTTTTCATCCTTCCGATCTCTTACAAAAAAAAATGAGGTGCTGAGCTCCCGTTCTCTGTGCTAGACTAGTTTATCATTCCACTCTCCCTCTTTTTTTCCCTGTCCGGCTCCAGGTCAAGGCAAGGCAAGGCAAAGTATATATTTAGAAGACGGCGCGCTGGGGGGAGGAGGGTGGGGTCTCCACGTTCCTATTAAAGGTGTTATTTGAGCAAAAGTATAAAGAATGGCGTTCAAAGGTACTGTAGGATTACAAAGACATAGAGCTGTCGATGTGCAGTACAATAGAAAAAAAGAGCCCTGCTCTTTCAGCTTTTCTTTGGCTTTCGGTCAAAATGCTTTTTTGTTCCTTGGCAACGACCTTTTTCATGTTTTTCGTCATCTTTTGCGTTAGGCATTGGCTACAGCAGAGCGGAAGAAAGGTTCTTTGCACTCTCATTGACCAATTGCATGCACAATTGGAAAAGAGAACGACGAGAAGGAACTGTGGCTAGAAAAACAAATATAGCTACTTCATTTTCCGTCTTCCATTGCAATTTGCTATGGACTCTCCTTCACTTTTGTTTTTCCTCAGCCTTTCCAACATTCCTTACACGTGTCGAACATATTTGCAGCGGTGGGTACAAGGACCTGATGACAGGAAAGGAAACGAAGCGTGAAAGTACTCTACCGGTAACGGTTGTTTCGGAGTCTATTTTGAAGATACTGGGACGTTCATCTGAGTAGATATCTACCAGTACTCTTTTCCGCCATGTGTCTGCTATGATTTCTTTCAGGCTGAGATGTATGAACAGAGTGGGTTTAGCACGGCCTAGTTGTGAGCATTTTTTCATTCTCAGTTTTGTATCGCCCTTCGTCAAGATCAAGAGGAGTTATAAGGAAGAAGACGAAGGAATGTGAACAACGGTTGAAGCAAAGAAAAGTCAAAGGGGAGAAATAGACAGATCTGGCAGGAGACAAGACGACACCAAAGGGGATCAAGACTCAGTTAATATCTTTGAGTTCAAAAAAGATGGGTCTCGCCTGCAAGCAGACTTGCTGTGGATCGACGTTTAATGCAAGGCCATTCTTCTTTTCAAAAGGAAAGAAAAAGGACAGGCGACATGAGATGAACGAACAGAGATGACTTAGAATAGGTGGGGATATTTCATGCAACATGCATGAGTAGGACGTTGGCCATGCAACTATCTGGATCATATCGAACACACTCAACAAAGAACCATTCCGTTGGTCGAGCATCTCGCCGTAATCGCAGCATCCCTCCCTATTGGGCCCAAACGTATGACTGTTCCTTTGGGTTGAGACATTGCTCAAGCAACAAATGACCGTATGAGTCAAGGCGGGAGAACTTTGCTGATTGCTGTAAAAAGAAGAATGGAAATGTATGTGTTCATTTTCCTCTCTTTTCTTCAACTGCATCTTCCTCTTTCTCAAATTCCTTTCCCAAAAGACTATCAACACGCACAATTGCTTCCTCGCATCAGTGAATGAAAAAAGTTGAGTTCCTTCGCTTCTACTCCCATCTCCTCCTCTGCTTCCTTTGATTTTTCTCCTGAGTAATAGTGCTGTAGGTACTGTAAAGAGGGTACGAAGTAGGCAACATTATAAATGGGGGGCGCGGGGTCCCACTCGCTGAATCTAAAGAAAATGAACGAAAATGCCACCATACATCATCGACTCGTAAACAAGACGTCGACCGACTGCACATTAAGTATGGCACAACAACCTCGCCAACGAAAACAAACACTCAAGCTAAAGTTTTTCGTCAGTGTGCACCTTCAACAATAAGTGCGCGAATGTTCATACTTGGTGGCAGGTGGGAAAAGGCATGGAGCGAGAGAGGCGAGATGGCTTTTTTTCTTTTTCTCTCCTCGATCGCAAAAAAAAATAATTATATTCACGCACTTAGTACGTTGTTAGTTGACACTGACCTCGCCACCGCCGCGCTTTGTGTCCAACCATATGTTTAGCTGCAACGAGTTCCGATGGTGCTATGATGGACGCCAGGACTTTTTTTTTGTGGTCGGCGTTGTTGCTGTCGTCGTCGTCGTTATTGTTGCGACAGTGGAAGACAAAAAAAAAAGGGCGGGGTAATGTAAGACACAATCTTTTCGCGCCGTCCACCGTCGGGAGAAGAAACTAATGAATGGGGGATGAAGGTGCCAACCAGCGGGAGGGAGCCGAGAGCGAATGAGCGAACGACGTGTACGAGAAGGACGAAAAGTGAGAGCAGTGTGTGCACTGGACAAGAGAGACAAGGCTAAGCTAAAGGGGAGAAGCGGAATTAAAGTAAAATGAGGATTGAGCCCTTTCTTTGAAAGACAAAGTGGGCAGGAGGTGTATGATGAAAGTGAAAATGAGGTCGAGGTCGCATGGGGAATGAGTGGGAAAGAAAGAAGAAAGGGCGGGGGGTTGGAGAATGGCATCAATTGCCATTCTCTGCCAACGTGGAACCGATAATATGCTATGCAAAGACGAAGGCGCCGTCCTTACTTCTTTCACGTCCTGAGTAATAACGCAAAAAGAAATAACGCGTAACAAAGCCATGAGTCCAACTCGTTGCCCCTTTTTGGTCACCCCTATTTTGAATGTCCCACTTGCCTACTGTTACCCCTAACCCTCACCCTAAATGGTTTATGTAATCGGTTGTTTGTGGAGCAACTCTGAGAGACAAGAGAA